GTTCAGAATTTTAATAAAGCGCCAATCTTTCTCGGGAATCTTTACTCTTTTATCGCCTTAAACGCAGGACGACTCTGCCGTGGGTTCAGGTCGTGTCAAATTCCAATTGCTTTATATAACAGTGAGTCACGGAGCTTTAAAGTTCATGATATTTAAACGCGAAAGGCCAGCATGGCGCCGCTGTTGGAAAATCAACAAATAAATATCAATCATGTTTATCCTTCCGCTTTTAAAAGTAGCATATTTCGAGATCTTGGGCAATATTTGTTTTTTGAACTTTTGAGATAATTTAGTATTACGAGTGACCTTATTGATTCGTTAATTAAACATTGACTAATTAACCGACCCGTGACTATACTGTCACATGAACTGGAAAATGAATAAAACATAATGTAAATAATAATAACAATCGCTTTTTCACGATCTTCTTTACTATCATTCGGCTTATCTATCTCAAGAAAGGAATCTTATGATTCCCTCGATTGTCTGCATCATGTACATTTTCTTTATAATATTTGAAAGGGATAGTGGCAGGGAAAAGATAATAGCAGGGACTAAATGCTATGTGTGAAAAAATAAAGGTTATACGTATCGCTTATCAACAGCTTAGAAAATAACAAAGAAAAACAATACCTTCTGATTGAAATACCTGCATGGGTGAAATGATTTTTTGGGGGATAATAAGTACCTAAGATACAATTGCAGGAGTTAGGAAATTGTACTTTGACGGAAACCTGTTGATCTCGATATGTACTTTAAAATGGAGCTACTGGCTTTTTAAGCCGTTGTACGTAAACGACAATGCAGTTTTTATAAAAAAAAAAAAGTTATTTGCCCAACCATATATCCGGGCAATATATAACTGTCATATCTTCGGTCGTGCAACCTTCGTAAAGTTTTGTCGCACGTTTTATGAACTTTTTAAGAATAAATCTTTTTACGTAATAACGTATGCATGGGAATAACCACAATGACGAAATTGAAAGAGACAGTAGCATCAGCTACTAGTTTTCTCCAGAGGGGCAAATTTACATGGTAATTCTTGTCAGGGTACCCAAAGTACGTACAGTGTCTCGCATGGTACTCACTTACTAACGACGAATTAGCCCGTAAAGTACGTAAATAAGTTAATGTCAAGATCCGTAAAGTTTAATTAATATAACTCCCGTTCGCAGTGAAATATATATATATATATATATATATATATATGTATAAATATATGTCATAGACAGCGCCAGTGTCTGGGGAGTTGTGACGTTTCCCGCGAATTCGTAGAAAATGCACCAAGTTATTTAGACGAAAGGAATAGGTTAACTTCCGGTGCTTGTTCATCGTTCGCTTCTCCCCTATTTTGATCCCAAAGCGTTATATTGGATTTAAAGTTAATCGTGACTTTGTTATACGAATGTTTTAAAATCGAAAATAATTGGAATCGTTCAAAGAGGTTGAAAAAAAAAAGTTATAAGCTTAAGGGCCTTGAAGAGAATTCGAAGTACATGGGAAATGAAATTAAAAATGGACTCATTCTTGTTAACGTGAAAATCTTTGACAAGATAGCAGACCGTGTTGAACAATCTTAACGAGCATCACTACATTTCTACTCGAGGAAGAAAACTCCTTTGCCCAAACTTTTACGCAGTTTAAATAAATACTTTGAATTCAGCCTCGATTGTTATACCGGCCGGTTTACCCGTCTTTCTTTGATTTCCATTTGGAGTTCTGCGAAAATTCATTGAAAAGTTTTATCTCGTGAATTTCTGTTCTCACTCCCTTTTTTGTCCCAGTCTTTTGTATCTCTGTGCCTTTTTGGATTCTGCTTCATTTCTTCATTTTTCAACTGGTCTACATCCATTTCTTCCTCCTGGGTAACACGACAAGATATTTCGCTTGAATTCTTTCGCTTTCGATGAAAACCCAAGACTTTCCTTTTGCTTCATGCTAACTGTAGAATAACTTGGAAAATTGATGGATATCGACTGCGGCAATTCTGCGAACTATACATATAGCTGGTGCTGACTTAATAATTTAATAAACGAGGGTAAATAAGGGACCTTGGAAGAAGAGGAAGACCAGATGAAGGGTGAGGAATACCAAGTGGAAAAAAAAAATAAGATGGAATTATTTTAATAATATACGTATGTATACTTATGGGGGAAGGTGGGACGAGAAAAAATTTGTTGAACGTGAAGAAATCATAACATATTTTTCTTATACCTGTTCTGACAGCGTACAATTTTCTGTATTATTCCCAATGCCATCTCAGACATTTATTTCCCTATCTATCATATACATTAAAATGGGGGTCAACTTTGGAAAATTTACGTTGCTAAAAATTATTACTTTAAATGCATAACTTTTTGTCATGAAGTAATGCATATTTCAATAGGAAGTTTTAATTTCAATGGTCTGAAATTTTTTTTCTTCAGTTTGTTGACGATCCAAAAATACGAATTTCTTATTACACATAAGACATAATAAAAAAGATATATAATAATATAATAATAAGAACAATAAGAACAATATATAATAACATAATAAATAAGAAATAATAAAAAAGAGTATGGAAAAAAGCATGTTTTTAAAGTTTCAGCAATCACATCTCGAAGTCGTTAAATATGAACTGAAATAATAGTAATATTTTTCTAAATTTTGCAGAAATATTGTAATATAGGACTTGCAAAATGCAAAAACAAATAAAACCAATTTCCTCAATGTGGAGAAACACATACCTCCTTGTGGGACACGTTTCACCCCATCTTATCCTATATTAGTATCGTGCGCGTGGGATGCTGATTGCCAGAGACGTAGCATATTTTTTAATAAGCTGCGACCCAGTATAGTCGTTGGATGTTAAAACGGCCGCGACGCCTCGTCTCGATGTCTTCGTGCGACGAGTGAAGCTGTAGGATAGTGACGTAATATTTTTACGTCTCAAGAAAATAAATTACCTTCTGAATCTGGGCTCGTCCTGAATGAGCACCCAGCAAACTTTAGAGTGACGACGGTGATAGGGGTGGTTATGGTAATGATAGCAGTCTCGTGGCTGCTTTTGAATAGACGACTGTTGTGGATGTGATTTATCATATAACTATACTACGCCATATGCAAAGAGCGTCGACATTGAAAATGCTATTGGGGTTCATTCAAAGATAAGTATCCGCACAATATTGTACCCTTTGTACAATTACCATGCCAAATTGTCCGTTGGAAGGTTGAACAATTTTAATTGAGAGTATATATCTATATCGCCATATCTACGCGTTTCATTGATACGTAATCTACCCACATCCATTAGCATCTTGTTTTAATCCACGTTAAAACGTAAAAGATAAATTTTCCATATTTTGTGGACATCCAGGTGGATAACGTTTAAACGAGGCTGTGACAGTGACTCGTACGTCATTATTCGCACGAACCCCCCGAGAAGATGTATTAAAACAAAACTCATAAAGCTAAAGCGTATAATAATATTTCTATGTATAAAAAATTACCTGTCTAAGATTTATTACAAAAAAAAATCTACAGCGCCGTCTCAATCACTTGACGGAGCTTTTTATATTTTCCCAGACGAAGATCTGGCATATCTCACATTATTTATATTTTTGGGCAATATATATATTTGGCCATGCCAGTGCCAAATCGCGAAACTAAGTCCCGCGTTTTAAAGTAATAAGCAAGAGTAACTCAGATTCAGCCTCGAGATGTGAAATTAAAATATCGTGGCTGTTCAATTTTTTTAGAGGTTCTTTCCCTGCAGAAGCCTCTTCGAGTAAGATAAATGATAGCAGCTACTGGCTCTTATCTCGAGACAAACAAACGTACCTACTCTTCTCGTGGTTGAGTATTCGACTGTCCGAATAGAAGCCAACACGTTCCAGCCAGTCATCCAGTCAACACAGCCAGTCCTCCCAGTCACCCTCCCAGTCACCCTCAGTCAGTTACTCTCGGTATTCTCCAACATCTCCGGCAATCTCATTCCTTCTCTCCTCCGTTCCTGCTCTACTTCTTCTCTTCCCTCAATCTCCCTCTCTCTCTCTCTCTCTCTCTCTCTCAGTGGCGTAGATAAATGGGGACACCCCCTCCCCCCTCCCCCCCAGAGCCAAGGGGCTGCAGATGGAGAGAGCAGAAATCCCGCGAGATAAAAGAGTCTCGGTGATCACAGAGAAACGGATAAATAGTGGAGGACGTTTTAGTCACAGTCCGGATGGTAAATGGTAGACGGAGGGTCCTTTTCTTTCTCGACGCCGACGCCCGCGAAATGGCTACCTTCGCTGCGCCGCAGGATAAATACCCCTCGCTGTGTCACATTCCTGTACCAAACGTGTGTCGAGTACAGTCTGCCCGAGTGGAAATTCGACGCTCACCCCCCATCCCGTCGTTTCTCTCTCTCTTTCACCCCCCTCTCTGTCTTTCTCTCCTTCTCTCTCTTTCTAACTCTCGCATTTTCTCTCGGACCTCCTTTCTCTCTGTTCTCTCTGCACGTCGCGTCCGCGAGCCTTTCCACATAGCCACAATGAAAGCGCAAGGGAAACCATAAACCACGATTCACCGTGAACATTTTACGTTCCCATGAATTTCAAACTGTTTCACCGTTTTACTTGCAATCACTTCTATCTGTCTATTTTGAATTTTAATTTATCGCATATTTCCCGCTGTTCGCTCTTTTCGATGAAGAATTATACGTGATTTAAGATTCACTGGCTGTTCGGTTGAATGGCCATCGATTCGCGGTGTAGCCCTGCGTCCCAGTAGGGAAGAGCGAATCTCGCTGTGAGCTTGTTGAATTGCGCTCGGTTAGTTTGCGAAATTGGACAAGCAACGAATTGGATGTTTCGTCCGTTTAGACGGTTTCAAGCGATCGGTTTACCACTGTCTAAAGCACTTTGGCTATTTACATGCTCTCGTTAAAAATGCTGTCTCCTGGAAATGGGTATAATTTGTATTCGAGTACGTCGCTGAAAATCTATTTTAAACTGAATTTCTCTTTATATGAATTTCAGGTCCTGCACGTTATATCGGAAGTCCTGGAACCGGTTCTCTCGATTCCCACGGCCCCAGCAATCTACAATCCCAACGCACTTCAGTTTCTCAATCTCAGCGACAGCCTGAATATCGGACGTCATCGAATTCGGTAAGTAAACAGAGTAGAAGGACCCGCGAGTCAGCAGCATATCGTTTGCATGAGGGTAACAGATTATTATAATAAAAAAAAAAAAAAGGTATTTTGTGGCCCAATTAACCCAGGAAACTCCCACGGGATATCAATCGCCACCTTACAGTTTTCCCCTCCACTTGATCTTCAGTACCCCTCAGACTCGAAGTAGAAAGTTTCGAAAACGACCATAAGACTCGTTGTGCAAGGGACAACGTTGCGCCAAGTTAGCGCCTTAAAAATTCATCCCTTACCAGCATCGCCACTTTCCCCGCAAGACTTTAAATAATAATATCATCCCCCAAAGCGACTCTACGTTGTCCCTTGTGTATTTTGAGACTTCAACACCGGAAGAGATATATGGCTGATCCAAAGGTCTCCCGGATATGACTGAAGCTTACGAAGGGACTATCACTTCTGTATGCAAATTATATACGAGACAGTTAGGGTTAATGTAACCCAGCGATATTAAGCAACAAAGTCAAAGTTTAAACTTCTCGCGTGCCTGTCCTGAGATTTCAAGCCAGGACAACTCAGATCTATTGCCTTGCACGTGTAAACTCAATAGCAGCTCGTCGAAAATCAGTCTTAAGTGAATTCCGCAGCAGGCGAGCGTTGACGATGTAACTTTTTCACGGCGTTCCTCTAGAACTTTACTACCCAGTCCTCTCGAAGCTCAGCGTTATACGGTCCATCCATACTCGCTTCCTTGCTCATCTTCTCCTTCCTCCGTTACCGGCTCCTTCGGCAGTTAAAGCTACGATTCCGGAAACGGGCGCCGCTAACTGAGGAAATAAAGCTCGAGTGAATTAGCACCCACGCTATCCTCCCGAGGCTACTACGTTCTTTTGCCAATTTTTCTTTTGTCCTAGTATACCTGACTATACCTGTATATACATACCTTTAATACCTACCTATCGACTGCTTCGGCCACTCCGGCAGGTGCCACGACGTCGATATTACTTTTGCCACTTTCTTTTTACCTGTTCTATACCTTTATTTCATCTACTCCTTTTTCAACGAGCACAATCGTAGCTCCGATCGAGCGAGAATTCCGGAAGTTGGAGTGAGAGAGGAAATAAAGAAAAAAGGAATCGCCCGATAAGACTCTTTGAACTTTTTCTTTCAATATTTTCATCCCGGGGTTCGATCCGAGGAGCTCCCGCGGGATCCTGGAATGAAAGTATCAGAAGGTAAAACGTGCTGGGAAAAGAAAAGGGAAGAACGCTTTCCCGGCTGTCACTTCTCGTTCTGCCCCTAGGACCAGAACCTATCGTATGGGCTTCCCTATTTTAGCTATTCAGCCCCAAGTGATTCGCAATCCCATCCATCCCCGAGATGGCTACTTACTGGCTCGCGTTCTACGTTCGGGGGTAAGAAAAAGTGACAGTGGATTAACAACGTCGAACAGGCGGAAAAGTAAGTAAAAGTGAAGATAGCAGCGGATCAGTTGATGCGAGAATGCCCGGGCGTAAAGCGAGACGCGAAAGAGAGTGGGAGCAATAAATATAAAGGAGAGAGATGGAGAACCCAGCGGAATCCGGATTTAAGGGAAATTACGTATATCCTCAACGTAAATCCTCCGTGTCTATGCAAAAGCAATTTTCCGTACCGCGTAAAATGTAAAACGCAGCAGCGAACCATTCCCGTCCTTCGACCGACAATTTTCGCTTAAATATGTGTCAGTGTTATAATCGTAAATAATGCCGACCGACCCTCCTCCTTTTTGAAATTCCATGCTTCTCCGCATTTTCCACCTCCTCTTCCTCCTACTTCCTTCTCTCCTTATCTTCGTTCTCGAGGGTGAATCCTCTGGGCTGTCTTTCACATCAACCTATAAACGTAAACATATTTCCTGAGCCACTCTGCCGCCTTAACGTTTTTAAAAAAATTACGACCCATGCGGGATTTTCATGTACGCGTCACGCCGTTCTTACGCTGACGTATGTCGTCGCCGTCTTTTTTACGTACGAAACCACCTACTTCCCCTTGGCTCTGCAACCCCCCGCGCCGTCCTCTAGAAATAGAGGCGTTTAAAGCCTCAACTACCATTAAGGAAAATTGTTTGAACGAAACATCGAAGTCCAGACATTTCTTTAATAACTTTAACTTATGCATATAGTTTACATGGTGAAACATAAAACGTGGAAGAGAGAACGGAAGTGACCCACGGAGGATTTATATGATGAAAACAATATACCTCTATTTTTCATTATTTCAAATGCTCTTATCACAGTCCGCTATGTATTGCGTAATAAAAAAAATTATCTTTGCAGGTTATTCCGTCAGCGTGTTTTCGACCTGAAAAAGACAGGCGTCTTCAAAGCCGAGGGTCGATACACTTTCTTCCTCCCGGTCGACGAAGGATTTCAGGTATGTCTCTTCCTCTCCTTTGGCTATCAGAGAAAAGAGCTGAGGTCCTAACTATAAGACTTCATCCTTAAGCGCTTCTATTATTGCTAAGCTTCATTTATCGTCGTGGTAAAACCGTCTTTTAGCCACTCAATGGACGACCTAATAGTGCCAGACTTTTAGGTCTTCGTTAAGGTGTAGGTCTTCCGTAAGCCACAGGAAGCTTCCTCGTGTTACTGTGCTAGCATAAGTTGTTTGCTAAGGTACTCTGGGCAATACAGTAGAGTCTGGTACATTGAGTAGGAGTACCTGGGGGAACTTGGAGCATACCAGGATAGATAGATCACATATGTATACCTATACTTGAATGATGGCAATTCTATGTCCTGTTTAGAACAAAGCCGGAATGCTTGCTGCGTTATCTACTCAAATATCCACGTAGCCATATAAGTATCGGGGTATAGTATAGCATCAACTGATATTCCGTTAGAGAGCCGTTTATGGTGATATTTCCTCAGAGTCCAAAAATTTGTAACGCTTCGAAAAAGCATTTAACACCAAAACAATGGAGAGTATGCAATTGCCAGTGATCCATAGCTAGTTATAAGATTGGTCAGAATAGTCCTGAAAATATTCGAAAAAATTCGATACCCAACGAGACGGACACCTAAGAGCTTCAAGCCGATTACGGCAAGTTAGCTGCACCCCTGATCCCGAGTGGGCTGGCATTCGTTTCGGTGTCTCTTGTTGCAAGGCTAAAGTATCCAAGGACGCTTCGTGCATCTACGCAATCCTTTCCAGGAAACACGATACTCCGTGCTCCAGGCTCAAGCTCGGCCACAGCATGGCCAAGGGTAGCTAATTCTGACCCAGGGCTGGCTCGCTGTATTTCCTGGGTTGTAAAGCACCTCTTCAAAGCTTCCGGTTATCAACCTTTATTATTCATGGTTCTCTTTACAGGTTTCTCTTTGTCGTCTCTTGCTTTCGCATACCTACCTGGCCGTTACAGCTCTTTATTAAACGATAACCATGTGTGCTTTTGCGCTCTGGAAAATCCTGTGTTTCTCTTTGTCTACGCGTGTATCTGCGATTTCTATACTGCATTTCCTGGAACAATGAGAAAAGTACGTTGCTCACGTGAGGTCGTATTACAATTTCCTAGTTAGCCACGATTGCATGGAACATATGAGACTGTCTCGTTTCATACAGTCATCCTGTCGAACCTTTTTTTTCAATTACGAGCTTCTTAAGGATTAGAATAGAATCTATTTCTAAACTGGATACAGATAATTCATTGGCACAAATATATATATATATATAAAGGTAATATTAATACGTTTATTTTTTTAGCCGTCACCCAGACCACAGAAGGTTGATCAAAAGGTCGTAGATGGACATATTATTCCTGATCATATACTCTTTACGGCGCCCACGCAACACGATGTACCCTTCAGGACCTTGGCATTCAGTGATAATATCCGAGTCAGCATTAGTTTCCTTTCGGAGCAGGATGCCAAGGGTGACGTCAGAAGTAAGTATTTGTATTAGATGAAATACCCAAAATATAACATATATACAAGAGATATTAACATCCGTTAACTTTACAGCCTACGTAAAATCTACCACGACCTCAGGTGACGATAAGCATCCCCCTGGCGTAGTTCTTGCTGAAATTGTAAAAGCCAACATCCCTGTACGAAACGGAGTAGTTCATCTCATTCAGCGACCGTTGATGATCATCGATACGACAGTCACCGATTTCCTTAAGGTCAGTGCTAATTACACTTACGCCATACCTCTTCCAATATACAAGAAATGATATGATAGTTTGTCGTTTGTCGATACCCAGCCCTCGAAACCTTTTAAATGGATGCTCTATTTCGAATATATAAAATGCAAGTAAGACGCAATCATTCATTTTCCTTAATATAACAAAGACGCATTCAATCTTCGATCCTATTATGTTCTTTTAGATCCCATAAGAAAGGAGCATCGGCAACTATAAAAGCTTTTAGGTTAGACCGCACCTGAATCACGTGTCATCGCAGCGTCTCTCAGTTCTATTATCTTTGACTTTCCTGCCTCTTCCTCCTTCCGTCTTGGACTGCCCATGCATCCCTCTTTGAGGAACGGACGACCGGACGTACCGGCAGAGAGTTAGGTCGCCTCTATGTTCACATAATGGAGTGGCCAGCTGCTTGCGGCTTGTCCGACGGCCCTTGTACTGACCGCGTCCACTTGCCTCCCCTTAGCAATAGACTCTTCGGTTATCGAAATTGCCAGTATAAGTAAAATGTATAGTTATACACGTGCCGTGACGTCATTTTCATCGTGAATTCACAATATTAAACAAACCTTATTGACAGCGGTGCCATGGATAATCCCATCTGCCAATAGCTTATGGATGACACGCATGTGGCCGCAATGATTACGACTGTACGTCACGTCAAAACAACGCCAACCCCTTTGATTCCCGTCACGCTCTTGCATAGAGCACGTCAACGTGACGGAGCACGTCGCCCGATGCCGACGCCAACGAATCGGGCATGGGAATACTAATGTCTCCTAATGCATCGTCTACTACAAATTTACGGTTCCCTCCCCCGGCAGAGCATCCCTATGTACGAGTGCATCTCTCTGAATCCCCTTGCTGTGTAAATCTTGATTGGCCGGGCGATTGACCGAGGAAGGAAGCGGTTATACCAGCCAGTGGGTCTGTCCGCTCTTGACGGGGCTTCAGAGCGTTGAGAAATTTTGAATTATCTACAGTATCTTTATGCAAATACGTAAATGTCTGTATACCTTGCAATGGATGTTAATGCCGATATCGCACCGTGTATCAACTTATATACGTTAGTACGGTACGTAACGATTTTAATCTACGAGAGACGCGTTGAGCTTCATTGTCAACCCTCGAAGTCATAAAATAATCTGATTAGTAGCTCCAACCATAATTTCGCTCATTAACTTTTATTCAGTATGTCGTAACCTCAGTTTTCTCTTTCCGAGTCGGATGGTTAAGCTAATTTTACGAACTTCTCACGAGTCCCTATACTCCCCCAGCATACGCCTTTTCTCACTCTCCGTATCTTTTAATGTCAATCTATATCTATAGCTATACGTATTACGTCATACTATGTCCTTCACTATGCTCTGCCATTTTCGACACTTTTACAGAAGCCAAATAGCGTCTTCTCAGACTCCTCCTTGAATCCGGCCAAAAAGTTTGTCTTCCAAGGGTTTATTGCCTTAGAAATGTCTCTGGGACTCTTTGATTTTTTTTTGTATGTCAAGCTAGCTCGTTCAATCGATTCCAGGCTGCCCGCGAAAGAGTTTCATAATTTCGTTTTGAAAATTGTAAGCTACGTATCCTGTTTGTTGGTGGTAGGAACGAACTTGTTTTATTTTTGTTGCCTATTCTCATTATCTTAACCCCAAGCAAATTCCAACGTCACGCTTCGAAAAACGTCAGGTGTGCCAAAAGGGGCACTGGAACATTTTTTTCCTCAATTTTAACTAATTCGCGCCCTTCGAACTCTCTCTACCCGTGGTAAAGTTCATCCACTTTCACCGTCTGTCATGACACGCGTGTCCACATATGTCCGCACGTACTGACCTATACGCATTGCCGCGCTACTACGTTCCACGATTCAACCCCTGGATACCTACAATTATCCGAAACGCCACTGTACCTATATCCTCCACTCCCGTAATTTACTGAAGTTCATCTGTTTACGGTGAAAACACATAAATTCTGGCTAACCCGCTTATTTACACTTTCACGTCTGTTGTATAGAATAGCACAGTTCTGGAAACTTTGCAGTCACTCGTATATGGTAAAGGAAAGTGGAAACTATTACCTACGGAATTCTCACCTATCCCGCTGGGAGTGTAGTAATTGCTGGGCATTTTATAAAATTACTTTTGATATCAGGTGCTGCGTGGAATAAAGTATTTTATTATTAATGAAATTCTATAGCTGATAAGAAAATTTTTTTAAACGTATCTCAATGATTTTCTTGGAAAATGAATGATTGCACTGTACCAACAGGTACAATATTGATACGTCCCGATAATTCCATTGCAGGTATTTTCTATATAAGAAAAAACCGCCAGTTATTCGTTTCAAAAATAATTCTATATCGCTATGCGGTTTGAATATCTGTACAGGAATTAGTGAATATTGGAGTGCTAGTGCATTTCCATTAAATAGTAACGTCAACCTGTCATCAATTTATGTATGTTGATCCCGTAGTCATTAGCATCATTCTGTCATACAAAAGCTCGAATGTCCATGCCACTCGACAAGTTATCCGTAACCGAATCACACGCGCGTCATCAGTATCACCGTTATCACCATCATTGAGCAACAACGTGTAATACAGAGTTGTTACACGAGCCAAACTTAAATGAACTCTGATTCGTGAATTATTCACATAACTATACAAACGAACTGGAGCACTTTTCGCCTAATGTTGTACTGTTGCATCAATCTGTCCCTGTCGCTGTATATTAGTAGAGACCAGTGACGAATCAGTGTATAAAAACTGGGAATATTAAAAAATAATATTTCGAAGAAAAATTATTTTAATCAAAATTCAAAATACGAACAACGCCAATTATTTGTTCTTAATTGTCCATATAAATATTATGATTATAAACTCCCTCGAAATCTTTTGATTCGTCACATTGGTTTGTACATATGTCATCCCACGTATGTTGTGTAATTATAATTGTTACGTCAGGAGCAAGCGTACTTTTTTTTTCAAATAAAACTTGGTTTAAATTCCAAAAATGATACGTCTTCAAATTTCACGTAATACTGGATAATCCGTGTAACGCGTATCTTTTTTTGTGTTTCACCCTTTAAAAAAAGTACGATCGCTCGAAGCCCAAAACTAATCACTTATTTTCAGGTTTTGTCTTCGCGTCAGCGAATAATGATGGAGAGGGAGACTGTAAGGAAAAATGACAAAAAGAAAAAAGAAAGATACTCGATGTGTAGGGAAAGCACAATCCCTGTGTATTCTGACGCAAGTGCACCGCCTCATGTGTTTCTCACTGCAGATCTTTGCCTCTGCTAGCAAAAGTCCCTCCTACCCGTTAGATACTTTCTACTCCTATGAATCTCTGTTCTTTTCTTTATCACGCCTATACTATATATACGTTCCATATCTATTGTCTTCAGGACACTCGAAAACTTACACATCGAGTTCTCACAGGACATACTTATATACATATCATATAACTGTCTTCCACGTGTCTAAAAGCCCGGCAATATGATTACATACGTGAATATGTAAATATTCATATGAGACTTCAGTTGGTATTATAGAAGCAGGGAAACTATCGTCAAAACAAAAAGAAACTAATAAATTCCTTGTCGCGAACTAACAACGAGATTCGATTAGTTTTGGACATCAAAGCATTTCCTGTTTCCGTATCTGTACGATTAAACCGTACATTCTCGTATACGTATTACATTTATATACAATACGTAGCTATACTCCAACATAGGTATGATTACTCATGCAGCAGCATACCTCGAGAAGTATTATGCGTCTGTTTAACAGGCGTTAGAATTCCCATAGGTACAGCGTGCGTTATAACTACTTAACAAGAACTCAGCCACCCGTCATTGTTGTACGAATAAAATGTATCGCATTATTAGTATTATTTTATTATATTACTTAATATATATACAGTTCATAAATCGATGAAAATCTAGTGAATAATATTAAATGAGAATATCATGTACTTTTATGAATATTTACCAGCCGAGCATATGGATATCCAATGATACTTTTATATACTAAATGGATATGTAGATATATGATTCTAGGCGAGGTAGATCGTAGGTATATACGGTTAACATACATTTTTGTATTCTCAGACCTTCTTTTTAAGGGTCCTCTAAAATATCCGACAATCCTCGTCATATTGACATTCTCGAGAGGCCGACGTTTAAAAGCTCCAACAGTTTTAACGATCGACCGCACGGCTTTTACTCACTTGCTTACTCCCTCGTGCCCTTTAACCGTTGGCCTTTTTCTCCCATCCACTCCTCTCTCTTTTTTTCTTTCTCTTCCCCGTTCTTCCCATCACACTCACTCACTTGATCTCTTTTGCTCTCTTTCGCTGGATTCAACGACGTCGACGTCCCCAGCGAATTCTTCTTCCTCCTCGAGCGTCAGAAATGTCCACATAATACAAGCCTCCCTTAAACGGTGGCGTCAGCTCGACGACGTCGACGGCGACGTCGTTGATTCGGATAATTGAGGAAAAAGGGAGATGATGCCGTTCAGAAGGAAGTAGGAGAGTAGGAAGTTGGTCGATTGGAATTGCGAGAATCTTTTAAAATTTCGTACAGTGGAATCTGTAGAACGTGAACTATATAAAAGTGAAAAATTTTTGATTTTCTTTTTAAGGGTAATCGTATATGCATATATATAAGACCTTAGACTTCAGTCCATTTCCACTTACCAGGGATATCCCTTACTTGCTTCACTTCGTTCTTCTCACCCAGATAAAAAAAGAACATCCCTCGGAGCCCAAGTTTCCAACTTGCGCGAGTCACGACGGCTTTGAGCCATCCTGAGCCGAGGCGTTCTGACGACATTAATTGAAAATTATGCGGCGCAATTGAAGTTTCGCGACGAAAGGACGAGCGCCCGATTCGCCGAGAAAACTCTATTACTCTGTTATGTCTGCTGAGAAGAAAAGAGGAAGAGACGAGAAAATCGTGGTGGGAAAAGAAAATGGGAAAAAAGAAAAATAGAACGGTGAGAAAAAATGCCTGATTGACTGACGGATATAAACTTTGGTAATATTAGTTGAAAACTTGACAGGAGAATCCCAATGAATTCTCTTGGTACAGTTCACCGACCGTACAGTCGCAAAGCTCAAAGGGAATTATACGTGTTTCCATGTACCCCGAGTAGCGGCGATGATAATAACTCCCACGTGTGCACGTACACGTGTATTCGTATCCAGGTGAGAACTGAGCTTTCAAGCGATTTGCTGTAGCGTAATTCGCCTTAATGAAAGCATCGCGTGCTTCGGTACATTTGGGATTAAGGGAATTCTTCACTGGCCAATTTCTATAACTCCGCTAATTACCGATTCTCTGAGGTTCGCGCCGGAAGAGGTCAGCGTTCGTATTTAATCAGCGTGTTAGCATTGGCTATCGTGCCCAGTATATTCAATGAAAAGAAGCACCGAGCAACCTTAATTTCTCACCCTAGCGAAAACTGGAAGTCGGAAAAGGTGGAATGTGGAATGCAGAATGATCCTGGACGAGGAAAGGGATAAACGAATTTACGTCGTAGTCACGCAGTCGCAATGCACCTTAATTCCACGTAATAACGCCGCTCTGCAACTCGATTCCCTCGTTCCGTTCTTCCTTTTCTTTTTCAAAGATTCCGAAACAGACAGTCAGGAAGTTAAGGGGAATTGCTGGAACGCGGAAAAGGGGATGAAACGTGTAATTTTACTACCGAGAACCTGTAACCTAAAATTAATACGAGGTAGAAAAGAGCGTGTGCACGTTGCTGCTCGGTTCACTTCTTTTTTCAAATTAAAAGAAACTTACCTAAACTATAATCAAATGTGGTGCAGTGTAGTTTCAGATAGCTAAAGCATAAAATTTACAATAAAACATATTAACATTCGCAAGAATTCGTCCCTGAATGTTGAACGTAAAATTATGTAAAATTAATGTTTTTAAAAAAAATCAGTCAAATTTCAAGAAAGTGAGAGGGTAATGATTAAAAACAATTTCTCATCGACCTACCATTCTTCCTGCATATCTATTGCAAAAATAACACGCGAAAAGAATGCCTCAGGCTTTTCTGACGTAATAAAAATATTCACAGAGCATACAATTAAGTATACAATTTTCAAAGTACCGAAACTCTTCTACGACCCTCTACCACTGTACTCTCGGACGACAAAGTATCCGAAGCGAATGTAAATTAGCCCTGTGAGATTCACGTGGTACATCGAAGAGGATTTTGCAGCGTGCTTGAAATATGTCGTGATTAAAATTAATAGTTCCAACGCGGCTGTCCTATCAATTGTTAATGACTGGGTTTCTGGTTCGCAGCTGAAATACAATTCCGCGAATGGCACCGGCACAGTACATACCTCTGCTTAATGCAACTCCCAAGCGAAACATTGTTGTAAGTACATATATTACGAAATCCTTGTAACACGAGTGCATTAACTGTACACGTGTACTTACGGTCGGTTAATTAACCAGGAACACACAGATGGACACTCATCACTTGCAATAAACCAATGCAACGATGCTCGGTTGCGTAAATATTCATGGTGCGAAAAGAAAAGCTAACCCAGGCCAATCGGTAGTTAGCTAAATAAATGGCCACCGATACTTATTTCGTCTGGTTCGCAAATTTTCGCGATAAGGACTGTGAAATTCCAAGTGATTTATATTACGTTTGATATGCAATGGGATATTAAATTAAACATACAGCGATTTGCATTAATACTGTTATTAATGACACAGTATTTTTTCATTGGGATTACCGGCATTCGAGAATTTACGTCAATATACAAGGAATTAATATTTTGTGAATTAATGAGTTATGTAAATTACCGTCAATACAGTCCGGCATTGGGTGATTAATATTACAGTATTTGAACAAAAGATATATTCGTATCGCAATGACGGGATTTTTATCAACGATTAAAACATTATACAACCCTCTTGTATTTATTCTAACAATGATTATCATAGAAGTATAATAGTAGGAAAACTTTTTATTTTAATTGACATATATATTCATAAGATATTCATTCGATCAGTCCTGATAACGTATTTCATGCTGCTTCAGGCAAACAGTTTGAACTCTTCACTTTCAGCATAGGAAGAGAACACTTGATAGAACAAAACGGCAAGAAACCCCAATGGACCACCCACATCACCTCTCGACAGTGAACATTATATACCTATTTATATAATACAAGTTATCTTCTTTCTGTTTTCTGTTCGCTTCTTATATTACGGACGACCCTGGTTTACTGGCTTCTCTGTGCAGTCTTTCCAGGTAATTCGCCGCCGGCTTTTTTTCTATTTTCATGAAGACTCGCTAGCGAACGTTACATGTACATCTACCTATACGTTTTTCATCAAGTTTACCTATCGCTCTTTCTTTCTCTCTCTTTATCTATCTCTCTCCCTCTCTATCTCTCATCCTAAAGTTTTATCCATTTTCTTACCGCACCTTTCGAACTCGCCGCCGCTCACATTTTTTCGCTCACCCTATATATGTCGTTGCTGCGCTAGCTGAAAGTGGCTTGACTTTTTGTCACGTAGAAGGAACGAGCGGCGATCTGCGCGACGAGCGTGCGCGCGTGTGTACTTGCGAATTTGCATTTTGTAGTCAGTGTTTTTTTTTTTTTACGTGCTTCAATACCTTTCTCTCCTTTTTTTCTTGATACGAAAAGAAAAAGGGTCCTTGGTCCAATTTACTACTTGACCTCCCTGCAATCAAATTTTTTAATGCTCCTCGGGCTTCCCTTCAAATTTTTCTTATAACACGCGCTTATAACGGCCTCCTCGCCAGTTTCCCGTAACTTTGTCTTTGTATCGAGCAGCATTGTCACTTTTTCACTTAATTCACCGTGCACAATTCTATAAACCTTTGTATGGTACAGTTAAACTTTGTGACTATAACAATGTCCCGCCGATGTCTCTCGTAATAATATTAATCGATTCGGATCGGTCTTTCAACTTATTTCATACTTTTGTTATTGTGCTTGCAAGACGTAAGATCCCGTTGGTATCTGGTCAATGTGAAAGTTTCGTTATCTATTCACCTGTCTGTACCTATCTAAAGGGGGACTAAAATAATGCAGTGAAGATTTACGTCATACCGATCGTACGAAAGGCTCTTTTGTGTCCTTTTTACGAAACGCTGCGTCACATCCGATCATTCAACTAGGTGGCATCTGCAGCACTCGCCGATAAATTAGTCGCAGCGATATTCTATTTCCAATCAATGCATGCGCAGATCAATATACGTAGAATTGGCTGCAGATACGATGCTGCACGTTCCGTCACCCTGGCACAATTGCATGCACATTGCGATATTAAGCACTCGAAATGCTGATATACAAGGAAATCAGTGTCGTGAAAGAATTTGGGGAAAATCACCTATTAAAAAAAAAAAAATGAAAAGGAAAAAATTTTAGAATATTAATATATTGGTTTTTTCCTCCTTCAAGAAAACCAAGAAAACCAGTCGAAAGGAGTCGCTCCGGGACTAAAATGAAAAATGTCGCGTCGCCCATTGAAAAAGCATCCTCGCGTCGGGAAAGGTTTTCATAAGTTTTCCGCGGCAATCGCGGCTCGAGCAGAGAAAACCAGAGGCACGAGCGAACAAGACTCGTAAATTTTCAGGACCTACAAGTCCTGTTCCTTCACACTGAGAACTATGATGCTGCAGATACATGTATATTATACGTACAACTACTCCCATGTATTCGCGCGAGGTGGAAAGCCGATGTTATTTTTTGTATATTTCTGTCAATCAATTCGCAATAGTTTATCGGAAATACCGGGTAGAAACGAACCGAGCAAAATTGAAAAGACATTCGGTCCTGATTTTCATTTGTTCGTACGCGAAATGCAGTACATAGGATGACATATTCGACTATCAAATATTATGTATAGAGGCGTACATATGGCGAAGCTCGCGAAACATATCGGGAACATATGTGTGGTTAAAGAGAAATAAATAAAAAAATATGAGAGAAAAAATTTTCCAGATTTTACAGTCAATTTTATTTGTAATAATTTTCAATTCTTATATGACACGTATGTGACAATCACTTCCGGTATGTGGTTCATATATCGTGATATGAAACGTCAGGTATATCCGTCTCGTATCTAAAATTTTTTCCCGGCATATATAGATCATGTATACAGGTAGATCGATACACACCCAGCGGCATTGCAAACTAATTCCGGGATAAAGTTACTGAAAAAATACTAGCTTCAAAGCTAACAGACGCGAAACTTAAAATATACTCCAATGTTTGGACACGCACGCCCTGTGTAATTAACATACGTAGAGACGTGATATTGTTGGACAATTGGATCTGGCGAAAAGAAAAATACTCGAAGTGTATATTGCCTCGCCATCAGTCCAAAGGGCGATAGTAGGAAAACGTGTAGAGAAAATTCTCGAATTGCCGTACGTGCTATTTTCGTACTCCTAGAATTTCATTGATCCCTCTCAGTATATCTCTCTGCCATTTTTTTTTAAATCTCTGTACCACGAAAATAACCTGTCGACTGTTCGTTAACAGCAAGTTACAATAATTCGTGAAATGGCTCTGCTCCGCTATTATAGTTTAATGCTCGTAGCGATAATGGAAAAATTACGAGAAGCCATTGTGCACGTCATGAATTTGAAGCATATTGGACCTATTTCAAAAGAGATATTATCGTAGCTGGTGTATCGTAAAATGCAAATGGTTTTTTTTTTTTTTTTTTTTTTTTTCAGCAAGTTACAATAATTCGTGAAATGGCTCTGCTCCGCTATTATAGTTTAATGCTCGTAGCGATAATGGAAAAATTACGAGAAGCCATTGTGCACGTCATGAATTTGAAGCATATTGGACCTATTTCAAAAGAGATATTATCGTAGCTGGTGTATCGTAAAATGCAAATGTTTTTTTTTTTTTTTTTTTTTTTATATAAAACTCAAACATTTTTTGTACACCCATGCATTCATGTAAAAGCCATTATACGTGAACCCGACTATATCGATTTGTAAAATTTACTTTTATTACTTACCAGAAAGCAGTCTGGGTATATTGAGAGATTATGGTATACAGCTCAAAAAAAGCATGTAAACCGAAGAGAATTATCATACGAGTAGTCAGTTTACGTGATACTCATACAATACGATAAGCACGTTCCATCGTAAATTTTACAAAAAATATGTTTCCAATTTGCACTTTCAATCTCTCTCAATGCTAACTGTTGCTCCTTTCGGCGGGAAGATTCAAAAATCATTCCTCGAACGTACCGTCGTAAGTCGCACGTAAGATCAGGATGCTTTCCCTTTCAGTTTTGCATTGCTAATTCAAAGATGGTATACGCTCGTTTACATGTTATCGTCGGGTCATACAGGATAAGTACTGTGCTATCAATTTGTAACGTTCGGCCAGCAGCTAGTAGTCCCTCCTCTCGTGACAAAGCTTTTACGAGCAATTTAAAGGCCAGCCTCAAGGCTTTCCGAAGCTTTACGAGATCCGTGATGGCTAGAAGGGAATCGGTTATCCGATGGGATAACTGATACTGGAAACTTCGCCAATTAAATTCGTACTCACATGATGACCTATTTTACCGATTTCTGTTACGTGTATATATAAGTACAGAATAACTGGCCCATACTATAGTATATGTATAGCGAGCGTTCATTCACACTGCACGACGCACCGCAAACGACACGTATGTAAATATATATGTATATTGCATATAATAATAATGAACTATGAATCTTGAATGTCGCATGTGAACCATGCCAAGTGCACCGAAACACCATTCTCAGACAGCCGAAAGTCACTAGATTTTAGTATTCGCGACATATATCATATACACGCGTTTAACATTGAAACATTTCATTGTCAATTCATTCGAATCATGAACTATTGTTATTTCATTGATTGGATCGATCATATCGCGAAACCACTTTACGATATCGATGTGATCGGTCGATTTGTCTACGTAGGGGGAGGAGAACGGTGGTACGGCGAGTTTAAATATTGAATTTCTTATTTTGTATGAATTTTGGTACTTGTGATTTTTATCATCGGTCATATTGTGTTTTTTGTTTCATGCATACCTGAAAATTCGGTGTGAACTTGAAAATTAAATTTTAATACGCTATCGTGTAAGCTCGCCCTACCATCCAACGACCATTGCTATAAACTGATTGTTAATTTATTTAAGTTTTAAGATTATTTCCAGGATTTTTGAAAATCGTCCAGCCGTCTGGATTTTCTATACACGTATGTGCTCATACGCGCAGAATGTACTTAAACGCTCGGTTGTTTATTAACTGCCATTAAAAAGTGTTTGAACGCGTCTTACAGTACGACAATACACAACGCGTGCAGACGACATGCGAAATTACACGTGTCTGTGTATAGCGGTGGGTCTGCAGCATGCGGCGTATTAACGGCAGAGTGAATTCTATTGATAAAATCAATCGGTGGTAATCGGGCGTTTAATTAAATTAGTGCACTAAATTCCGTTGATGCACGGTCGGGCATTGTCGAAATGGCATTGTATGCCAAATGCTTGCTGGACTGTAGTGTACCAAGTCATTTATGTTAAAGAAAGGAAAATACTATTAATTACTTTTTAGAGTTAGTCACCGCCAACGTCCTATGGCAGATTGCTATTGCCAAATTAATTGCCAAATCCAGTCTAATTGAATTTTTCATTATCGTACGAATTAGCAATATCAAATCTGCTGCATTCGCGATTCTCGCGTTTTGCAAATTGTCGGTTATATCCATTGGGACTTATATTCGCGAACTGCTCCGAGAGTCGGTATTGTCGGTACCGGTATCGATTGTGAAATATCGATACTTGTCTTCGATTATCGAACGATTTTTCTATTGTGTATATGTGTTTACTATACTTTTATTGACTCAATGATGTTATTCTGTGGTGCTTTGCATGTCTCTATTGGACTCTGCATGTCGTATAGGGCATCGTAAGTACTTTAAACGAACTCACCAGAGACTACGAACACACGACACTCTCTTAGTATTATTTATATATCTTTTTATATTTAAACTCACGAAATTTATACGTGCGGATAATTCGTTGCGATGGAAATAATTCATTTGGCGAATCGCAGGGGAACAAGCGTAAAGGTATTGGCTATGCCAGTAGATACTTTTCGCTGCGCCAAGACGCGTTTTATATAGGACCAAGAAAACGGCGATAATTTTGAAATAATTGTATTAACTGAAACTCTTCGGAAGATCCTTTTAGTTACTTTGAGTCATTATGATAATTGCCCTTACTGTTAACGGGACAAAGACAAACAAATATTATGGAAAGGTGATTAGTCTTAGAGCAAATTGATAGTACAATGGTGAATCGAAGGGACTGGACTTTATATTATTTATGAAATTTACGTAATTATTATAACATATTATATTAGCGTCCTGGTGATGTACAAGATGTTTAAAATCGGACGAGTGATCTCCTTCGGTGTCTTTAACACTTATATTGAGTAACAAAAAAAAAAAAGAAAGTGTAACCTTAACCCCATCAGGGGCTGCTTTCGAGACACGGAACGAGGTCCGGCCGTTTTATTCAATTTAATTTATTTATTATCGTCGAATGCGTAACTCAAATACTACTCAATGTTTTAGTTCCTCCTCTATAGTTATACGGAGTTATTAGCAGTAGTATATTATTATTATTAATATTCCATATACATTATGACCCTGTAGTTAGTAATATTTTCCACGTAATGAGATTCCCTTGATTAACCTTTTTATTAATGTTTCGTAGTATCGAATTTCCGCTTCCGTCTTCCCTTCCTCTCCCTGGCTTCCAGATATTCGCAACGTCCAAAGATCAGCGAGAAATTGCAAGGCGCACGTATGACAAAGTGAGATATCGGTGAAGGTTTATAGATGAGTCAATAAGGAGGTGAAAGGGGATGGAAAAGTATGGAAAACGAAAATAATCAAATAAAAGTGCGGTAGAACCGTGAAAACTCTTGCCGTCGATACGATTGCGGATATTGCAATACTCTCAGCCGATCATCACCCATGTGAAAATTCAATTCCATCGATGTTGAATAGACCGAGTACTCCACAGGTGATCGATAGCGCATTCGTTAAATCTTTCATGTCACTTGAAAATATGTTGTGTAGAGGAGAACAAGTTAATTTTTTTTTAAATTCTCCGATGACGCACCGCAAAAAAAAATGTTGCTGTTCGCTCATTCGAATTTCCCGCCAAACGAACAATAAACGCTCTAATGTCCCTTGTGGGGTTTGCTGCTGGTCTACTAACCACAAAGTACCGGCGCCCCTTCGTTTGTATTTACAAACAAGTTTACCACAGTGGTTGACAAAACGAGAAATAACGGAATTGTCACATTCGAGAGAATTCACGAGTAAATTAGACACGCGTCGTCCGATACATTTTCTCTTCTCGTGTTTTTGTCCGGACTACTCGTGAAGCGAGACACGAATCTGCTTCAGTGTTCACTGTTTATATATTTGTAACTACAGAACATCTTACCGACAGAAGGTATACCTATAATCGACTCGACGAATTTTTCGTTATTTTCACGTACTTCGCAAGGGGATCGAAGTCAAGTAAGAAGTTGAGATTTATTAAATGGAAAATTCGCGTAGTTATTCACTTGTACTTTGCATTCTTCTTACCTACGTATAACCTGGTATAGGAAAGTTCTTAAGTACTACGTTGGCATCGTGACGTAATTTCTGATGCTTTATGGAAATTGTTACAGTTATTGGAACAATATAGTACCTCCTACGTAATTCGCATATATTTTTATTGCTTTACTTTTTATTGCTCTTTGTTTCAAAAACGAAAGCGCGCTGGTACTTGTCCTTTAATATTGTGTGTATTGGTTTTGTATATTGAGTTTCTAACGTATTATAGGGATATTCACGTTAAACGCACCACCCGAAACCTTTTTCTCTCATAGAAATCAAATGGGCTAACTAACTTCAAGCGACGCGTTTAACATAAATATGCCTATACTATATGATCTATTCTACAGGATTGAAATAGAATCGAATAAGGACGTTAGAAAGTCAATAGCCATTTTTATTGCGCTTAAACCCCTCTTACGTGCTTACTCAAATTTTTATTAACAATATTCTTCCCTTACCGAGATCCTCGTTTTGGGTTTCCCGTACAATTTTTACGGTATCGTATATATATGTGTTGTGTACCTAACTAAAATTTAGTAATACACCATATCTTACATAGTTTCGTTACTTTCCACTAAAAATTCGAAAAATAACATTTTCCGCAGATTCTCAGCTATAAAGAATTTCCGAGGATCTCGCGTGATTATCTCACTTCCGTGTCCAATCATCTTTATATCCCCAGCCTCCTTCCGTAGAAATTAAAATCTTGATAAGCATAATTCACGATAATCACGATTTCTTTCTCTCGATCCAGGAAAAGGAGGACGGTCCAATTTACAAGTTTTACGAGGTTATCCGCGATTTTGGTGATAATTTTATGAGCGACCTCACGACCCTCCACAACGTGACCTTATTTGCACCTAGTAATGCAGCATGGAGCGAGCCTGGCATAAAGCAGCTTCTCCAGGACAAGAAACGGATGCGAGAGATTCTGAACCTTCATTGCGTCAAGCAACGACTTCCGCTGGCCGAAATCATACAGAGGAACATTAATCAGGTTAGTTAAATGAAAATCGATTCGAACGAGACTCAAAGTGACTTTTCATAAAGCCGAACCTTGCGCCAGGCTCTCATTGACTTGAATTAATTAATCGATTTCGTCCTTATTAAGAATTTATTTCATTCTCTTATGTCAATACCGAATCTCCCCACTTTCCCCACTTTCTTTCTATCGTAACAAGACACAGTCGACAATCTTCACAAAACTTTATAAACGATGCCAGCTTACTGTTTTCTGAAAGATGCAGTCGCTTGGAAATGGACACTTCGAGGTAACGAGAATTAACACACAGCATAGTCGACGCTTATTTATTCAATGATATCACGTGCGTCATACACGCACAATTACATACTATAATACACGCACCCTAAGCTTTATACCTCGTTCAGTTTTTAAGAATCAACACAAAAAAGAACGCATAGACATTCGGAATGAAAAACTATGCATATTTTGCTTCGAATCCCTCCTGTGCATTTTATCCAGCAGCTCTTCCTAAAGATATCGCTATTCCCTTGTACCGTCATATTGCATTAAGTAACATAAGTCAGAAGAGAGTATTTTTTAATTAAAATAATCTAATCCAAGTCACGTTCCTTTTACTCGTTTATCAACAGTAAATTGAGGAAGGGGTCGAGAGATATAAATGTGGAGAGGACTCAAAACGTACATAAGAGTTATTTTAAAACAATTGGCCAAAACGTAGGAGTAAAGAGTACATTGTCCATCGGACTTACGTTTAAGTCACTTTCTTCGTTTCCTCGTAATTTTATTATCACCCGGCGGAACTTCTCGAGTCGATTAGATGATAATGAGCCTCGAGCCTCGAGACGTACAAAGACGAGCAGCGCGCTTAAGGCGCCAAGTACAATTAAACGAACCTTTTCGTCAGAAAAAGGACTCGAAGCGTTTCTGCCATTTCGAATCCTGTTGAGTCAGCTCGACGTTCTGCAGCGATCGAATCGTAAAACACGGAATAATTTATCTGACTGTAGTAACTTCGCTTTTTCGTTTTCCAGTTTTTTTTACTCTCTCTTTCCTTTTTCTTTTTTTTCACCTTTCTCTCCTCGTCTCTCGGCAAAACGAAGCGCGCCTATAAATTCCTATCGCGTTGCAGCTACACTTCTGTTTACCAAGCGTCCTGATGACGGGCTCCCAGCGTTCTGCTAGCGAAATTGTACGAGTTGCCGGCGGAACTCCATGGCTCGCGTTCTGACGACAATGTTATCGTTCAAAGGAACATTTTTCGAGCTCCCGTCAGTAGGCTAGGCGCACGTGGTCGGTCGACGTCCGAGCTAATTTGATTTTTTTAACACACAAATAGTCTGAAATGTATAGAGATGAATAGCACAGTCGTGAGTGTGGCTATAAGAAAAAAAAAACCCGTAGCTACTCTAACGCATAAATGCACTGCTGAATGTAGTTCATTATAAAATAAAATTTTTCATGCTATTGCGAAATACCCGCAATTAGTAGCACGCTGAAATAAAATTCTCTCTCCCTGTAACTTTAACCGAGCGACATTTTGCGTACAAAACAGAAGAGTAGAGGCGGGAGAGAGATTGAGATTTAAAAAAATATACACTCTTATACCGGCTAATTAATAACGCGACTAACAGAAAATATATGCTCGACGGCAAATTCTGCAAATTTACTACCGGTAACAGTTATACCTCGATAAAGCTAATAAATTCGCCCGAGTCTCAAATGAATTCGAACAGGTTTATTCGGCTTGCAACAATGTTTGTGGATTTTCCTCTACATACTGTACCGCCACCCAGTGGGATTTATGGTTGAACGTGAACTCGCTTCAGCAAATTCGTCGCAAAAATTGTACCTGACTTGGGCGCGTGAATTTGACCAGTGCTTCGCATGCACATACCGTCAAATATAGACCGAGAGAGAATATTTTGAAAATCGAAAGTTTATCAGATTTCTACCCTGGAGTTTTAATAAATATTGATACATATTTTTTAGGATATAGAGACAACGTTGTAATTTCCATTGGATTTTTAGCCGTTCACTTCATCCGTTGCTACAGTCCAATGTAACACTGCTTTGACAATGTAAAAAAAGTTCATTGAATTTCATTCCAAATATTTACGATACATTCGTATGCGTATAACTATATTTACTATATGCGTTAACTGATATGTACGTCATTACCAATAACAACAAAGTCAATAGCAACTATAGTATTTTCTCGTGTGATCCGTTCATAGGAATTTCGCTGATAATACATACCCTTGTGTACTCGCGTTTCGTAGCAAGCAGTAATTAGGAAAGCGATATTAGCTAACACGAATGTGGCTTTCAGAATTCATAGATATAATAATTAATTGATTAATAAAATATTTATACAAAGAATCTTAGTGTCTTATGCATTCGGAATCCTAAAAAAAGGGACATATGTATGTGTAAATGCCAATAGTCAGTATAAAAGATAGATGCTCGTGAATTTGTTTTCCAGCGCCGAATAAGTAAGACGCGACCTTATGGTCGAAGAAGTCATGCCTCAAGATAGACTAGTTTACCCCGTTATTTCCCTTGGGCATTTGTCTTTGAAATTTGAAAATATTTTTTCCTCTTTTATTTTAAAGCGCACCAGTGCATCGTGCACTCGCCACTGACGACTAAGAAATTTGCATTAAAGTGTGACGTGGAGGTTTGATATCTTGAAAAAATTACGTATGGCACCGATGCGTTTGATTGGTTTAAACAACCGCTATGTTATTGACGAGCATTGCCAATGCACGTAGTAATTAGAAGCAGCATCATGTGCCGATGCATTCAACGAACAAGGCTATCTAACGGGATATTGAAATGCAATTTGCAATATGAGAGATTTCACGTAATTACGCGCATCAGCCACGCCGTACTCACCAACCTTGGTAACACGTAGGCGGATAAATACATCTATGCATATAGACAGAATGCAAGTCTCTGCACTTCTCCGGGAGTGGTCCGTGTGACGCACGTATATTATGTATATACATATATGTCCTTTTAATTGAATCGATTATTCCAGAATTTTATTCCGGTATTCGAGGTCGTCGCATAAAAGAGAGCAAAACAGTGCACAGCGAATAGGAGAAAATTGGCGAGTTGAATCCGAGTAAAATTCATCCGGAAAAAGTCATCCGGTTAATTTATTCGCGCACGTGTCACCCGGTACCGGCGCCGTGTCTGCGCGAAACCAAGCAGGAAGTAAAAGAACGGCGGAAAGTCGTGAGTCCTCCCGGTGGCACTTTAGAGCAGTTTTATAAGGGAAGCTACCGTGGAGTGGCTGAATTTGCATTGAGCGAGAAGCATCGCGCGAAGCTATGCTAATTTATCGTAGCGATATGTTTTATGCCACTTTGTGCTTCATAATACGCGGGAAGCTAATTCATTCCGTCCCGCACGACATAGACGGGTAAGAGAACTTTGACTCGGAGTCGAAACGAATCGGATGACGAATAAATTTTGGCTTTTCGAGTAAACGAAAAATATAAACGTAGCATATACAACATATACAGTAAGTAGGATAGAGTGGCGGGTGTTAGAGTTGCATATACATGCAACGATGTGAAAGTGGTATCTATAGGTATAGTATGGCCTCGGAAAAGCAAAAGGCCGGAAGTGGCTGAGTGCATAGGGAGAAATTCATGAGGAGGATCAGAAAGAGATAGCTACGGGAAAGCCGCGTGGATCGACTGTGCGAAGTGGCAGTGATTTGCAATCTAAATCATTCGCGAGTAAAAATTTGAATAGCCCGGCCAAGCATCAATTCACGTTGGAGATCCGGGATATCAATTTTCATGCGCTTTTCCTGAAACTTACCTATCTCCTCTGTGCAGAGTTTCCGAAGACATACGTTCCTTTCCTTCGAACCTTGCGTATACCTATATATGTATTATACTGTACTGTACGTACGGGGTATATACAATATGCAGCTATAGACATAGTTCGCATTAGATCAGCCACTTTGACACACTCTCGAACTCTCAGTATCTTACACTTATGCTTCAGCGGAAAAATGGCAGAGACTATACCGCCATTGCCATTTTCATCTGAACACGCTTCGCGAAAGTTTCGCCCCAGCATACGAGTCCCTGGTTCCACTGTGAATCTTCATTTCCTAGATTTCGCTCTAGGTCATGTCCTTCGTTGAGGCATCACGACCCCTCATGAACTGTGGGGTCGAATACGCGACGAGCTTTTGATAACGTTAGCTGTTCCAGGTACCCACGCTTACCGAGAGAAAGAATCTCTACTTCAATGTGGTGAATGGACCAAATGAAAACAATACATTAACCGTCGAGGGAGGCGGAGTAAACGCTACGGTTATCACTCCTGATATAGCTGCTACCAATGGCTACATCCACATCATCAATCGCGTTCTTGGTGTACCTTATACCACAATCTTGGATAAGCTCAGGATCGATCCTATGCTCAAGTGAGTATCTACGAGTATGCACTTATGAAATGTTAAGTCGCTCGTAAGTTGGAGTATCTCTCTTTTTTTTTTCAAAGGTAACTTTCTCCTTATTCCTAATCCCTTGGCCGCGTTTCAAACCAAGTTCGCCTCTTATCCGTAATGCCGGTAAACTCTTATCCGCTTCATGTCGGTTACCTTACGCGCGACTACGTTTTTAATTTGAATTTAATTAAAATAACGCAACAAATTCTCATTTCAATTACCGTGAAGGTTCTCGTAAAAACTATAACCAAGACTTACCGGAAATTGCTTACCGTTTCCCCGGGGGACTTCGGGACGAGCTATTAATTCCGTTTTTAAATGCTTCCGCGAGTACTTTCTGCCTCCCAGTCGAATTTTCTTGGGCCTCCGGGTGCCGGCATAGAACAGAAACTGAACGAAAAAAAAAACAGAACAGGGTAGCGAGTTGTCGTATGAACATATTCAATTTTGAATTCATGTGGTAAATCAGCCACTCGACTTCTCTTAGCGAGTGACTTCGTGAGCAGTATGCTTCTGAGGATGGATTAGGGATAATAAAAAGTTATAATTAATAATTTGGGATTTAAGTAACAAACTGGAGCTCCAAATCAAGGGAGTACACTCTTTAAACTTCAAAGGGCCTGTGAAATAAAGTTTGAAAGAGGCGAAATTTAAAAAATTTAACAGTCTCTTTTTGCTCATTTATACCTCTTAGTACCATATCCTACATCGTCTAATCCTTTAATAAAACTCGACCAGATATTCTTTTTCCATGTATTTCGAGCATAGCAATGGGTGCACATATTGGATAAGGGTTAAGAAATATTATATCAAGGAAATTTCAAATAACAATACAAATCCAACATCCAGAGTATCGTAGCTCGTGTGAATGTCAAATTGTTTAATTTAATGGTGCATTAAATCGGATATTAACTTTGATATCAGTTTCATTAAGCTAATGCCCGAGAGCCATGTGGCATCCCCAAGTAGTATCTATTGGAAAGCTATGCGTCACGGACGGATACGGTGACAGAGGATGGACGACTCAAATCGTGGTTTAGGTGTTAGCTTTAATGCCATTAGCCCCTTTATAGGATCGTCATGCTCGTATCGTAACTCGATGCACTGGATGGATGGTGACGTCAGTATTCAATCACCTACCATACCCTAGGTACAATCGATTTCAAACAAGCCAAGCAAATTCGTATATGTTCAAAATCGATATAGAAATTTCGTGACGGATATAAACAACTTCAGGCTAATGGATTTTCCTGTTATCAATCTTACAGCTCGACATACTTCCTGGGACAACGACGCGACTTCAATGAGCAACTCAGCGACACGACAAAACGCTTCACCTACTTCGTGCCTCGCGATTACGCCTGGAAGAACGCAGAGATCAGCTATCCGTCTGCCTACAAGAAACTCTTCATGCCCGACTTCAGCTATCACGTATGTCGCATTTGCAGCAGGTTTTCTTTATGCTTCTTTTCTTTGGTCCTTTATTGTATAACATTTTGAATACCGTAAAACGGGATACTTTTACGTTTTCCGTATTTTCTAAAAGTTTACGGCCTCCTCCGACCCTTTCTTCTTCTTGTCTATTCATTTCTTTTCTCTTCTATCTCCTTCATTCGAGCATCTAAAACTTGGATGTCCCACGGGACCGGTAACGACGTTTGCGATTTTCTCAAGAACTTTCCCGTCACGTATGCCCATCGCGAAATCAAACTTTGCCAACCTGTGTGCCAAATATGATCATGTAGTGTCGTTCGCTCCCCTTTTTCTCTCAACGATAAAATAAGTATCTTTCGGGAATAACTGTATGACTTTCATTTGTAAATAACAATTATATTCGCCAAAATGCCAAAAGTCAGCCGATCTTCACTGAGCTGCTTTAGAAACTCACTTTGTTCGTGTAATATTATATTTAATAATATTATATTATATTCGGCAAATTTATCCATTGCAGGCCAAGCAGATCCTAGAAAGACATCTGGTTGTGTCAGATCGGGCTTATACAATGGCCAAGCTCAAAGAGATGAGATACAACAATGAGACCATTGAACTGACCACAGTAAGGGACAAGCTGAGAATCCGAGTTAGGGAAACTGGATCAAGTAAGTATTATTTTGAAACACGACGTGGTTCGGCTTCATAAAATAAACGGAAACGAAAAATTGCTCCCTCAAGTTCGATAAAATTAAATTTGCATGTGGAATCAATGAGTTGAATAAGAGTGTACTCGCCTATGCTCGCATCCTAGAATAACATTGATTATCCTATAAAGTCTATCTTTCCATTCATCCATTCATCTGGCTATCCACCTATCTATCTACTGCTGTACATTATATCGATTTCCCAGACGAGAAGATTGACGAAAACGCTATTCGTCCGCAAACCGAGGGTGGTGAGTTTCCATTCAGAAGTCTCTTTCTCTCTCAGGTCTCACACTGTACTAAACTCGATAAGAGACACGTGCTTGAGAATCCATAATTGCAACGCGATGGCTATCGATGCAACAGTATTTATTGTATGCAATTCAATGCAACAGAGCACGTACTTTTCTATGTGTACGCACCCCTCGTCGTTTCTACACAGGTTGTAAAGACACATCTCACTGGCAATAGGCATCTCCTGTGCCTTTCCGAAGGAATTTTATTCCTGCATCACGATCGGAGAAACTCTCGCGTTTAAGCAGTACGTCTATCCATCCTCTTACACTGTGTATATCAGTAATAATAAAAATTGATCCGATCGTGAAACCGGATATCGCACAATTCTTCGACACCCAAGCGATATAATGCATCAGCGTCGTTTTCCTATCAAGTTCGAGGAACGATCGAAGGGAGACAATTGGATGTCTGATATCGAGAGCAGACTTTCTGTAACAAGTGTAACGACTAGACTAGACACGGTCGAACAAATTGCGTAAAAGTCGTCGAGCCAAGTAAATAATTGGGTAGCTCAAAAGATTCTACTTATACCTTCTCCCTTTGTGTCTCTCCCAATCTCCCTTATTCTCCCTTATTCTCCCTTAGCCTCTTTCAGCCTCATTATTACCACCCCCGTCGTCCCTTTGTCCAGCTACCGTGACAAATACCGCTAATTAGCCGAGAACTAATTTATTCGCGTGGAAGTTACATCGGCTTTAACCCAGGGGACCGCCTTGTGATTCAATCTTGCTACGATGTCATTTTATTTTCATAGAGCGACCCATTCATGGACTGTGGACACACGTGACGCTTGCGATTCATTGTGAAAAGATGTGAAATTGTGGTCGCGTTACGGTGCGACTGTACGAATTAATTTGAAATTCCTAACAAATGTGGGAGAGCTACGGGCAACGGTAGTACAAAAGAATTAATAGAATCGTAAACAACGAAATTTTTTAAGACTACCTGTCAGAGTACGAATAGATATACATATGTGTCTATCATGTGATAGGCTACAGGCTGTTGGATACTGGAATTGCATTAGTTAATTGTTTATTTAACTTTATAATGTCTAGCCCTCCTTTTCGTGGCTTAGAACGAATTATTATAGTCCTTGAAACTAAATAATACTCCGCATAGCCTGTATTATTGTGAAAATTGCTAACTTCGTATGCGAAATGTCCAGAGCGAATTAAATTGATTCGTGCTCCATGCCGGTAACTTTTACGGAATGACGTTCCGACTGAAAATAACACCTTTTTTTGTGCTCCTTCTGCTGCAGCATCAGCTCTATAGGTACGGGCTGCAAGAGTGAGAGAATTTATTATGCACCTTTCGACCGCCATTTAAATGCAAATTTCTTGATTACTCCCTGCGCTAATTGCTACGTGCTTCATTTCGCGCGGAACATGTCTAACGCATTGTCCTCAGTCCTGGTGAATTCCTATTCAGAAAAATTGGACTCTGGTTAAGTGTGTTGAGTGTCTCAATTCTCTATTTACGAGTTGGGTAGGAAAATTCAGAACGTCTCCATTATTGCTATTGGCATCGCACGTGCTTCGTACCGTTCAGCGCGCATGCGCAACTGGTTAAATGTCGAAGTTCGTTGGCGAAAAAATTGCTGGGTAAAACTGGCACGGGGCACTTGTGCCACTTAATGACTTCGACAAAGTTTAACAAAGCGGAGATAAATATTCAAAAGGCGTTCCTGACATTGGGTCTTCCGTTTTCCCTTCTTCCCTAGTCGTTTCTCTGTCTATGTATAGATATAGAGAATATGGAAGCTCAGTGTACCAGAATCCTTTGAAGGAGGAAGTCTTCCCGAGGACGCGAATGGGATAGTTTCTGTCATCCATTACTGATGCTTTTAAATAAGAATATCCTTAAAGCTTCTATACCAGTTCCCGCTTTTACGCCAATTGAATAAATTTTCTGGTTCGATTTACCTCATCGTGCCCAATTATTTAACTCTATTCCTACCGGGCTATGTTACTGACGTAGACTACCACGATTTGAAATTGACATTTTACATGGTAAAATTAAGCCTTAATTAATAAAAAAAAATTGAGGATACCTAAACAAAAAATGTGATTCAAAATGAAAACCTGGTAGGAATAGAATTAAAGACAAGAGTCTCGTTACACCGTAGACTAATGTTTTTGAATTTTTTAAAAATATTTCAGGCTACTTCATCGAGTGGGAACGAAAGAAAATTCACGTCTTCCGTCCCGACGTCGAGTGCACCAATGGCATCATCCACGTCATTGACGGCGTCTTTCTTTTGGATAGTGACGTCAGAGTAACCGGAGGCTCATCCATCGCTACCATCGTACCGCACCTCGTCATAATTTTCGTAGCCACGTGGCTGTTGTAAGCCGACCACGAATTTAGATACAGCTAAAATATCCTGAGGCTGATGACTATACGACCTTCTACTGATAATCAAATCATCGATTCAGGAACCACTTCCATGCACTATTAAAGCCTTTCGGCTGCTTGATTAAGGATTCATTAATAAGGAGAGAATATAATTTGGCTCTCACGTTGAATTGTCATTACTAAGTAATGGCATAGGTACTATGATAAATTCATATTACATACTAGTGGAATTATGGTTTCCGTCCATTGACTCGTTTATATTGACAGGAACCAAAAAAAAAATCATTAAGCAATTCCAGAAAGACGTGCAAGCCAAAATATAAAGAGCAAGGAACATGAAATAAAAATAAGTTGCATACTAACATTCAGATGTTGGTTTTTTTTTCGATCGAGCAGCCCCAGGTGAGGATAGCCTATTATTTATTGATGGTCGTCCAAGGGACGATGCTACGGGTTAGACTTTATCGTACCAAATAATAAGTAACAAACGAGGCGAACAGAAGTTGAAAGAAGTTGCGAATGTAAAGGTTTACGACGAACTGTTTGTGAAGTATATTACTTAAGTTTCTGATTAAAAAATAAAATAAAGATTTAAAAAAAGGACCAGGCATCTACTACACGGCCGTTGTTGACCTACGTGCAATGCGTGGATTGCTCGGTTGGTAATAATGACCGCGATGAATAACTCGTGCGAACGAACAATCTGATCCATGGACGATCCTTAAACAATCTTGCAGGTTGAGCCTGCGAAATCTCAACCCGACCTAACCTAACACCAGAAAACTTTTCTAGCGACGATGTTTCTTGTTTTAGTTGGTAAAGCGATTAGATTGGCTTTCGAAATCCGTATGGCTCATATTCGATCTGGAATCCACACGCTCTGTATAAATGTACTCTCTAATTACCGAAAACGACCTACTACTGCCAGAAGTACTCGAGTCGCAAGAACTAGCGCACGCGTAGCACAGTCGAAGGGCATATCATAATCGAATGCAGGAAAAACCATCCTCGCGTACAGATCAGCGTTCGTTAATTATATTGATCCAGCGAGAAAATTTTTATCGATCATTCTCATACTAGGAAAATCCGGTTATAAAAGTAAAATTAGGTACCGATTACAAAACTAATTATCAATGTTAATTAAGAACCTGCGAAATCTTTTGAATGAGCTTTCCGGACAAGTTCGCCCGATCCTAATTCTCTTCCCGATTTTCTATCACCCCCCGGGATGAACCTGGAATGAATCTGTTCCCAATATCCCTCGGGGAATCGAAAAGTGATCTTTATCACAATAATGCACGTGGACGACGAAGCGTCTCTGTCTTGAAGTACCCGATGCAGTTTATCAAAAACGTACTAACGAATAAGATCTAGATTTTAGAACGCGTGTTACGTCCAAATATCCGTGGAGCTCGACCAACGATATGATAGGTTATGATCCAAAGTAAAAGAGATGAAAAGAAAATGATGAAACTCTTATACACGTTACATAGGAAACTGCCGAACGCTGTAAACGAAATTGTCACAGGGCGTTTGGCTGATCGTTCATTTTCACAGGAGACATAAAAAGAAAAGAATGAAAAACTAATAAACGATATTACGTGTTGATATCAGTCTATACATATAATATATGATACACAGAGATATATTGAAGGGGAGAAGTGTACTGGGGAAAAGCAGAGAGCGTACAAGAGGAAGAAGAGAGTACTATCAAACGATATCTTACTTGTTGTTGGGATGATAACTATTAATGATTATATACATAAACTCTAATTAACACTGTTTGTTCGTTAGATCAATGAAATAGTAGAGCTCTATCTCTCTGTATAGATGTGTCTTAATGTTCAGCTTGTCATATACGAATCGAATCACGTTCATCTGATTTAAAAGGGATAAAAAAAACAAATTGAAGAACGCAGATAGCTGCAAATGACTCACGAGTCATCAGGCGCAGCTTTCGTATACGGATTCTATTAATCCTCCTCTCATTGAATAGAACTCATTAATATAATAGTATTACGATTCATCGTGGTCGATGATTTTTATGCCTCCCACCATCCGGGTAACTGGAACCACGCTCTTTTTCACTTTAATCGTATAAAATCGACTTTTGCAGAGCTTACAATCGCAAGAGACACCCCACGCGTCATTTTAGTTTCCTTCGTCACGGCACTCCTTTGCGTCCCGATTACTGAGATGGTTTTTCACGAATATTCATAAGTTTCTTCCCTTCCTCGTTCACTCTGTTTCAACAACCATAAAAGCAATCCTTATTTTGATCTTCGAGAATCCGAAAAATTTTCAACAATTGTTTCCTGACAGATAACAAAGATTTTTTGATCCTTCGATCTTATACCACGCTTTCCAAACTTTCAATCGACTGATATAGTAGCTTTTTTTTAATTCCATACATTTGCCGATCCTGCACGATTTGCCACGTACCATCGTCATTATTTGTACATTTTGTAGATATTACGGTATCGCTTACGGCGGGGCAGATTGTGGTTAATATTAAATACCTAATGTTTAAACGGTTACGAGCATTAGTTGATGTCAAATACTAAGGTTAACTAATTGAATCAAAGAAAACTCACGACCACCTCGAGATTTTTGATTTGTTGATTGGCTGATTCAACAACATTCCTAATCAATCAGAAATTTTTAATCTCAAGTTAGTCTCTTACGTATTAGGTAATTACGCAACGCTACGTATAGACACGACATACGCAGATAACGTAACACACGTGCGTGCATGAACACCTACATGAAGATTCACTTTTGTGAGATGCGTTTCCTACACTATATTAACTGAACTGAACGTGTTTTTACTAAAAACGCGTAGCTCGATCGCAAAGCCGAATATAAGAGTCATATTGTAGGAAAAATGAAAAAAAGAGATGAAAAAAAAAATAAAAAACATAAATATGGACACGAACGGACGTCATATGAATTACTATGATATCGCTAACTCTTAGGGTTTTATTACCGCAATATTCGAGTGATTTGTTTTTAATACACTTACCATTAATTAAATAATAGATTTACGACTATGACGCTAATTAAGAACGCTATGAGTATTGTGGGTCAGACCTCGATACTGTCAGGTTAAAATCGCAGTTTCCATTGTTACACCTGACTACTTGTTTTCTAAGATAATGATAAATGTTTGAAATAATAATGGCAATTACGTAAGGCTTCTCTCACAAAAATGATAAGCCGTCGTCGACAGTAAGATCGCCCTTGTGAAATTCCCTGTCACTTTCATCGAATTATCCATCCAACCAAAACGTTCGATTTTCTATGAAAAGCGCAACGGGATTCTCTGGCGACGACGCGGTTGGCGCATTTCCAACGCGCTTTAATACTCCCACGCGACAAAATACTCCGTGTGAAGGTGACGTCTTTTATTAAGAGGTGTGAATGGAAAGATATTAATTATATTTAATTGTAAGTTCGAGTCACTCGCGAGCGATAAGTGAAATAAGTATCATCGCGTGAACACCTCTGAAAATGATTATTAATATGACGCTTCTTGCATCGGATGGTCGATGCAAGATCTTTATTCCTGAAACGATGAGATTTATGTACTGTGCGTTGTTGTCTAATCATTTTCTGCTACGTGTTCTGTATACCGTCGCGTATGAGCCGGCCTCGTTTTCATGGGACTGCACACCAAGAATGCTTTCTATTACGATTACATTCAACCATCAAGAGTTTATGCGTTACTGCGCCTGGATGATAGATGTTGAATGATGATACAAGGCGAAAGAAGAAATATATGAGATGGTGCGAGAAAGAAAACTCGAAGACGACGTTCCCTGTTACGTGAAAATGCGGTCGGTCGCCCATCCCGCTACAGTCTCATTTAACAAATAAATCATTATCGGATAAGGCTAACAATAATCGACGTAATTCGATTTTAAATTCCGGACGAACGTAACGAATAAGCGATTTGATATTTTAAGAATTGGATACACTGACGAATTCATTCGAAATTACCCTAACTGACTATTAAGGATTATTTATTAGATATATTATAAATATATATAGATATATATATATATATATATAAATAAATATTATTGTAGGAAAATCAAATTTATGTACCACAGAGCTATTTGTATAAAAGGCATTTGTTTCAAATAACGATATTGATATCGCTCTATATTTAATTGCAATTGCAGCCGGTAACGTTAGGTATATATTTTAGATAATTAATGGTCAAAAAATTCTAGTTTTATTAGACATTAGCTTGTATAATTATATTCCTAAGGTTAAATTTAGGTTCACCAGCGTACACGCGCAAATGCGCGAGTATGTTTTTAATGAACGACAAAAACAGTTCTGTTAATTAATTTAATTACTCTTTGGTTCTTTCGTCGTTCACTCCCGTCGCCGTCGTGCTTTTCACGTCCGATTGTAAATCGTCTTTCAATGTTTGCGACAGCAGGCGGAGTATCATTCTAATGCGCTATAATGCCGCGAGAGGCTCTGCTGGCTATTAATAACGATCTAAAATAATGAATTAAATGGTGCCGCCCGTCTCGCAAAACTTGAAGCGTATCTTGCTGCTTCACGATACTCTGTAAACTTTCTCGCTTATGCTGTATGATTTTACGAAGAATAAAGAACACCTACGACACTATCGAAAATCAATACAAGTCTTTTCACTCTACCGAAATCAGCATCTATTCGGCGAATCCTATACAAGCTTTCCCACCCTGATGTTCTTAGTGCCTTATTTTAAATCGGTTTGTAAACTCCTAACACCTCCTAACACTTCCTGAAGACATTCTAAAGCCTCTAGACTTGGGTACATCCTTGTTTGACACATGGATCTTACACTACTGGTGAATATTTCTAGGCCTATCGTTCTAATAGCTCTTCTACAGGGTTCAGGAAATTTTCCATCGACGTAAAAAGCTACATTTTTTAATAGATCTTCTATGGAGTCATCGAGGGTCAATGTGTACACTCCACCGAGTGATATAAATTTACTGTAGAGGCGAGTGAGAAAAATGAAGTCACTCTGAAAGAGAACTCTTCCATCTGTGAGAGGTAAATGCATCACTTTGTTCCAGATAGTTAGCAAGTAGGAATTTGCTGGACCTTCCAGGAAAATAAATATCTCATTAATGGTATCAATTGTGTAACCAGTCAAGACAGCAGTAAAATCCATAGAATTGGAATCAGCTTCATTTTTATTCTTGAAATATTGCTCTGCCAGTCCCTATTAAAGTCAACTATTTGAATATGAATAGTACATTAGGAATCTTTTCTTACGTTCCACGTGGATTCTGAAGTTCCTGGCGAAACGTGACTGTTAAGAATTTCATGGTTATGATCCGAGACACCCTTGAGGATCTCCATGCTGAGAGTCCTGTTCTTCAGAATTAGAAATATTCTATTGAAAAATTCTCCTTTCTCAAATATCTCCCGCATGGCAGGTCGCAAGCTTCCTGCCAGGCGAACTCTGATCCTAATGGAAGTACTATGTAATGATAAAACATCCGGGGTTAACGAGGATTTGTTTCTAAATGTAGTAAAGATGTTGGAATTAATGGGTCTTGTTAAAGTATCGCAGGATAAAGACGGAAATCCTATACTGTTAAAGGTATTGGGATGAAACAAGCTGTTTGTAGCGCTGATCTCCCAGTAACCGTTTAGAAGATCAGAGAGATCAAATGTTGCCACACCCAATAAGACCTCGTGAGATTTTTGTAAATCTCTATAGGTTTCACGTGAATCAATCGGCTTTGAAATATCAGCATCTGATACCCGTGTACCGAAAATCGATGACTCTAATCGGGATCTTGAGTTATTAAATATTCCAAAAATCTGTAAATATTACATAACATTATACTAAGTATCTTCATTAATTTTTGCAAATTGATAGTATTTTGTTAAATCTTGCCTGAACAATAAGTACGTCATGGGAAAGGGCACTAATTAATTTCATGTAATCCAATTCCTCACATAAAAAAGAATTTATAAATCTCATAGAAATTTTTCGTTCTGGTTTGAAATACGGACTGACTATTTCTCGATCGAGAAAGTGTACTCTTGCCTGAACACCATAAAAGCCATCTTGTATTAATAAATCGTCTGGCAGGTTTAAGAGTTTCTCCACATTTATGGATAAAGGATTTAATCGTAATCTCATATCCATATCAGTCAAAAGGTCACTGCAGGATGAATAAATAATGATACGAGATGGACCAGATATTTCTGATGTATTGAGATATCGAATTATCGGAGTCATTTCTGTAAATTAAAAAAAAACAATTTTGGAGTTTTTCACTATGTAAATTGAAAATTAAAATAAACTGCTAAATTCAATTCTTGAAGAATCAATATCAAAATTACCAGAAAAAAAGTTTTGGGCTTCAAACGACAACTCGTGTACCATTGTTTTTGGCTTCTCCATTTTTTTTAATTTTAACTTCTTTTCTGTTTGGACATTCTTGACAGTATTTTTCGATTGCTCGGTCGGTATGATAGCAGGTTCCGGAACAAACAATGGTTTTCTAATCATCTTCCAGAATAAACGATGATGAATAGGATCTGTATAGAAGGTTCAATGTGTTCTTAGAACTTAGTAACATCTGACAAAACTTTCCATCAGTCGGTTCGTGTACCGGGTAGGGCTTTGATATGGATATTGATATTTGGAACTTCGTAGTTATAAATCCCATTATCCGTAGTATCTGGGAAATCGGGAAAGTCAGTCTTCTCGAAAATTGGAATTCCATTATCTTCGTCAAACGGATACAACTCTATAAACATATCTGCAGGATTTTTTTCTAAGGAGCTGTCGTCGATAAAGAAGTGTCGTGGCCTATCATTTTTTGCTCTGTAAAGTGATATTTTTCATATAAATGTAAAACTTTCGCTGAAGAAGTTTCAAAATGGACTAACTTTTCTGAAAATCTTTCTTTTCCAGCCGATACTTGAAAAGTAAGAGTATGATTAAAAAGCTTCCGCATTTGCATCTCATTTAAATTCGTCAAATGATATATCGAAAATACAACCCAAAGTTTGTCTTCAATTAACAAAGGTTTCAGAATGCATGTCATACCATTCATATAAATCTATAAACGTATATAATTTTAGTAGAAAGAAAGGAATACTTTTTTCAAGTGAAAATCTGCATCGAAAATATTTTATGTCATTGCGAAAATAAGAACTTAAACCTTCGCGGCATTGTCCCAACAGCAACAGTCAAGTGCAAATCTAAAACCAGGAACCAGTTCATATTCGATATGTATATCAGCCAAGATTTGTCCAACGCCAATGATATTTTTAACAGCATCGTGATCCACAACAAAACTTTTACGACTTTTTCGCTCCTTAGTATGAGCTTTCAACTTTTTATTCCGTTTTTCTGTGACATCGACTCTTGGCTCCAATCCGACGGAAAACGCGAAGGTTATAACAAACTGCGTCATTTTCTGGGTAAGAAAGTCGTCACAACTTTTCTTGCTAAAATCTAGTGCGTTACGTTTATACGCTCGCGAAACTTCTTCAATTTACTTGAAAACCGTTGAACGCAAGCGAATTTCATAACGACAAGAAATTTTCAAATTGTGTACTGATAAACAAGTGAGACAAATAAGCGATGAATGGGATTCGAACTACGTTCAGTTTATTTGTAACCTTCCTGTATTCCTGAAATAGAATAATTATTAAGGGGAATTGAGACTCTTGGCTATCATAAGGAGAAGTACAAAAAGTCTTCAAGAGGACATTGCCCTTTTGTAGTATTTGAGGCATGTTTTCAAATGACGCGCTCTGAGACCACTAGAAATTCAATATGGCAGGTTATACCTGCGCTGTATAGAAACGCGGCGTCGTCAGAGGAATAGTGTACATTGGTTAAGGAAGCCTCGTGCCCCTCTGTGAGGATAAACGATTATAACTTTAATTTACAAATTTATATTAATAAATTATAATAATGTCCATTTTGTTGAGTAGGATTTCTACGAACTTTTATAAACAACAATTACATATTTACTAGAAACCACGAGGTCTTTGGAAAATATTACTGAAGTTTCTTATTTCATTGCTCTAAAAAGGACTCGCGCTGCAGAAATGTCTCAGGACGACGACGTCGGATTTTTATTTAAAACAATGAGTGAGTATTGTAGACAATAAGCATAATGTAGTATTGAGTGTGGACATTATATATGTGGGAAATACTACGATGATCGTGTTTTACTTCATAACATAACATTTAATTAATATTGTAACTCTATATTGAATGCTGAAACTGTAATTATTGATGTTTTTATTTCGAAACTCTTTTTGAAATATTAAATATTTCGTATCGACTTTTTAAATGTTCAGTTTATACATTCCACGTGTTGAATTAGAATTCTTTGTTTCAAGTTTTTTTAACATGCTTTTGTATGCTCAGCTGTATCCTTCACATTTTGCATAACCCATATCATAACTCATTGATAAATATCGTTATTCGAAAAGTTTTTAGAAAGGCAAGTTTTTTACGCGTTCCTAGTAAATGAATATTGTATCTTTCTACTTATAATAGTCGTAACAAAGACCAGATAACTGGTACGTCAGGTTGCATGTAAATTACTAATAAACTCTACTAGTATTATCTCAGCAAACACAAAGTTACGATTTCCTACTCGTAAATATAGCAGTTCCGCAAATGAAATGCTTTATAACTATTACATCCTTAAATAGGAAATGTTAACATTGCGGAAATATATAACTGTTACTTTATGTTTGCCGGGATGATGTTTTATTCTAATAACCAATTATATATGTATAATTCTACCATTCTTGCACGTACTCCATTATAGATTCCATGACGCCAGCCCCATTAGCTTATTCGTTTTTATTAACATGATGATTTCCAATTGCCAATGATTTTCGACATTAATTTTTTGGCAATCAGTGCATGTAACTGAACAGTAGATCAACGTTTTTTTCATGTCTTTATGATAAAGTTAAATTTAAAACACATTTAAAAGCTTGACGTACACCCCGGCAACCAGCGTTATGTGCACAAGCGTGCAAGAGTGTCAAAGCGTTTGAGGGGTGTTGATTTCATGAGTAGTGGGAGATACTTGGATATTTGAGGGGTATTAATGCGTCAGATCCGTAATGGAGTAGAACAGACGCTTTCGTATCGCAAAACACTTTGGACAGGGGATATCACAGTGAAACGATGAGTAGTTCATGTAAGTGGTTTTTTCATGGCTCGTTCATAACCTGTTATTAAAAGCCGGGTATTTAACAATTTGAAAATAGAATAAATGCAAAAAAATGTTTGATATAATTATCTTTACTTGCAGAAATTTTGCGTACACCGATTGCGTGTTATATTATGTTCCTTTGTACATTATTTTGTATTGCTTCAGCAGTATATCTAATATGTCATTATGCAAAAATGAATTCATATTTATGAGAATATTTACACAACACCCATGTTAATTAATTTTGTTAATATACATTCAGTTTCATTGTTTATATGTATTTTTTAATTCATTCTATATATGAATAAAACCTATTTTTTTAACAGTTGAACGTGATCCCAAAAAGCGAAGGGTGAAGCCTGTGGCTCCAGCTCAACAATCTGTTTTGGACTTTGATTTTGAAAGCTCTGATGACAGTGACTTTAGGATTGAAGATCATTGTGAAGAGTCAGATGATGATTCTGTAGATTCTAATGATCCTGGAAAAGGTAAATATATTGGAAAATTTTCCAAAAGGTCAAATTTTCCAGTGACTCGGTCACATTTATTAAGTGTAATTCACCATTCACTGCTTTGATTGAAGATGGCGAGGAAGATGATTCTGAGGAATCAGATGATTCTTTGGAAGATCCATTGCTAGGTGGCAAAGGAAATAGTGGAATGACTGTAGGAGATGTGATAGATCAGGCAAGACAACAGGCATCGAAGGGTGGCCAATTAGATGAAAAGCTGACAAAAATGCTAATATGCTGTGGCTGCCTTGGTGACAGAAGTGATGATATTAATGAAATTGTGGAATGTGATGGCTGTGGTGTTACTGTTCATGAAGGTAATGCACCATAAAAAAAAGCTATCTCGTTTACAGTGAAAACTATTATTTAAATTACCATATAGGATGTTACGGAGTATCAGATGTGGAAAGTTTCTCAAGTACAGACTCTCTATGTCAGTCCGCTCCATGGTTCTGTGAAGCCTGTAGCGCTGGTGTAGATGATCCGTCTTGTGAGCTATGTCCAAACAAAGGTGGAATTTTCAAAGAAACTGATGTGGGTAAATGGGTTCACTTAGTATGTGCTCTCTATGTACCTGGAGTAGCTTTCGGAGAGGTTGGTCATAACTATATTCTTACTTAAATGTAATTCAGAAAATGGGTATGTCATTATGATGAGATAACGTCTAATTTTAGGTGGATCGTCTGGCCAGTGTAACCCTCTTTGAAATGGCATATAGTAAATGGGGTGCTAAGCAATGCTCTTTGTGTGAAGATGCAAGGTACGCACGCACTGGTGTGTGTATTGAATGCGATGCTGGAATGTGCCATACTTACTTTCATGTTACTTGGTAAGTTTCAATCAGTATGCGTGATCAGTACTATCGTAAACAAAATTAGTCAATAAATAAAATTTTCATTCTTCCCTGTAGTGCGCAAAGGGAAGGTCTTTTATCCGAGGCACACAGTGAGGAAGTGGATCAAGCTGATCCATTTTATGCACATTGTAAACTGCATTCGGATAAAACACTGGTACGCAGAAGAAGACGCAATTGGTTAGCATTACAATTTCGCGCACAGTACAGGCAAAAATTGCTCAAGCAACCCGACCATTTGGATACAGAAGAACAACGTAGAATTCAACGGAAACTTGCCAAGCATAGGCACAAGTATTTAGCGCACAAAGCATCAAGACCACCTCCTTGGGGTATTGTTTCCAAACATTAAATATCAATTCATTTTTGTCATATTGATTACAACCTGATACAGTTCAAAATACTTTTCTTGTATAGTACCAACACAGAAAATGCCTCGTTTACTAACAACGTCGGCCTCAGCTTGTCGACAATTGGCAAAGAAAGCAGAATTAATGGGCGTTGATACTGCTGCTCTAGAAGCTCAAGAGGCACAACTGGTAGCTCTGGTTGACGTCAGAAAAAAATGGCACATTCCCCCAGCATTCAGTGTTGAATTTATTGGCTATTATCTAGACAGAAATTTGCGTGTAGCCTCCATGAAAAGACGACTGCAAGAGCATCTTGACGTTAATTCACAACTCTTGAATGAACAGCAGAGACTTGACCGGAAATACGATGAAGTGATGAAAGATAATGAGGAGCAAATCAGGGTGAATGTTACTCTGAAAGAAAAAATTGAATTATATCATCAAGTACTTAGAGCGTCTGGTTATGTTAAACCTTTGCCACTGGTTGCGGATTTAGCCAAACCGAGAATACCAACTACTCTTGGTAAGTAAAGCGTTCGCCACTGCTATGACATTAGTATAAGCTGATCTTATTCTTGATTAGGTACAGGATTAGGAGTACCGACGGCAGCTGCATTGAAAATGGGTGTAGGATTTCCACTTCCTGTAGGTAAAGGTGGTGAAGGTATTCGCGAGGGTAGAGTATTGAGCAGCCAGGCTCACGATCAAAATCATAAAGGCGAACTGACATTACGACATCAATGTGGAATTTGTAGAGGAGCTACGAACCAGCATTTACTAGCTAAATGCGACACTTGTCATCTTCACTACCATCTATCTTGTCTCAGTCCACCTTTATCTCGTATGCCTAAGAAGACAAAGCTAATGGGCTGGTACATATTTTTGTTACAGAATGAGATACATATTTTTCTGAGGTCATTACTAAAATCATTATCATTACATTAATTTAGGCAATGTTCTGAATGCGATAAGGAATCATCCGGTTCGGAAGTAGAACATGTAGATACGTCAGCGCCACGCAAGTTGAGGCACTGTAAGGATGAAGCTAATTTAACGCCAACGCCACCACAAGAAGTCCAAATTCCTACAACACCTACCACACCTACCACTTCAAAGAATTCATCTACCAGTACTGGTAGTATAATTAACGTAACTGTTCCCGATACTCCTACCACGCCGAAGGTAATATTGATATACAGTGTTTAGGTTTGTTACTTAAGATTGTATATTCATAATTGAATTTTTATACGTGATTATAGTTAACTATTAAACCTATGGGTCTGCAACCACCAGAACCTGAACCAATGCAGTTGGATGAACCTGTGGTGAGTGAACTGTGTGTGAATAATATACCTATAACACCCAGAGAAGGTTCACCTCAGTATATGGTAGCTTCGGCTGATGGTACCGAATCTATTCCACAGAGAAGTGGTAAGAAACGACGAAGGTACGTGCATCCAATAATATTTGTAATATTAAGGAAGTTGAGGACCTATCATTTACAATGTAAATAAACTCCGATTTAAGAAAGAATATTTATCACAATTTTGTTATTTACAATTTTCGATCACATTTTGCTCGCATGGTAATGAGAGATCATAAAATCTCTTATTTATATATGTAGCAATACATAACGATCGTAATAATTAAATAATAATTATTTAACAGGGAAAAACATAAAAGATATACACCCGATCCTATTACTGGTGTGAAACAGAGAAAACGAAAACATAAGAGAAAGAGTTTTGATGTAGAGAATCCAGAAACTCAAGGCCAACCAGAAATTCATAGAAGAATAACTATAAAGGTGCGTTTATTAAACGTTAATATTTTCAGTTATCATTCATGTTCAAATAAATAATGTTTTTCTTTCACTACAGATTAAACCAATTCCTCGACCGGAAGGGGAAATGGCATCAGAATCAAGTCCTCAAATGTTTGTGGCTACAAGTACCAGTACTGAAATTTCTCCACCACCACCTACACCAAAGCTTCCGCCACCTCTGCTTCCTCCACCTGTTCCAAGTGAGCCAGCTATTCCTAGCAGTAGTACTAACCCTAGGTTATCTTCGGGTAATGGAAAGAAAGGCAAGGAAACTGAACTTCTCACACAATGCAACGTTTGCGATACTCCTGGAACTATTCAGAATCTAGTTAGGTCAGTATCAATCAAATTTTAACCTGTTACAGTTTAGATACTGCCATTGAATTTCGACGAGCCAATAATATTTTAAGAAATTAATGTTTTCTATTATACAACGATATCCTTGATTTGTTTCTAGGTGCGACGAATGTAAGAAATGTTACCATTTTACCTGTTTGGATCCTCCTGTTAAGAAGTCCCCAAAAAGAAGAGGGTACTCTTGGCACTGTGCAGACTGTGATCCCAGTGTAAGTGGTGACTTTTTTACTGCTACATAATCAGTGATACTTTTAGGCATAGGAACGCCGAAAAATTACTTACTGTAAAAGAAAAAACAAATCAATAATAATCATTTTACACATTATTAAAAAAAATCTTCTCTCAATTGGCATTTGTTGCCTTCTTTTCGTATGGTCACTTCTCTTTTTAGTCCTTCTTCATAATTTTTTCTCTTTTTCTTATTCTATTCTTTTGTTTCTTTTATCTTTTTCGTTCAAACGTAATTAATTGGATTTACAGCCAATGAAAAATGAAATTCGCAGGAATTCTCTCTGCCAATAATTATGACTGGTGGAGTTATAATGCTTTACTTATACGTCACACTCGGATCATATTCTTCTTTGAGAAGCTGCTCTTCCCGTAACCTAAAACTGTCACTGCTGATAAGTGTCCAAAGTTAAAAAATTAACAATGACGTAACATTGTGAACATTTGTTTCTTTTCAGGCTTCAGAATCTGAGAATTAATTCCGTCAATTTTAAGTGTGCAACGACAGTTCTGCATTCAATATCAGTGAGATATTGAATGCCAACATTTTTTTGTCTTTTTTTGTAACATATACAAAGAAATGGAGGAAATTGATCCCTCTCAATGAGAACGTGAATACATAAGATTCGTACTGTAATTTCACTGGTTTATATAAAATCTAATGTATTATTGCAAGGTATTATCCGAATAACTTGTCAAAGTGAAATTTCGATACTGGTCTTCTGTATTGTTCGTATATATATTTTTGTTTTATACCGTAGACGTACGATACGTTACGATACGATAGCTGATAACACACTGTTTACTATTCGCTATCTACGTGCTAATTATAATTATACGTTAGTGAGCGGGTGTAGAAATGTAGATATAAAACAAAATTACCGTAAACAATCTAGATCCACGAATAAAGTTTACATACATTTCCAGACGAGCTCACTAAGAATGATATAACTACAATTTTACGCACATAGCGAATAGTATTTTCACATATTGTGCTGTATGTGATTCATGTGTTTTGCGTATTAAAAAAATGCACCCTTAGATCATGCTCACACGTATGTCTCTGATCAATGAGGGACTTGTACATTTTATTTAGACGTATTATTAAAGGATGTTTATGATTTGCGAGAAGAACAGCGTAATTACACGGACCATTTAGTCGCTTAGTTTTAGGAATTACGACGTAAAGACAAAAACCAGATCTAATAAGAAATTCAAAGTGGCATTTTTGGAATTTTCGGTTTATTGTAATTAACAAAATGCAATTAAAACGTGTTTTAATTTACGAAATGATGTCACTTTGGAAATTCTCAATATTTATTTCCTAGTGAGAAAAAAAAATTCCTTCGACGTTTATTATATGTGCAAGAGTTATATATTAAAATTAAGAAGCAATTTCTTCAGGTAAGTACAATTCTTAATCCAAACTTTCTCCTCGTCATATACTTGGGAATAATTTCCAAAGATAACGAATTTCAGCGAATAAAAAATAATAAACAATTACGATTCATGTTTTATTTCATTAAATATAAATTCATATTTACAAAAGGATGTGTATGGTATAGTAGGTAGTATACATAGTCCCTATATTCAAAAGCTATTATTTTCCCTCCTAGACTCGATTATTTCACATTGTCAAAACAAAAGAGAATGAATAATCTTTATAGGCTCGTGAAGCTGTGTACATCGAGTGTAATGAAATTGCGAAACAAGGATACTTAAATGAGTTACGTAAAATTACACTTGAATCAAATTGAAATATAAAAGAAGGGTACGTCAACGCTATACCAGTAATAACGAGTATAAAAGTATTCGTAGCTTAAACGCATACAAAAAGTCATGTAAACATTACAAAAGACTGCTAGATCCATTTAATAAAATCACCAGTCCATCAGGAAGTAGGATCGTGTAAACTTAAATGTGAAGTATGAAAAATAAAGAAAATAGAATAGAAAAGAAAGAAGAAAAACAGGGATCAATGTAAATACACGTATTTAAATGCAATTCTTTGGCATTTATACATTATATACGGATTAGAAAGATCTAAGTGGCGAATAATTTTTGTACAGAGGCAAAGTTTAATCAGTAATTAGTAACCTTAAATATACATTTATATAAGTACGCCAACGGGGTGTACCGTAATTGTACTCTTCGTGTATTAGGAAAACGGGCTCCACACAAAACTGTTCCATCGTGATGTGTGCTACTAACTACCTATTTGTAGGAGCCCTCCTACAACAATATTCGCATAGAATAGAATTTTTAATAACCCGATTAATTGTATTTAATACGCAACATAGCAGGCATGGCGACAACGAACGTTAAATTACTCTTTGGAGAACGAAAGTCGTTCCGTTCGTCACGAACGAGACGAACTTTTATTATTTCGTTTTTTTTCTTCTAATAATTCTTACAGCAACGCGTTATTATTATAAACAATCGTTTTCATGCCATTACACGAGCGAAATCATCACGCCTTTGTCAATCTCATTGAAATACCTCGGGATTACTTTTCAGCCATTCCAATTACTATGTTCAATTTTTCTATAACGTGTATCGTAAGTACGGAATTCTTTCTAACCTATTGCAGTTGGATATTTTTCATAATATTCAACCTCTTTAATCTCCTTTAATCCTTTACAATTATAATCAAACAGACAATAATCACCGTGACATGTGGCTGTTATTACGCTTACATCCTGAAAGAGGACTGTAACAACCTATATAATATTTTCTCTCTTTTTTTTACTTATATTTCTTATATTTTTGTCCTATACAGGTAAAAGGACAAATCGACAAGTATTCTTATGTAATGTATGGCTGCTGCAATGAACGAGTAAAGTTGAAATCCATATATGTTGTGTCGTAAGGTGAACAGCTCCTAGAAGTCCCATTCAGGTCGTTGCCACGTCATCCCTGTCGCATGCAACAGATTAATATTTTCTATTACTCGACTACGTAAACAAGCAATATCTTGCGCAATCCGTCACGCATATAAATATTACAGTATTTCCCTTCAGTATCACATGCTATATGCTGTATTTACATTGCATACTGCCCCAATTCGACATATCGTATGAGTTTATATAACGTACGCAAGACTTGATATCACATTTTTCATTACTGATTATTAATAGTCTTATATGTATAATAGGCATATGTGCAAAGCTGTGTATATACTCCCTTGTCGATGTGAAATTTTCACGTATATTATATTCGTGCTCAGTGTACATTATAACGTGCGATATAAACTCATGCGAGAAATCCACACATTGTTGCCGGTACTTTTATTTATTCTTAAGTCGTGTGATATGTTTTCATTTGCGACCAATGTATACTTCCCAATACCTATAACAAGTCTTTGGGACTTTTCAGGGTTTTTCGTTGTTCATACTCAAAAATACTCTTCTTCCATAATCGTATATCAGTGAATACAAGATGAAAGTGAGATTGAATATACTGACGACGTGTTTCTGAATCCAGGTGCATAGTGCAGTCTTGATTCGATGAATTGTTCATTACTTAATGACTTATATAAATGTATTATAAATGTGTATTTATAAATTTATCATAATTTTAATACTATTTGTAAGACTCGTATAGCAACAGTCTTGCTATTATCCTTTTGATACCATGCACATGCTACTACGTGATAAATCTGTTAATAGTTAAATCTAAATACATGCAACTTTACCGCAAAATACTTTCATATGTTATAACTTTTTTTCTTGGAAACCACTAAAGAACAATGTATCTCTGAAATTTCGGGTTTACATATATGTAAAAACGTTTGAGCTAGATTTCTTTTGGAGACTGTTTATTTTTATTGCCATTAGCTTCATACGATTTGTATAATAATTGTTATATTATCCACATATATTACAGTTTTATATACAAAGGATCTCGCTATACACTATGTTTAGATCATAATAATTTAATTCCTTTCGAGTGTGTACAAAGAGAGTAATAAATAGGAGATTCGAAGGGATGGATTTTGGGTTGATGGGTTAAGTTTAAGAACCCTAGCTACAATATTAATAAAGGAAAATGGTTAAAGAAATAAATTAATATATTTATAAAAACAGGATAGTGGTAGATTTACAGGAATTATGTTTGACACACTATTTAGGACTAATCCATCGATAAGGCGTATACAGAAACAAAATAAAAAATTAAAGCAATATCCATGGTTCTACAAAAAAAAACAGCCTTCAATTCATAATACAGAAAGTTAACTGAATACCTAATATGTAATCGATACAATTATTAAAAAAAAAAAGCATAAGATCTTTATACTTTTGATTTTTGTTCTATTTGTCCTCACAGAAAGAAGTTCGAATATTCGCTCATTATTAATTATAAACCTGAAAAGGGATCGTTATGCTATTGAAAGTAGGATGTCCTTGTTATGTGATCGATAACAATTTCGTTATTCCTTTTAAACCATCATCATTTACAAGTCATCGTATGCAAAATTGTATGCCGGTAGTAACTTCAGTTATTCATGCATACTGTTTAAATAATATACGTATTGAAACTGACAACGCAATCTTATATGGAGAGAATCTCGATTTCTAATACCTAAAACTATAATTTCATGAAAATCATTATTCGCTTGCGTAGGATGTCTTATAAATATAATTCAGGTATTGTGTGACATGGAATCATGATCGATGAAGTAAGATTCAATTCCTTACGTTTGAAGACTGTCAAGTATCTTAGATGTTGGATCACATCACTTGGACACTCTACTTGTGAACATACGTACATATTAGACTACGTGATTCTGCTTACAAAGGAGACAATGATTTCTTCTTCTTTTTTATATGTAAACCGCTAACGTTCTACATGTACATAATACTGCAACAAAGTTAAACAATGATTATAAAATGCTAACTACCCAAATTTCGTTTTAAACTGTACTCTTTATAATTTAATATTAACTCTCTCATGGTCAACTTACGTTCCTCGAATTTTTGAGGACTAATTTCTAGGTGGAAATACAGGGAACTTTGTAAATTTTTTTCTGAGAATGTCCCCCGCTTCCTACAGCTATACTGAGTCTTCAAACTATATTTAACACCCCATGTTGAATTAAATTTTTGATCACGATAAATATAGGCAATGAAAATATTCCAATAGAAAAAACAGTAATAGTTATATCGCACTCGTCAAAATCCACTTTAGAAACGACTCAACCAACATGTCGCTAGAAAAATAGCTCCCTCGTGTGCTGGCTTCTTTCACGTTGGATTCATCTATCGTCAACAGAAATTTGTTGCTTGTCCAGTCTTTACTCGTATAACACATTTCGAATCGTTTCGAATTTCATTTCAATATTCACGCATCTTCACGCAATTTTTAACAATTGAAAAACATCGAAATGGCAACGGAGAAATAACAGAAAATATTTCCAGGCCTCTGATCTGCCATTCGATTAAAAAATTCTTTTCTTTCCCTCACCCAACAAACCCTCTTCGCAGCTTAATCGATTATGCATCTTTCCTACTTTCAGGTATTGGATCGCATTTATATATCACGATCCGTCAATCAATCCCTATTCACTGATACCCTGATACAGAAGAAGAGCAGTTATATATGGAAAGTAACGTACTTTATATCTCTTGTTGATTCCAAGAATCGTTAAAACCTCTGAAACAATATAATTATCAACTTAAGAAGAATTCATCCAAGATGCACTTGATTCTCGAATGACCTTAGTTGACACGCACCATTTTTTTTTTCAAGATTCATACATTCGTATTACGATAAGTTTTATATCTCCTTCGTAGCGTATAACGACGTGAGCAATGAAATCTGGTACAGTATGACGTTCAAGTTAACAAAATAAAAAAATTATATATTTGACTCTCCACAACGGAGCCCTTACACGTAATGGAATTTGTATTTAAACATCTAATAAACAATTGTATTCGTCTTAATTGAAAAACATAGATTCACGCTCAAACTCACCACAAACGAACGTAATAAAAACCCCTAATATAATTTGAAGAGAGCAGTGGTAAAGCATATATGTTATGATCGTCACGTTAACAAGGAAATGACAAAAAAAGAATGTTAATTAAGAACGCAAAAAGCATGAGTCGTAAGCCGAAGACAAGTAAATGGTACGAAGGCATCCATCGATTCGCATATTAAATAATATTCTCACATCGAGTTTGAATGCAGATGATCTGATATAGCAATGATAACGTAACAGTGGTCAATTTGTTTCCAATTTGTTGCTTAGTATTAAAAAAAAAATAATAATCACGATAAAGAAAATATCACATTTGTCCCATCTGCCACTAGTTAGATCTCATTAAACATACAGAAGTCTGTTGTTAATTGTAGAGATCACTGCGCCATTGTACTTAATCAAAACTGTACAATACAAATGATATCGCTTTATTTTCCATTGAACATTCATAATAATACATCTAGCTGCTTCATACATTTTCAACGATAAAGCCTTCGTTCAATAATTCACGTCACAATTATTTTTTATCAGTACACCTCGACGTCACGCCCAGCGAACATGCAACCGGCAATATTGCATTTTCCCTAGGCGCCATCTCACAGAATTCGACCACTGTTACTGTTATTTGCTTACTACGTAACATGCATATAACCATTGAAATTCATAGAATTATACGACGATAGACCTTTGACACTGTACCATTAATTTGTTTTAATACTCAACTGTTCTTATCTTTTCCCAAGGCACGAGCCTGATCGAGCCTTGCTAAATCTCAACACTTCGGTAAACTATTAAGTATTAGTATTAAATAATGTACAATACTATATTGTATTAGCTCTGAGCCCTGATCCACCAACCACCAGTTAATTTCGGCCACGATGGAATAGGAGTCTGAATATGCAGGCGGATGCAACAGCCGCTTTTTTCTTTCACATTTTTGGATTGACCATATAGATAAAGGTTTATCGTCATGACGACTTCGAACGATGTCGAATAAAAATAAATATCCAGATCCAACTCGGACCGAAATATGCTGTGAGCCGTAAATAAAAATCCATATATCCCATGACGATAATTGTTATTATAATCAAGGGAAAATGGAACGGATGCTGCAACGCAATATGGCAAAGCATCTAGCAGCAGCTACGTTGTATCGATTTAATTTATTTATTTTATACTTTTTTTTGGTCATTTTTCCTCCAAATGTCAGCTGATGCTTCCCGCCTACGTATGCAGGTCAGACTACACCACACATGCTGAAAAGACACCCATCACGCGTCAACCAATGTCCCCGCCGTAATCCTGACCGTTCAGAAGATTACGGTTGTAAATGGCAGCCCTGTAACTGTACCTATTTGTGGCTGGACGATCAGGAACCGGTGGTGGCACCAGAGCCACCTCCGGATTCAGCAAAGCACCACCTCCTTCATCCACCTCTCCGATACTGCTCTCTACCAAGGAAGGCTCGACCTCGGTGAAGGCTAATCTCGAACGCAGTAAGTAGGCGTACGTCTTGTATCTCTTTAACTGTGAACAATCATACAGAAAGAGTTATACAACAAGTGTCGAAAAGTATTTATTAAACCAAATGGGAACAAGGATCTTGTATGCAAATAATGGAGACCGATGGTCATTCTTGAATGGAAGATAAAGTTACAATACCTCATAGTGTAAGTAGGCGTCTTTTTCCTTATAATTCTGAACAGTCAGAGCTTTCGCGCCTCTTTCCGGCGGATGTCGCCTGTGCTCGTCCAGTTCTGCTTCCAGCCTGCTGACCCTCTCTTCGTGGTCCCGTAACTGCTCCCTCTGTGTAAGAGGATTAACCAAGGAACAAAGTCAATTAATTGACGATTTATTTGACGATCAATCGATGCTTTCCGTCGTTTCTTATTTTATTCCGGAATAAGTTCACGAGCAGGTGAAGAATGAGGATGTTAAAAAAATGAAAGAATTTCAGGGAAAAACAGTCGATTCCGTGTTAGTAAATTTGCTTCTGGGAATGCTTCGACGTAAAACTTACAGGAGGCAACTTAGTGTGGCTACATGGAAGCAGAGGCCGTTGAAATTTTCGTTGAGATCCAACCGCACCAGCGAGGGGCTGACACGAGAAACTCGCGCATACAAAATTGATGGTATCGATCCAGGATTGCAGCTCCTTCGAATCGCTGAAACGACAATGTTATTTGAATACTAATAGGTACCATTGTATTATACTATTTCAAATAAACGAATGAATAATATTATTCGTATAGATACCTTACACATATGTGCGTAATCGTGTATGTCTATGTATGTGTGTTTCAAGAGAATGAAATTTAATTATGGAATTTGCTTAATTCCTGGGGTGTAGGCGTGTTTACATATACGTACAGTACATATGTATATATTGTGATTATAAAAGAGTTTCAAAGATATCAGTTACCTTGTTTGGAAAAGATACTCGGCTTGATCGGCAGTCTGTAACCTGAAGACGTGCTGTTTCTTTGTATAGTCGGCCGCTTTGGTTGCGAGTGCATGATGGATGCGTATGGCATTGTGCAAACTGTCACTACGAAAGCCATGTTCGTCTTTGTGCAAGTATAAAACAAGTTCTCTCAATGTACAATAATACATCTTCCAACCTCGTTTCCCAAAAGGCGCTAAAATATATTAAGAAGACACTTAGAACGACGATCTTGCGTGATATCTATAACGAGGATATCGATAAATGTTAAGGAGACTGTACTTTTCTTTCCATTTGCGTCATAACAGCATTTGCGCATTACGTATCCCTTCTTGAATTCCGTAGCACCGATAACGTTTGGCACATCTAAAAATGGATTCCCAGTGCCTGACAACGCTGGACCGTCACCTTGCTGCATTACCTGAGATGCTGTCTCATCACCTTCATCATCCCTGTGTGTTACGATACACATATTTTATTATATTTCCTGTGAAGCACATCGAAAAGATACTTCATATATTTCACTTACAGTGCCCATTCCAGAGGGAATGACTTGATAGCATTATAAAGCTGTTTGAGCACCTCTCTGGGAAAGTTATCCCCATCATTGAGCTCTGACAGATTCTCTATAAATTCCGAACACGACATTTTCCTACCGATATTCTGACCATGAAGATCGGTATTGAGCAGCATTATAGCACATGTTAAGGTATGAACAGCATCTGTAAGGAAAGAGCGACGAGAATTAGAAACTGTGGTCAATATGAAATGCTTTTACGTACTAAGACAATTTGTATACCTTGAGAATTAAAGGTGCCGGGGTTACAGTCGAGATATCTCTTGGAGAAATGTACAAGAACCCGCTCTCTTTCTTGGGTTTCCCCAGTCAATGAGAACTGAGCAAGGAACTTTCTGAGGGCTACGTCCAGCGTGTCCCGTTCGAAGTTGAAATACCTCAGGTATTCTTCGGCTACGGCTCTACTGAAGTCGTTGCTGAAATTAATAGTTCTCATCAGACGTCTATTCGAAAGTACCGTTAAACGATTTACTGCCAATGTTATTGGCACATACTTTTTACTAAGATGACGGGAGACATCGGATTTCTTAAAACCATCCAAAGAGTATAGCCTTTTGGCCAGTCGAACTGCCGAGGGTAGGTCCACGGCTTTCGGACTATAATGGAAGCTGTGCAGACTCTCGATATCACTTTCTTCGTCAGCAGATTGGGGCGGCGAGGTACCACTTGGCTTTTGATCGTCGCAGGCACCCAGGTTTGGAATCTCTCTTTCGTCTTCGCTTTCCTTTAGCTCCTGCGTGAAAAAGGAAAATCTTGTGTTAATGAGAGGTAGATACTAAAAGAGAAAGATGTAGAAGCAAGTAAATGAATGCAAAAGGTAAATAATATACCTGATAACCAACAAATTCAGGCGTAACGTTGCCTGAATTCATATTAGACGCAGAACGTTGTGTAGATTGTGGCGGCGGAAGGAGTTCGGTTGTACCAGCATTCCCCCGCCGCCGTGGTTGCCTGGGGCTGGTTGTGTTTCTCGTAGTGGTGTCCTTGTCAGGACCCTTAACTTGAATCACTATTCTATGCTCACTGCTGTCTTGGCTTGCCCCATAGCCAGAGCTTTTCAGTCTCCTTTGAGGCGGTTCACTTGCTAATATTGTGGAGTCACTGTCACTGGGATCACTAACCATCATAATGTCACGCGCACTAAGTATATCCATGGTTTCTTCGTCGTTGTAATCAGGACTGGACATGTTGCTGATGGCCTCCGATTGGCTGAGGTCTCCGTTGGTAGGGTGGAAGCCAGCTGTTGAGGATCCATCTCCCGAAGGACCTAGCGGTGCGCCCGTCGCGACCGGCAGAGGGAACCTGCGGGAGCCAGAATTGGAGGACATCACGGAAGAAGAAACCGAGGTCGGGGATGCTGGGGATAGGGATCGTTGTGGACTCGTTCCCTCGGTCGAGGAACTACTAGAGGATTGGGAGGAGCTGCCATTTTGACAGCAAGAGGTTCGCTCTGACGCAGATGGCGAGCTGACGGGCGCATTGTACGTCCAAACTATTCGTTCGCTCGACACCCCTTGGCCACTGTCGGGTCGTGTGTCCAATAACGTGTTTAGGCTGGACGTGACGTCGTCATCGATATCTATGTCCACCGCGCTCATCGAGGGGTCCTTTTGGAATTGCAAATGGTCCTCCGACCGAGACGTTCGCACAAAACCACTCGAGTAGCCGAAATTAGCATTAGATTTCGTATCTCCGGAGGAGCCTTGGGTGCTTTCGCGCTTGCTAATCCCAACGGGCGAGGTACTGGCCGAGTTGGAGCCAGTCCCCTTGTACATTCGGTGACCCAGCATTTCGTTAGGACTTGTGGGTACCGAGTTATGATGGTGGTGATTGTGGTGATTATGGTGATGGTGTATATGGTGATTGTTGTACCTCAACGAGTCCACCTTTTTCTGATACTTCGGGAGGAGACCGGTGCTCTGCTGCGTTCGCGATAGGTTCAGCATAAGATCCCCGGTCATCATGTAAGCTTCGAACCTAAAATTATATCATTCATGTATCCTCTCTGAGTTCCCAATGCATTCCACTTTCTATTAGCTTCCGAAAGCTACCCTGCCTTCTGCCATCGTTCGACTGTCCCTACCTGGGAGTATTTTTCTGCCGGCTAAACTTGTCACCGGAAAGGGGTTCCCACTGTGCGCGCTCTTCCTCTTTGAAGCTGTCAACTTGCGGAAGTAGAGCCTCCAGTTCGGAGGAACCGGAAGCATCGCTGTACGAACCGTTACTTCTGGTCGCATACTGCGAGGCTCCCGTAGGACCCTGGGGTGATCCAACAGCTAAATCAGGCGATGCGGATTTCCTCTTTTCCTTTTCCTCGCAACTTCCGGACGATCTCTCCCTAGGATTGCCCTCGGAGGAGGTGGTCCGGGAGGCATTCGTAACCTCGAGATCCTCGCTCTCCTGACCAGGTGAAAGGAACCGCCTAACTCGGGCTTTTATGGCGGGATCTGTCAAAGGAAAGTACTGCCGCTTAAAAGGAGTCCAAGTTTCCCAAACTTCCTAACCTCAGCCAAAGAGAATCACTGTCGGTACACGTGTACCCGTGAAATAACAAAGTTCTTATATACTTCAGCCTCTATATTTATTCTGACACGGGAGTATTTAAAGTTTACTTCGAGTTTTATATATTTATCGAAAATAATTACTAGGGCGCCAAACTTTTCCAACATCATTAACTTTCAAAGTGGAACTCACTCGAGCAAGAACAGTACTTCGAAGGTGGAGGAGGGAAAGTTTGATTAAAACTGGTACAGAAGTGACACGTTTATTCTGGGACGTTCGAATTTATTACCAGCACGTGGTGACTTCAAAGCTGCACTAAACGTGGGATGCCAAAGAAAACGGAACGTTTTGAGGGCCACGGAGTACTTATTTTCCCCAACCGATCAAAAAAGATCCTCTCCTAGCGTGTCCTCCCATAAAAAAAAAATTGTAGCCCAAGGCGAACACGACGTAATATAATAATTTCCATAACTATACGTTAAAGACTAATTTACCTCACGTTTCAAACCTATCTATTCTAATTAAAATCGCATACTCATCCAAGCCGCCAGTTTCAGCCACTATTTCATCCGTGACTTCGCATCGAGCTTCAAATGCAAAATACGCTTAACTCAATAGCCGATTGCTCATTTGTTTTGGAATTCGTGACGGATCGCCGTCCAACGGAGTCATTCACTGATACGTCGATACACGTGCAACAATGACAATGACATCGGACAATAGAGGACTCATCTCCGTGAAGTCATCCGCGAGAACGCATCGCATCGTCGACATTATTATCAGTATCGTAACGTTTCTGTAATCGTAACGTTTCTGTAATCGCGTAAGAGGTACTCGTTCACACGCATTATCAAATGATCAAAGTAATCGAATGCAAAATAAAAACTGAATACCACGTGGAGATGGTCTGTCACATTAAATTTTCACTGCCACGTGATTTCCACTGCCTTAACATGGGCTACACAAGCGTATGCGCGAGTTATTGAGAAAAATATCAGCACCCTTTAATGAAATAAGCAATTTTTCAGTAAATAAATAAAGCAATTAGGAATTTGCAAATTTTCTGCACGAGTTACTCGGTTCGTTAGCATAGCACTGTATCTCTGATTCAACGCATGGATTATTTGGTGTTTCGAGCGTCTGCAATTTGTTAACTGGCAAAGAATTAATAATGGCTGAATAAATAATGAAATAAAAATTAACATCGGTCGCACGTTATCATTTGTGTAGTTAGAGGACAATCCAACGATACTCCACGGAATGATGAACTGTCATTCCGTCCGGATGTCCGTTGATATTTGCGACACTCGAAATTGATAACGGTTCCGAGAAATATACTGTTTTTAAACACGAGCGATAAAATCGCGAATTCAAATATAATTCAGTTAGGAATTTACGAAATAACTCGCAAGTCATTCGCCGAATAAAGCGATAACTGGTTCTAGATCTCGAAACGATATATGCTTATGGGCGATATCGTGAGATCGATAATCATCAGATAGTACACCAACAATCCTATCCGATTATCGAACTCGCTAATGAAACGTGTCCATAATCCACGCCAACACGTACACCAAGAATCCGTTCCATAATGTTCATTCACGAAAGACGTATGCGACCCGCGAGTAAATGTCAAATGCGAATATATTTTTTCGCAAAATCTAAAGGCTTCACCTTTATGTTAGAAAAAGGGAAATAGAGTAAACGATACTACAAGTGCCGAACGAATCGTCGCCATAACCCAAGGAGACACACCCCACGTGAGAATCTTTCCAAAAAGGTCCCATCGATGTATATGCCTTTAATAAATTCCAAATCACACGATCTACACTGAATGGAACGTTAAGTGAATAATATTAAAAGCGCGAGTAGTCAGACTCGTCAGTATCAGCGATGAGAGGCCTCGGACTTACTTACCCCTTCGTAGCTTTAGGGTAACTGGATCTGACGAGAGCCGGAGACATTTTAGTACTGAAACAGAAACAGAGAGATGCATTTGTGGGAGAAGCGAGTCAGCCTCGAGTGGGTAGGTTTGTCAGAATGGGAGTTACGTGGGCCGGGGCCTATAAGCATATATACAGCATGCCTTTGCTACATATGTGGAAGGAAAGTGAAGTTAACGAGTGGCACGTTGTGCTAGGTTACGGAAGGTTCCTTCGTGTGTTCCATAGGTTTCGAGACAAAGATACAGTTATGCTGCAGAATTTATCTAAATGGTATAAAATTGTGAAAACCAGATGAACGTGATGTTTGATTGAATTTTTATTTATCAAACTTTCGAATTTATATCGAGATCTTGGATTCATCTAAAAATGCAATGGTTACGTTATTTGTGACCGATGATAAAGTTTTTTTAATCCATATTTCGTGTATTTCTAGAATATTGCCAAATTTTCGAGTTAAACCTATTGGTGTCATCCTGGGCTTTAAAGAATGTGATCAATGGCTATTATACAACGTAAGCTGACTCACGGTGCCGATATTACCTGTTATATATGTTTACCTGCGGTGCACATGAGATTCTTTTGGAAACACGTGCTTAGTGTGGGATCGATAATGACAATTTATCTATGTATAATGAAAAGATCAATTTATACAGTGCTGCTTGCTCTGTTTATTGTTCAAGAAAACGTCAACTCTTTTTTGAAGTGCTGCAACCTCTATTATTCGATAGTCATTTAATAACATTAATACGTTTAATTATGTACTCTTACATATTATATTTTCAGTAGTGTTGTCCAACTCGATTTCAATTGCCATTATGCACGCGGTGAAATCAATACGGTGCACGTCGATTTACATGTAATTGTGGGAAACCAAATTTTCGGGTGAACGACGTTGACAAATTACAAAATTGACGGCTGACAATGACAACTGACGGGGAAATGATGAGGTTAAAAGGAAAAAATTTAAGGATCATTCACGCGACGCTCTCATTTTGTCAAATTACATTTACGTACGTCATCCGCCTCGTAAAGCACATTGGAAGATTAGACGAGATAACAATTCGAAAATAAGATAAGATAACAATGTTTCCGCAAATCATAGAAAGTTTCCTAAATTCATCATTTTTCCTATCGCGACGATTCGCCTCACAAACTCTCCATACACATTTCCCCAATGAATGTACCTAACCTATTTACCTGTCAATATTTCAATCTCACTTAAGCTAACAAAACTTTTGTACGGCAAGAAATTTTCTACCATTGTCTTCTCTACCCCCCGTAGTCTCACGGAATATAATAAAAGAGAACAGAAGATTCCAAACTTCACTCGCTTCGTTTATCTCAGTCATTTCGATACGTCAGTCTGCATCAGAGACACGTAAGTCCAGCTTCTCAGAACTGCAGCTCCTTTTATCTTGCTTTTCTATGAGAATTTGTGTATTCCTGTATGCACTTTGAGCTGTGCTATTGGTCGAAGAAGAAACGTATTCCATACTTTTTAAAATTGATGTAATCTATAATACTATACCTAGTCAATTTAAATATCAGTCGCTTGCACGGCGATCGAAATAAATAACGTCATATCGTCACGTGCATATATGTATATAGGTATACAACACGTGTTAGCTGGAACGTATGCCTAAAACTTTTTCTGGTAGCAATGCTTCATATGGAACGACCAGTAAAGCTGGGAAGCGGATCGAGACATAAATATCATCTCCCTGTCGATAGTGGCAGCCGAAAACTTCGCAGGTTTATCAAAAATATAACGGGGATAATGAAATTCATATACGTATATGATAAAGAATACAATGCTTAATTCATGATTATACGAAAGAATTGATGAATATTGGAAATAATCATTTCTTCTCACCCTCGGTGTTAATATTCAAGTGTTATCCCGTAAATTAGTACGTAGAGGCAAAGTATAAGGAATTATCACAGAGCTCGTGTCAATATTTCAAATAATTTCATAGATAAATCATCACAGTGAATAACACAAGTAAAATTGACGTGTGTCAAATAAAAATTAAAATTTTCATAAGAATCGAATATGAAAAATGACGTAACAACTGACAATGAAGTCAAAGTTATCGAACTCGCTATCAAAGTTATTAACCGATGACATATACTCTGCGCATGTGCAAATAAATTAAATTTGACCTACGATATAAAAATGCTAACTGGGATATAACTGGGCGATTTCAGTCAATAGAATCACTGTTACCTTCTTTAGTACTAAATCGGTTGACGTCGACTTCATTCACCCTGAGTATAACGTCACCGGCCTCGACCTGCAAAAGAAGAAAAGAAGAAGTTTGATGAGATCCAGTAGATCCACAATAACAAGTCGACCGATAATCCAATGCATTTGAGTATGCGTAAGTACTTGGAGCGAATGTAGACATCAGAGAGAGAGAGGGGGGGGAGAAGAAGGGGAAGAGAAAGAAGATAACTAGCTGATTTAATTCCAACTAAGTTAATTTCAAGTTGTTAATCTGCGTATACATATAAACATAATATATGTAAATTTCAAAACAAGATCCCCAGATGCAGAACTTATGAATTTTTTAATCGGCCACTGATGGCAACGCCTAAACAATTTCACTTCCGACTGGCAAATGAGATTTTTCATGCGCCGTGGGCAAGAAGGAAATATCATAAATTTATTTTCAAACGTTCACCGTTCTTATACGTTTCCAATAACTTTGGTCTTTTCACATAAATACAAAGCTTGCTCAATATATACAAGATATGTACCTCGGATCCAACCGTTCACTCCACGAGGAGCCATACACGTATTACGTATACCTGTAACTCCTCTAGTAGATGGAAACAACACATGTTCTACTAGGTAGAAATATCATTGTCAAAGACATTCTACTTCGACAGAACGATTTGTGCTTCTCTCAGGCGTATACTGGTACAAAAATGGTATATACCATGTGTTTACCCACAAGATGATTATTTGACATATACTGTGATTATTTCTGGAAAACCCAAAACGATTAAGTTGATCCTGCAATTTAACCATTTATAACTTGTACATTGGGCTATTTCCCCAGTGTCCAGAACCCACTGCATTGGAAGTAACCTCTGTCCCTTATTGGATCTGGCTTGGTTGAGAATGGGGATCGATGTAACGGATTTCATCAAACGGGGTCACGCAAAATCAAGAGAGTTTATATATCCCCTCGAGTAAATAGGGAGATTTGTAACTGCCACAACAGCCACGTGTAATATCCAGTCTGAAATATACGTCGTGCGGTGCGCCATCCGATGATGCCCGAGCCACGTTCATTCGAGATCACAGGACATGGATGTTTAATCGGAAACATTGAAAGGTCGCAATCTCCGTTCTACTGTTCTTCATTAGGTCCTGATATATAATTTTAGTTAAAAAAAAAAAAACATTTCAACCAACAAGTTACTTAAATTCTGTAACCCATTTCATACAGCGGTTGACTGCAACCCTCCAGTCTTTATTGTATACATCGTTACACGGCATTATATCGATCTCCCACCCAGTACGAAATCATGGGTGGGGAATACGCAGGTCCTGCAAAATTATGTTACAGCACCTTCCCTCGTCTGAAGCGAAAATGCATATGGCGCCTGAATACTACCAATGATCTACTCCGCGATCCAGAACCGTAAATGCTTCCAAGGGTAGATTCGACAAGTAAATATAATTTTCCTTCTTCACTAATTTATCATTCTTACCCCCCGAAGGGAAATCAACTGACTGCCAGTGATTGGCAGTACAGATCCTACCAAGATATTTATTTTGCATGGAATCCTTTGTACCCGTGCAGCAAAATCGACTAGAATCTTGCAAGAGACTCTAAGTATAAGATGCACTGTGACAATAAAAAATAAAACCGTAGAACACGACTACTGAATTTACCTGATAAAGGGGGGTATACGTTACGCAATCGAGGCTCTCACCCCCACAGTAAGTCAGCAATTCACGCAGAGGACAGCAGCCCAAGCAATTTTTAAAAAGGGTCATCTGCACGGCAATTCTGAACCGGATGGTAAAGTGTGTATCGGACAGATCAGTAAAGTACGACTGATGGCCAACACGAAATTCACAGGAGGGTCGGTCGTAGTTGGCGACAGTTACCAGTAGTATTTTCGTCCGAGCGACATTGACTTTGTGGAAGCAATTTAGACGTAGATATTTTCGTACCAGGCTAGATGCAGCCAAGTGCAGTCACTTGGGATACTTTCCTTATTGTATCTGCGTTACCGCAACAGGAGTAAGAAGCAGCGGGTGTTTACATGGTAAAAATTTAACGGAACGACGTAAACGTGACGTAACGATATAGGCGATGATCGAAAGTGAAAATGCAACGTATTTATTAAATTCTCATATTATGATCAAATTTAATTTAATCTGAACGGTATACTAACTTTACCAGCCGGCACTGTTACATGCTGCGTTCTTTCAATTTAACGACCCAGGACAGCAGCAACGGTGCGGTACTATGTTTTATGCAAACGAGTGCAGACTATCTGTATCATTACCGACTAATTAAATCAATCGGAGGTCATGTGACGTAGCTCCTACAGCAATACGATGCAAACCCGTGGCCACGTCGGAAACGACGTTTTCGCTGAGTAGACGCGAAGTGATAAAGAAACTGGAACCCGTTTGTAATCAGCCGGTATACAGATAGGATTGAACAGGGACCGGTTTAACATGGAAATTTGCGAATAACAGTTTCTTTTTTTTCTTCTTCTGTAATTCACTGAAATTATCAATTTCATCATTTATTGATTAAGAGAGAATCGGTGCTCATTGATTCCTTTATTTGAGATAATTTTATAATGTACGTTCAGAAGGTAAAGTTTGCATTGTTAATTACATGACGTAACGAGCTCACCATTACTGCTCTGGTTCAAGGTCCTATCTAAAACGAGACCTTCTCGAGCGATTCTCCCTACGCACATAATGGGACAGGAGTGAAATGAGGACGTGCCGTATAACGTAACTGGACACCGCGCTCTTCGCGTAACTCGACGCGTTACGAACTAACTACCTACTTCCGACCGTTAACCGATTCCGGAGCAAGTGCCACACCGGTGTCTTTTCATAATCGGGCTTGATAAGGCTGCTACACTGGCTGACAGTTGATCAGCTGAGAGATTAAGAATTCCATAACGTCAGGTTGTACCTTGCCGATGTATCTCAGAGACAAAAAGAGAAAGTCTGATGAGGTGGAAAGAGAAACTGTAGAAATTGCAACCTCGATGCACATCGACAAAAACCGAGGGACTCATTACGCTTTTCGTATTTCTTCCTTTAGCTTTGTACATTCAAAGGACGGATGGGTAGGCCCTGTGTATATTATAGTTTTCAGCCTCCCAGAAGCCTTGCCAGAGTCTGCGCTGAATTTTCGGTCGGCGAGCGAATCGATTCTGCCTCAAGTATATAGCCGCATATATATCTACATTGTTTACCTGCTCAAAAATGAACTATAAAAAAAGGAATATGAAGAAAGTCAACGTTAACAGAACATTACGTTACATTCAAGGCAGCTGCAAGTAGTTTCCCGTGGAGACGTGCGTTAAAGGATATAGGGCTCCCCTTTCACGAATCAGAAAGGAGCATTGTCGGACGTGTGTACTTGCGTGTACAAGTAAAAATAGCGCTGGGTGGTTAAGCGGTACTGAAAAAAAAAAAGTAACTAATGAACATCGCCGTTCATAGTGAGATCTATCGATGATATCGATCAATTGGTAGAAAAATGTCTATAATGATGAACGCCGAAGTCTCGCTTGTGCATATTGAAAAGAAACTATAGAGAACTTGCAAAATGTATTTGAGGAATATATACGCTGCGTTTTCTTTGTAAATTATTTTTTTCAAGCTAATGAAAAAATTATGATCCTACCTTAAGTGTGTCATGCTCCGACGCAGTGCTACTGTCGTTTCGAGCGCCGTGTGAGTCATCGAAATTAGTTTCGAGTCAGGGTTCACGTGCCTTGGAAGAAAAGGAAAAAGGAGACACGTAGAGGCCTGACACGCCACTTGTAAGCGCCATTGACAAAAAGCATGACATGTCATTCCTGTCACGCGAAGAAGTCTTATGCACGTGGCGAATGATGCACGCGCGTATTGATTGTATATATATATTTATCAACCACGCGTTATACTACGCGACCCGCGTATTTTCTACCGAGCACCAGCAAAAGTCCCATAACGAAGCTAATAGTCACGCTAGGGACAAAGACACGTGGGTGGAAAAGAGTAGCTATTTATATCGCATTATCGCCCACCACTTGCTCCTGTCAAGACTTCAAAGTCACTGTCGCCTGGCGCGCAGCAGGTACAGTCCAGTCACTGTAAAAGAAACGTACATTCCTGCCGATTTGATTTCCATGATTTCCAAGAGCAAGGAGGATGACAATGAATGCGCCAGGAACATCACCAGGTAGAAACTACAGATAGATCACTTGTACAAGGCAATGTCAAGGAATGACTAGTCAATAGCACATCCTGCTTTTCAGCCACTCGCTAAACAGAACGAAGGAAGCATGAAATTCCAAAGGAAACGCGACGTCTTCATTCGCGAGATCACTCAATTTCGCGCTGGCTTTGACGTGGCGGAAAAGTGTCTTTCGCGAAGTACAACGAATAATTGAATACAGGATGAAAATGCGTACATCACAAAAGTACCCAAACATGAAACTCAAAGTTTTCAAGGGATTCAAAGGTTAGAGGATATGGGATTTACGCATCGATTACTTGTATACCATACAGACTGTGTATAGTAAGGAATTGAAGCGCGCTATTGAATCCCATAAAGAAATATGGTATACTTTAATGCCAAAAGCTGAGCTTAACGGGATCTCACGATTAATGTGCAATTGAGATACGAGTGGAGGGGAGCTCTTATTGCCATCTCCACGTACTGCGCTCGTATCATGGACTTTAGATATTTCACCTGAAACTCATAGGGAATTCGGGAGCGTCTCCTGACGTGTAACTTTTTCCGTAGAACTTTTTATGGATGCCTTGAGGGCGCAGACGACAAGAGGTCTGGAGGATGCTTCTCTGGGTGTAAGTTGGCAGGCAAACGGCCCTTCAAGCTGAAAACCTTCGACACAATAGAGCCCCCTCGTCGGCGTAAGCCTGATGGCTGAATCTATCATGCATGCAACGTACATCCGGACCTGTACATGCATTACCGTTAGGTACACCTTACATCTGATGTCCCTAAAGCGCCTGCCGATACCATTGTCACACCCCGGGATGCGGGAGGGAGGGGTATGAAGCTCGACTTAAAGCCCGGTACTCGTATGAAAAAATGATTAGAGTGTACACCGACATTAGCACAGCCTTTGGCAAGAATGCAATAGGCAAAGTTTGTGTATCCACAATACGTATCTAGTGCTCGAAAGTCTCTTGGAAGATTGAACAATGCATCCGATCGGAGACACGAGCTTCGATTGTTTCGGAAGATTTTCAAGCTGCCAAAACGTCAGGGAGTCCCATCGATAGTTTCAAAAGAATACAAACAGCCTGGGAGATTGTTTTTGTATCACGAGAAATAATGATGAGCCAACGCGAAATTGGTACTCCGATAAAGTCATGCGCTACTTCGCCAATGAAATCAAAGAAACGTAATGGCTCCAAGTACGATAAAGGTGGGGTGATAAAGTTTCGATGTGACTTTCCCACCGGTACGCAGGTTAAGGCGATGTTGGCGAGAGGATGGCTGCAGGTAATCTACACGTGCCAGGTTAAAGTATGAAAATTATTATCGCGTAGATCGTTATCGTAAAATGTAAAGGTAACAGCCGAGGGTGATACCAGCTGGCACTTATGGTGGTGCGAAACGTGTGACGTTCGCCAGGCGCTCGATACCAAGCTGCATCCATATCAGAAGATACCACACTTCCGTAACCACTACGAGCTCACTAGGAAGAATTATCTCTGTCGTAATTTAAAGCGCTACAGAAAGCTCCTACTAAAAATTGGTAAAACGGAGGAGGCAAAGCTCTGCGACTCGATGCCAATTACGTTCGAGCTACCGAGCGAGTATCGCATGTTCATCGAAGAGTATCACAAGCTCGGCGGTACGTGGATCGTGAAGCCCGCAGGTAGGTCTCAGGGACGTGGAATATTTCTCTTTCGGAAGCTCAAGGATCTCGTCGACTGGAGGAACAAGGAGTTTGCGCAACAAGTAGACGGCGACGGGAGCGCCGAGACTTTCGTAGTCCAGAAATACGTGGACGACCCTTACCTGCTGGCAGGCAAGTTTCTTTGGGAAGTAACTGAGACTTCACCAGATACATGACGTTTCGATACGTGATAGTCGCACGGTAGAGGTTAGGTTAGATTAAAACGTTCTTTCTCTCTCGTGTCAGGTCGGAAGTTCGATCTACGAATCTACGTGCTGGTTACGTCCTTTCAACCGTTAAAAGTATGGCTGGCGAGGGAGGGCTTTGCTCGTTTATCCGGGGAATTGTTTTCGCTCGAGAGAATCAACGACACCAGGGTGCACCTCACCAATATGGCTATTCAACTGAAAATAGAATCCAGCCCCAATGCCGAGGGTCCAACGAGAGCGCAAGTTAAACATGGCTGTAAATGGGGTCTACTGAAAATTAGAGAGTACTTGACTGCACGGCACGGAGTCCCTGTGGTTGACACCTTGCTACAACGCATTTCTGGTATATCAAAGACTCGCACTCGGTACAGCTCGCTAGGTTAGAGACTCTGGCTTTAACGTTAATGAACAATCTATCGCGGTTAACACTGCGCGGGACGGGGAAGGTGGAGCTGATAGAAATTTCAACCCCCCCGGTTGGTATCACTCGATCGTAAAATTGCTTAAAAATCATTTGCCACTGCCCCTTGGGCTTGACTGATTGAATGAAGCATGAGCATCGATTGGTAATAAACCACCTCCATTTCGAGTAATATAAACTATCTTTCTGAAACTGGGTGCCTGTGCGTGTATCCATAAATTCTAACGACCCAATCTAATACAAGCATTGCTAACAAATGGCCCTGCTCGCCAGATTGTTATTCTCTTGCCCGGGGAACAGTTACGGATAGGCAAAGTTCTCGAAGTGCCACGTTAAATGAAATTACGCACCGAGCCAATTTTGGATGTCATGTTGGTAACAATGGATCGTTATATAAGAGATACCCCAAAAGCCTCTGTAATGATTTTGCATTTACCGGCGACTTTAACACGAGATAGAAACTGAAGTTACTTTCTAATTAGTTGCCCATAAGTTTTCACTCGATTGACAAGTTTTTCCGACGATTTTCCGATTGGCCAATCTAGAGGACAGAGAGTCACTCGGAAACTCGAAGAACTTCCTACTGGTTCCGATACGCGAAAATCCCAGTATAAAATTGACGAGGCTGTACACAATGTAAAACAATCGTAGTGGGATGGCTATACCAACCCGTTCACCAAGATGGGCGTGTACCGAGTTCGCTGATTGCAGAGTCGGGATACTTTGCCAGAGATACGAGCCTGACAATCGCCATTAATTCAGTGCTATGATATTCCGATCACGTAACCTTTGGTTCAACAACTGATGGGAGTTACGTGCCATTAACCTCACGGGTTCAAATCGTTATAGAGAATTGCACAAGAGTCTTAACTTCGAGGTCGCATGCGTTTATTAGCATATCTGGCAATATCAAGTTACAGGCGTTTTGTATACAGATAAAGAAAGGTGAAATCCGTACAAGCATTTACCTTCCCGTGTTACGTTTAGGTGTCATCATGGGGAGTCTGCATGCGGTCCAACCAGTAATAATGCAAGGAAGAAACTCCTTCGAGCTCTACGGTTACGATATTCTCATTGACGAAGCCTTGACTCCTTGGTTACTCGAGGTGAACGCCTCGCCATCCTTGACCGCCACAGACGCTGAAGATCATCGATTAAAATTCGATATGCTCGACGACCTCCTGACGATTTTAGACTTCGAGGGATACCTGACAGGTCGAGAGACTAGAATCGGTGGATTCGATCTTCTCTGGGACGATGGACCCATATGGATATCATATCCCAGTATCTCAAAGATATCTACCAAAGGAACAAACTCTCTCGCCGGTACGAAGAGACTGAACATATTCCTGGGAGCCCGTAACGATCGTGTCCGGCAACTTCAGCAGCTTCGATGCTCACGGCTGAAAAGCTGGATAGCAACAAGAAGTCATTCCCAAGAGCGATCGATGGGAAACGGACTTCTGCATCAGGAACCACAGGTACGTTTACTAATGGCGGGATATATAAAAAGAAAGCCATGTAAAACCAAAGCGGTCGGAGTTTTATATACAGTTCGGGGCAACTGTTACAGCACTTGTGTACCTAGGTATATTTAGGTATTTTTTTTTTATTTTTTTTTAGTAGCGTAAACTATTCCAGGGATCTCGCGGTGTTCAATTTCATCCGTAGCAGCAGCTGCCTGAGACTAACAAGCACAAATTAGATGGGCGAAGCTGTTGGCTGCAGGTTGCCAGGATACGCACATGCATATTCATGCATACGAAGTACACTACTCCGTCCGAAACGTCGCTCGGTTCGTTCTACTTCCGTGCGCTTCTCTTTTGAATCTTCAAGTTTCCTCGCGCGCTACGACCACCGTCGTCACTTGGAAACTAATTCGAGCCGAGCATCGAACTAAATTCCCGAAGCGTATATCCTGCCTGCTGTGTGTTCTCGGCATATACTGCAAGTTCAAAAACCCTGCAACGCCCAAGGGTCGAGGGATCGATCGAAGTAGTTGCAAATGTAAATTTAGAAGGCATTGTTCCAAAAGTCATTCGCTGTCGACCGAGCGGCACGAGATAGAATGCGTTCGGCCAGAGACCGTTGAAATAATTGTGCGTGGGTGTATATTAAGAGCTGTAAATTAGGAACAATTAGCGAGGACACTCGAGGGAACAGAAATTGCTGTGAGACACGAAAAATATACTGCGGAACCTGCTAGCTCATCCTCAAGGCTCGTGCAGTCTTCTTGCACTCTTTTAGCAAATACTAAATATAGCGAGAGGGTCAGATAACTTTGTACATACGTGTATCACCCTGACACGATATACACGGCAACTCAACCGAACGTACTTCGCTGTCCTTTCGTACCGGTAAACAGACCGCGTGCAGGGACACTCGATATGCATACGTAACCTGCCTACGATAGAGGAAGACTTTCATTAGGAAAATTATAAAGCATCCAGTATACAATGGAAAGAACAGCGTCGCGACGGATGACGAAAAATATTCACGTCACGATGGTGGGAGGGGGTGGTGTATCGAGACCTTTCAAGTGCTCCTGAATGACGTAATGAAAATTTCAATATCCCGAAATTTCATCCAACAGGATTATTCGTTCAAGTGGTCGAACTTTCATTGTGGGATAAACGTAATCGGTAAATGGTAGGTAAGGCTAGGTAGCTAGCTATAGCTAGGCAACACGTTACCTATGCACGGGAGATTGCACGTAACAAGGGTTAACTTTATGCACTCGATCTACTGATAAGTATCGAGATTGATTCGTGCCATTAGAGGCACATAATGGCAAAGCGGCGTCCCGACGTCGGGCGTCGCCGTCACACGTCTCAAGTAGCCAAGTATACTGCTTTTCCTCTGCATTCTCAGCCTCAGGCTGCCCTCAGAGAACAAAATCGATATCCACTCCACCCGTGACAAAAACAACGGACCACCCTGCAAAGCTTCGGAAAGAAATCGTCACAGAGGCAACTTTGAACTAGGGTCAGCGAGCAAAGATGATCTGTCTAGGTAGAAGGTACATTCCACATAGTGTTACTGAGAAATATCACAAGGGTCCGTACAGAACTGGACCAAATTTAGAAGGAATCAAAGAACGAATGAGTGCAATAAAGAAGCTGATTATCTGAAAAGGAAGAAAAATCACTCCTGAGGAATCTACTATCATACAGGACCTACGCCCTCTCTTTTCAACGCCTTCTTCAAATTGGAATCTATTCCTCTCGTGAAATCTGCTAACGTGGCTTCAAGTTATCGTATCAAAAGACGCCAAGGATCCAAATACACCCTTAGAACATCTCTTGGCGTTCACACAAATTATCCGATTATCCAAGTGTATTGAAATCATCGAAGCGGATCCTGAGGGTTCAAAATTGACGTATATATTATCACGTACGTTTATGCAACAGTGTGCAGAACACGGTGCAACCGAGCGGAAATCGTATACGGCGTTCGGTAGCTATACAGTAGATTTCTAGTGGTATCACCGAGTATATGAGAAACGAGCCAATGGGCACGGCTAAAGGTTTCACTTTGGAGGAGAATTCTTTTGGGAACAAAGTGACGGTACCGTGCAAACCTTTCTTGCACGTACATTGCGACTACACGTGGATACATAATAAGTGCAGTACATATGTACCTCCCTGTCTAGCATCCTATCACATCCAACCCACTTAGACGCACTATATACATACCTATACGTATATGCTATACAGCTGTGATACCCGTCTGTATTCGCACCAGCCAGCTCGATATCACCTGAGTTAGCCGCGCCCATTTCTGAGCTTTTACAGCGTGGCTGCATTAACGAAACCGGTAAAGAGGGAGGTGACTATTATCATCACCATATACAGGTAAAAATAATGTAACACAGTTTAGTCTGTAAGGTTAAGGTTGAAGTAGTAACCAGAAGGTTTCCGATCAATTCTTCCTGATCCGTCAATTCTCCTTTATTTTTCTATACAAGCTCTACAATCCCAATCGCAACTTCCTGGAACACAAGAACTTGTCACGCGACATAGGGTTAAAGGCTTTATACCGAAGCTTTTAACCTTTCAAACATTTTACACAGTATTCACGCGAACCACAGAGCACATTCTCGACGTCGCTCAAACCTTTTTAATTTATCGCGCGTTCGGTAAGTTGGGCGACCTCCACTTAAAGACACGCGCCTAGAAAAGTACATCAAATAGCGGTGCAGTAAACGGTCATATATCACAGTCCAAGTGCGGGTCCTATTACGTGAAATTTACATGGGTACTAACGCTTACGTTAGACGGCAGTAAAGACGGTAATCACGAGTCTAGGCAGGGCTACGAAAGTAAAGAGGGAGAAGGCGACAGAGCTCCTGGCGGCTTGTACTTATTTTCCACTCGCCAGTAGACACGGGATACGAAGGTTTTAAACTAAAATACAATTACGAGGATAAGTAACATTGAGGTCGGAAAGGACGAATACTATCCCGAGTATAAGGAGGGATCAGGCACAGTATTGAATAGGTGCGTGAATATCTTCTTGGGGTATCTTGAAACGACTCCTGGGTAGTAGTGTCACCGATTATTTTTGGGGATTCTCGTAGGTCTTCAAGCTCGTTAACGTATATGGTGACGAGGTTGAGACCGAGTAAAAAAAAAGTAAAAAAAAATTAGTCGAGGGTACTGGGGACGACGTGTATCTCATGAAAGTAGCTAAATAGGTCGCAGCTGGTCTCGTATACCGAGTGAACTAAAATGGCACGAACCAGACAAAGTCTAACGTTCGAAATTGTCTGCACGGGGTCCAATTTCTTCCCGCTCCTCTATATCGCACGGGTCACGGTTTAATTAATCCTTAATTGCCAGGCTGCCTCTCCATGAAACTTCCCATAGACTCGGGATCGCGAAACACTCTATAACTACCCTCGAGGATATACCGAGGTAGGAGAATATAAAGTTTAATCCACCTGCGACACTTCTCTCTGATAAATTAAACGTTATCTGCATAAATGTCATCGGCCTAATAAAGCAGTTTAATTGAAATTACCCCCGTTCACTGAGAGATCACGAGTCGTAGAGTTCACTGCTGTCCCAGTGGTAGCTGACCGATCGCAAAAGCAAGATCAGTTGACACAGGGAGTAGAGAGGAAAAATGACGAAGGAGACAAGGAAGGAGTAAGGGGGAAATTGGAACGCAAGGAATTCGTGTCATGGAAATATAAGTTACGGGAATGCGTTACTTAGCGCACCCTCCCGTAAATCCCCGAGGCGTGTACCTGCCGCGAGGAGTGACTACAGTGGATCCAACACTGGAGTGGCTCGGGTTTCTAGCCGTTACCGAGATTCGTGGCAGTAGCCCTAGGTACTACATAGTTACGTACGGTGTGTGCGATACTATATACCCGTGGATAAACATTGCACTGCGAACCGTACATTCAATCGCTATCCTTGGGCCGATAACACATCCAATTTCCCCAGCAGGGTACATACCGTCAAAAGAGAGAATAACAAACGTGCCGATGGTGCTGGTGGCGATGCCGGTGGGGTATAGGATTTCAGCTTTGGTTTCGAAATGGGTGGAGTGTTACGCCTAGGGTTGTCTATACCGATAAGGTCAGTCAGGATACGACTTTGTAACAGGTCCGGCATGTTTGTCCCTCTCACAAGGTGCTCACGGGAGACAGTCATATTTATTTTTCTCATAGACAGAAGGGATCTTCATTGCGAGCAACACGGAAAATATATACTGAGGTAACGTTGCGATCAGTCCTGACTTATCACAATCGCCTGACCGTGAATCGTGAATCACTGCAGGCCCGTGGGTAATAGACGGGTGGAAATCAACTCAGCATATTTCAGAGACGATGGAGGGATAGGAACGGTAGCTGTCTTATCGGATAGGATAGTCGTCGTGCTTTACGAGTCTACGTTCGAGATGCAATTTATTGGTTTATGTAGTGCAAGATGCATCAGATAGTCACCCGTCTATCGTCAGCATGAATATGTTACAAGGATACCGGAGTAGAAGGTACGAATGAGTAATGCAATCGAACTTGGTGAAACGTGACATATGATTTTTATAGACGCAAAGCAAACTCGCGTTATTTCGAATTTATATGATTTGCTTCGTGGAAGAGAGTTACGGTAAGTTTCATCAGGACCCACGATTCTATATAGATTCAAGATCAATGACGGATCGATTGACGTTAAGTATAGAGAATTGGCGATGGGAAAGGTGCTCGTATTTCCACAAAAACCACGCTTTATACCAATCACAAAAAAAGGTTGTGATACGTATATAATATGACGTAGGTTATCTTAATTTCAGTATTGAACAGTTATGGCTTTTTCGTCCAACGTTGGAGTACTTGCGTTATTTCACGTGCAAAAACATTGATCGCTTACACGCTCTTTACTGATAATGCAGAAATGATGTACCTGGCGTTACAAAGAATCGTAGGAACTTGTTACTGCGTCGTCTTTTAATTAGTCTTACGCAATCCGATTATATAACTCGAGGAATCAAAAGGGAAGTCGCCCGAGAGAACGCCCGAGAGAAAACGACGAAGGAGTCATGATGTCAGGGTGTAAAAATACGTGTTGGCATAACCCATCAAAAATCACAAGATGACATTCCTACGTGCATGCACCGTGCGTCGATGATTCATCCCGAGATTATTTGGTTCGTTCCACATACGCATTTAGCATCCATTCTAAAGAGCTTTTTTACAAAATATCTCTATAACCGCACTCTTCTTGTAGCATTGGAGAAAATATTTTTCTGCTTTCAAATGGCCGGGTGCATCGAATGCACTTAGAGACCAATAGAACAGTCGATGTGTTAATGATTCGATTTACGGCAGACTCGGCGCATTGGGAATTCCTTAGGAACGAGACCGGCAAATTAGTCTACTAACCAACGCGTCAAATATTTACCTTCGCTTAGTAGCTAAAAGTTAAAGCAACATGGTGCGCCAGGTTTACGCGTGTCTGGTTAACTGCTTTCGGTCTGTCTAATGAGAAATAAATAATAAAGTACACAGGGATCATTTTAAAAATACAGTTACTCCGTGTACAATGAGAATCGTACAAAATCTTTAATGCAATCAGTGAAATTAAAGAATCTATAAATGATGACAGGTACAGTCTGAGAAAAAAATTGGACGCATTCGAGAGATTATTGAAAAAAAAAATACTGCAGCGAAAAATGGTAATCTGGCAATATGGGATGGGATTAATTAATATACCGAAACACCATGGCAACTAGGACGCTAGTGTATTGAAAGTTTCAAAGTAAGATCTTGCGGATTGGAATTTCTCTCGCAAAACTTGAAAACTTTTACTGTAAAGCCTCAGCCCGTAATGTCCCATCTCGTTAGACTTCACTTTGAGCTAATACGTTTATATCAAAGTATGGACGCGTCTATCGGAAAGGATGATAATCATGAAGACGAATATCTGATAACATCAATGGAGAATTTAAAAGTAATAAAAAATTGTCCATTCAAGCCATCCAATTTTCCAAGACTTTTTCATCCGTAAAAATTCTAAGCTATGTGAACTTGGCACCCGACTTTGGAAAATCAAATTTTTTTTTATAGACTTATAGATTTAGGTATGTAGTTGGTTGTAGTACCAATTTTTTCGTTTGTAGTAGATCCAAAAAAAAGTTATAGCATCATAAAGAAAGCCCATCCACCGACTTTGAAAAAAATAAAATCTAATCACTGATTCCTGCAGAGAATCGTTTGTAGTTGATTGTAGTGAAAGAATTTCCGTTTGTAGTAGCATAGAAAGAAAGTTAGAATTTTTTTTTTTTCAAGTTATTTGTAGTCGTATATAAGTAGGAGCTTTGTTTTGTTTGTAGTTGCTTGTAGTAACGTCTATTTCGTTTGTAGTAGCTTTGTTTCGTTTGTAGTTGTTTGTAGTAACGTCTATTTTGTTTGTAATAGCTTCGTTTCGTTTGTAGTTGTTTGTAATGACATTTTTTTGTTTGTAGTTACTACAAACAACTACAAACAAAACAAAGCTACTACAAACGAAATAGACGTTACTACAAGCAACTACAAACAAAACAAAGCTCCTACTTATATACGACTACAAATAACTTGAAAAAAAAAAAATTCTAACTTTCTTTCTATGCTACTACAAACGGAAATTCTTTCACTACAATCAACTACAAACAATTTTCTGCACGAATCAGTGATTAGATTTTATTTTTTTCAAAGTCGGTGGATGGGCTTTCTTTATGATGCTATAACTTTTTTTTGGATCTACTACAAACGAAAAAATTGGTACTACAACCAACTACATACCTAAATCTATAAGTCTATAAAAAAAAATTTGATTTTCCAAAGTCGGGTGCCAAGTTCAAATTTTCTGCACGAATCAGTGATTAGATTTTATTTTTTTCAAAGTCGGTGGATGAGCTTTTTTTATGATGCTATAACTTTTAAAAAAAAATTCGAATTTTTTTTCTATGCTACTACAAACGGAAATTCTTTCACTACAATCAACTACAAACGATTCTCTGCAGGAATCAGTGATTAGATTTTATTTTTTTCAAAGTCGGTGGATGGGCTTTCTTTATGATGCTATAACTTTTTTTTGGATCTACTACAAACGAAAAAATTGGTACTACAACCAACTACATACCTAAATCTATAAGTCTATAAAAAAAAATTTGATTTTCCAAAGTCGGGTGCCAAGTTCACATACTACAAACGAAAAAATTGGTACTACAAACAACTACATACCTAAATCTATAAGTCTGTAAAAAAAAAATTGGATTTTCCAAAGTCGAGTGCCAAGTTCACATAGCTAAAATTCTAAACTTTCACGACCAGAGTTTTCACATCATCTCGTTGCCACGCTTCGATGCTACCGTACTTTTGGCTATTTTAAATTGATATATATGTATACAATATGTAATTATTCAGTATGCATATATGTATATAGGCTCCGCAATGCCTGACGGTTAAACCCTTCGACGGTTAAGCCGGTTTTCTGCCCAGTAATATTTGCCCTACGATTCTAAAAGCGAACTGCTATTATCATATACCGTACTACGTGTTTCACTCAACATAGATTACATGTTTAGTACTAAGTACCAGTCTACTTAAAAGACTCTACCGTCAGGGTCATATCACAGATAACACAGGCATAACTTATGTAAAACAAAAAATTACTGTATTCTACCGAACAGAGATATCTTAAGATATGGAACTGGTACTTCATTTAAGAAATCTAAAAGATTTTACTATCCTTACAATATTTTATCTTTATATTCGATAAGACCATACCTAATCGCAAAATATAATGTGACTACAGTGTTGTCTCTACTACTGACTGGATTGAAGTTGGTACAACAAAATGAATCAAATAATCCGACTAACTTCAGATCGTGCATTTAACCCTGAAAATCTGTATAATACTGACCGAATTACGTCAAGTATATTTGCATCAAGGAAACTGGAACATATGAATGTCCTATGCATTAGTACATAACGGATAGACAAATTCAGAGGTAAAACGCACCTGCATCGCTTCCTAAGCAAAAATGTTTCCGGATTGCGAAAAAAAATAAATTCATAGTAGGTTGGGATAACTAGGAGTAAATTATAAAAAATTTAATCACGTAAATATGACTGTACTCATACATTAATAATAAGATTGAATTACATGTCAATAAGTGAAGTGATACTATGTAGTTAATTTCTCTGTTCATTCATGAATTCACATTTGACTTATATGACACCGCCGGTGTTAACGCTTTCACGATAATGTATTCTAACCTGGTTAACATAAATCGTATTTGTTCAATAGCACGAAATTGATAAACTGTCGCTCAACTTTGAACGAACCATTATTTTGAGTGACGCTTATATGCATATTATATATAATCTCCCATCGGGCTCATTATGGCGGTAGCCGCATACATTCCACCACGACGGACAGTCGGTTTGACAGTTAATCGGTTTATTGTCTGGCATCGTGTAATTCATTCCAGTGGTGTATGAGGAAATAGTGCATACGGCGCATATATAGTAGCTGAAGAGGCTCAACTGCGTGATCCATGTGTTAGAGTCATTATTAATATCATCACAACTGTTACGATCTATGGTAACATTATCAATTATACGTTTTGCTACAGTACGGCGTAACTATATCATACAAGCTATATATGTTTTCTATGTAAAAATGAAAAACGCCCCTCACTTATCAAGCAGATGTATTGTAAAATGTGATTTGCAGAAAAATCTTTTGCGAGGTAATATTAAAAAGTAACATTATTAATGATAAACATTATCTGGCTATACTGTATGAATTGGTTATATGGTATCGTTTAATACAAAAGTATTGGACTTTTCTGATCTAAAAAAGCAAAAGCACTTCAAGAATTCATTTATACGAAATCCTTTAGCAAGAATGAGAGTGAGAATATCGAACGGTTGGCGACGTCTATGCATTGAGAACCTCGCGGTTAAGCGCATATTAATTACGATAAGCGGAGACGCTGAAAGTATTCACTATTAAGTTTATAGAACACGGTACAATGACAGATGGATAGAGTGCCATCGTTTCTAGTGCAGGATCAGATCACTCTAAAATGCAAGTGTTTTTTTTAGAATTAAGCACGATCAGAGAAGTTGAGTACACTAAAAATATTACGATAGTATTACCATCATACTGCATCGTGGTAAGTAATAAACCGTGGTGGTATAGGAGTTAAATAATTTCGCTAAACTGAAATTTAAAAGGGAATAATGCGTGAAAACGAATAGAAAATATTCTGTACTACTCTAGCATATCATGTCATTCGCGCTTCACTCTGTCAATAATGAAGCCGATTGAAAAATTGTTCGTTACTCACTTTTCTAGATACATGCGTTTCCGTTTAAGAGCTAATACGTGTAAAGAAATAGGAATCATACAAAGTAGCAAACGGGTAAACGATAAAAAACGGCACAGTTCCGCGCCTCTCTCTGACATGTATTTTTTTACACTCATTTTAGGGTAAGGAAGCTGATGATCCTAACGATGTCAGGAATTGACTCGTGTACGTCTGAATGAAGGAGTGGTAGAGAAGAATGTTACGATACAAGGATGTTCCCTAGGTATGAGAAGCGTCGAAAGTACCGTAGAGCGGGCAGAATAAACGGACAAAGAGGAATGCAGCCGTTGGCGTTCCGATCCCACCCAAGCGATCGAAGTATCCCTTTCTCATAAATGATGCGACGTGTGTACATACATACGTGTCCTTTACAGTAAAGAATAACTAGAGGAAAGGTAACAGAAATTCAAAGGTGTATTGTAGATCGAGAAAAAGGTGGTATAGCCGTGGCAGCAGGGTAGCCAGATAGCCAGGCGGGTCGATACCGCGTAATTCGTATTTACCTTGCCGCTCTCGGCTGCCGGCGAGTTCTCAACAATATCGTAGATGACGTGCGGCGGTCCGGCTGTCCCAAGAAGCGAGAAACCAAAGCTCGACGAGTCGCTACGGTTTAAGGTAACCAGCAGCTCCTCAGCCATGTTTCAGCCACATTGATCTCACCACTGCCATTTGCCGCACACACCGCACCAACAAACTCTCGGCACCGCGCTCGGGATCTCGCTCGTTTCCTACGGCGGATCCCGTATCCCGGTTGCGTGCCTCTCGCACGCGAGACCACCGCTCGCTCTCGCTCTCCTGGCAGCCCTGTCGCCAACGTTTGACGGAATGCAGGGAAACGCCACTCCTGCACTCGAGCTTGGACGCGCACCAATACGCCCACCGATGAAGATACAAACACACTCTTATTTTACTTTAACACTTGCGAGCCTACCAAGGAGCACACTATTACATTGATGAATATCGGTACAAATATTAGCCACGAATACCACTAGAGAAATGTCACTACCACGAGTGTAACATACTGGGTGCGCGAGCCGCAACAATATGACAGCGATGCGGCGCCCGTCAACCGTACCGGCGGCCACTCGACTAGTGGAGGCGCCACTTGCAGGGAACTCTGCGAATATCACTGGTCTTTCACCTCCCGACTACTCTGGTCAAATTGGAGGATTGCGACCGGTTACTACTGACCAGGGCTGTATACACTGAACTCTATACTTTCCGAAATATGCGCCTTGACGGCATCTCTAGAACCTGCATCGAGAAAGATAGCTTACAGTGGTACCTACATTTTTTTCTTCTTACATGCTGCACATGCGCACGAAAGAATGAAAGCTGAGAAAAAATTTAATTCATTTGACGAACCAGTCCATAGTAATAAGTTAAAATCATTGATACCTTATAAAATTTCAATGAAACTAGTTGAAGCTCAGTTGTTAGCAGTAGTCGAGTTTTGAGAATAAACCTTCTGGTTGGACTATACGAATAAAGATGGAGAGACCATTATAGACTATCTCTATCGGCGTGGGCCGGGCCCTTTGCGCAGGGTCCAGTATGTAAAGAGTACATCAGTGGCTGTAAAAGAACTAACGGAACTCAGGGCTGTGCGTTGCCTGGGTACTATTGTGTAGTACACGGGGAACTCGTAGATCGATGTGGTGGGAGGCTATAAGCATTTAGAAAACTGAAAGTTCTAGCTTAAGTGAATATACATCGGCTAGTGTGTCGAGTTTGACTTGTTTAGTAGTGCTACCAGAAATATGGAGCTCGTTTCGCATCTCATTAAAGTGTCTGTGCCTAATTATTTGGCAGGATTACCAATTCCAGATTCAATTGGAGGATGGTTTCGACTTGGGGGTATGAAATGTGTTGTGAAATTCGATTCATATCTTCGATTAACTCATAAATTGTCAAATGTTTTGCCGATCACCAATAATGATAATATATTACCATGTATCGTGTCCCATAGCGTGTTACATTAAATCATTGGTATATCAGAAATAAATAGGATTGTTAAGTTATGTCATTTTATGTTATGTACAGTGAGAGATTGGGCTGCTTTAATTCCACCAACAGCCCTGCTAGCTGGTTTCAGTTATATGACTTATCGGGCATTTTGCCCTCATGGCAGACCTCCGGTAAGTATTTTTGAAACTTCAAATTGATTTTATGCAGTTGTTACAGTACTTGAAACTATTATGTAATCTAAGTGATAGTACTTTCTATCATCCATCTTGCAATGACGGGATGAATATTTCGAATACTACAATTGTACAATTTATTATAATTCATTTTCGTTGAATTTAAAGTATGTTAACATTTTGAACATTTCAGCCCAGCAAGTCCATAAATTCTAAAATTCAAAAACATAGTAATAAAGTCGTGGATACCATTGATGTGGAGGACATAACCGAAAAAGCTGTATTTTGTCGCTGTTGGAAATCTGAAAATGTAAATATTCATTTAATTATCAATCTAACATGGAAGAATGTATATCAATATGACATCATTATTTTATCTGAGATGTTCTTATCTCAAATTCTCCTATTTGTGTATCATATAACAGTATAATTAGAAAATATATATGTTACATAATTTTGTAAATATATGGTTAGTGCACTTGTATCATTTATACCAGTGGTAGTTAGGAGATCAAGCAGATAAATTTAGATTATAATAGTTTTTAATGAAACAGTAAAAACTTTTATACAACCACATGTTGGTTTTGTATGTGGAAAATCATTTAAATATTTGAAATGGAGTTTCAATAATTTTTTTATCATGTCTATTAATTTAGTGGCCTTATTGTGATGGATCCCATGGAACTCATAACAAGGAAAACTGTGATAATGTTGGACCACTTGTCGTCACAAAGAAGAAGTAAATGTAAGCAAATGGAACAATAAATCTTATAATACAGATTTAATTACTAATAGAATTGTTACCTACTGCCCACCTTTAGATACAGATATAAATAAGTAGACTATACAGTGAACAAGAAATTCAACTACTTTTTTTATAAAAATTTATTGAATTCTTGTTGATTTTATTTAGCACTTATAACCTGAATCTCACTCATTGATTAAAACAAAGTGGATGATATGTATAAATGCATGTATTACTATAGGTAAATGGTTTTATTCATTATATTGTTGGCACTACGTAGAGTTAGTAGAAACATATTTTTAATATTTATATTTTGGTCAAGGCAAGGATTAGATTAGTCTGCGAATGGGAATATGTTACTTAAATTTCAATTAAGGTTACATTTACTACTTAGTGCAATACAAAGGTAGTAATTATTTAATTATATATGTGGTACTATATTTGGATATACTGGGGAGCATACAATAAAAAATTTAATTAAAAAGAAGTAATCTAGTTTCTTTTATTAGTTTAAGTATTTACATAGGTTTTCATTAAAAAGAAGAAAATACTTCTTGAGCATGTAAAATTTTACTAAATGTCTATGCATTACATTTTCTGTTTCTACTTCAAATAATAATTGTCAATAATGTACACAATACTAACACTCGGTGATATAAGCAGTCAGGTGTAAAGCATATGTTCCACTTGTAAGACTTATAACAAAATGATACGTCTTCACTTTTGATTGATTTGGCTTCAAAAACGAAAATAGATATTTTTTATTATATCACAGTTGGGTGATGCCTATTATTATTTTTATAATACTTAAATGTTGTCTACGTATCATATATTCTTCACATTCATATTGCTCCTTTGAAATATTGTCAAAAGAAGCAGTGTACTACAATAACTTCAAAGTCATTCGAAAACTATACGTTATCGACAACATGTAATCTTGCGTTGCAATGCTTAAATCAGGAATCATTTCCTATGCTATTTAATCATTTCAATGCTATATAACAGCATTCAACAATTCATTCATTTAAACGTTTAGAGCTGCGAAAAATATGTTTATTTTAATATGAACAGTATTTAAATTTGTAACATATGAAGATCAGATTACTAAAAAGGCTTACCTCAAAATGATGTAAATCGTTGGTATCAAATTCCAAATCATTTACAAGTAATTCCCGGTTTCCGTAACGATAACTGAAATAATTTCGTACATAATGGATTACTGATTTGTAAAGTTATTCAATTGTATATACATATATACATATGTGTAACTGAACGACACTTACTCTAGATACCTTCTCCATACTATAAGGCCAACGTATGCCATTACTACTGCTATAGAAAATGTAATACCCGTAACTAAAACTATAATGCCAGAAGACATTCCTGCTTCTTTAGCCTCATTTTCCTTCTTGATTTCTGCTTTAGTAATTGATTTTTTTGATGTGTCTGTATTTTCATTTTGCGTCGTTTCAGTTGTCGACGAATTTATTGGTATTACCTGTATGATTTCTGACGATTCTGTTAAAGCTAAAACCATAATGATTTCACATTTTTTTTTAACGATTCATGTCGCGCAGCGTACATATAATTACGAATAATGTAGATTGTACTATAATGTTGAGAGAGTACACTGAACATACCTGTTGTGGTACTAGAAATATAAGGTGACTCTGTGTTTAATTGTTCTGTTGATCCGCTTACATTTCCCAGGTCATTATGATTATTGCTCGTACCTTGCGTATTGGATATGTCTTTTATGGTAGTAGCAGAATTTACTATTTCATTTGTAGTCATCGCAATTGCAGTCGAAGTTTCTTCATCAAGCTTCGATGAATCTGTAGCACCCGAAAATGCTTGGATACTATTTTCTGACTATTGAATATAATGAGAAATAAGAATCATTACATACTTGTGAAAGAATTGTTCCTTTCCGTTAGTATTAATCTTGTCTCCATTTCCTTAGGAAGATTGGTCTTAGACGCGGTGTTACTGACGTTTTTAGGAGAAGACGATCGTTCAAGAGATGTCGGTGATAAACTTGTGTTATTTGAGTTGGTTTCATTACACGTATTGTTTAAGATTGGTGGAACTATGGATAAAATGAAAAATAAAAATATTCCATTACTCAAATGGTGGGTAATTATAAATAATTTTATTTACCTAAATCCTTCGATTGAAACGTTGGAGATTCAATTTCATCATCGTCATCGGATGGATGTACAAGCGAAGTGATCATATCCGATACTTCCGACGATGATTGATATGTCTCCGGTGGCATCCTTTTCTGTCTACTTCTCGCTAGAATAAAATTCTCGATATCAAATGAAATTCATGTTACTATCGTTGCGTTACTAAAGGAAACTGGTACGTACCTAAGTGTTCATAGAGGAACTTTGAAAATACTTTGGATGTGTCATCTGTTTTTGAATATATGGTATTCTTAATAATCTTAGCAAAATTCGCTACATCGGATACTTCAAAGTTTACTGCATCCATCTCATTTTTTCTGTCAGTATATATTCTCATCTCACTCTGATCCTCGGTCGAGGCAGAAAGAACTCCGCACGCTACAATAGTACATGTAGCTCGATAACAATAACAGTAACAATGTGCCTAAATAAGTATGCAAAACACGATTTACATGTAGGGTTATGGCGAATTACGAAACGGTCAAGTAGGTTTTCTCAAGTCAAGCTTGTAAGCTGTGGTTCATGGCTTATGAAAAATATATGCAGTGGGTTTATGTTGGATGAAATAAAATTGTGAAAGTGGATCGTGAGTCAGAAATGATCTGTGGACAAATGACACTTCGTCAGGCTTTACTTCGACTAGATTAATGTGTTTGAAGCAGAAAAAATAAATTCTCGAAATAAAATGCATTGCATAATAGGTCGTATCCGCTTCGACAAATATAACCATACATTTTCTATGTCAAGTTGCAGCAAAGGTACAATTGAAACATATTCCTTTAACAGTTTCGCATATGAGAAATTCGTTTCGGTATTTTTATGAAAGTATATCGATCTACTAGGCTGCGGTGCCAATTGCAAAATCACTCTCCCCATCAACCATTTTTTATCGATATTAAAGAAAACTTATCATGCTTTCGGATACAACAGATAGTAAAAATGAAGCCGTGATCGGATTATTAAGAGGTTTCAAGCAAACAGTAGAATAAGGCTATCAAAGTCGTCTACGTCGTGCGCGTCATTTTCTGCCTACACGAGGCTTCCCTGACTTGCAAGATTTGACCTATTAACAATATATCGATGACGATTATGTCGAACTGTCTATCATTCAATAACGTTATATTTTCAATTTCAATATACATCTACCTCAATCAAAATTAATACATTTTTCAATGGCATGATCAATACCAAATATCTACGATAAAGTGGACGTGTCATTCGATACACATGCGAGGTCAAACTTACGAAAATTAGAAGCCGTCATATAGGCAACAAATAAGATAAAATCAAACCAAATTCTTTATGATTCACTCACAAATAGATAGAAAATTTCAATAAAATATTTTTAAAAGAGTGTTTAAACGAATACACGAAAATATGATACAGACATGAGTACAGTGAAATGTTCATGATTGCAAAGACAGACAGATAATAGAATAAAATAAAAGAATAAAAATGTATGAAATCTAAAGAAATTGAGATTCAATTTAGAAATTGATAAAATGATAATTAAACAATCGAGTATCAATTACATTGAATTTTTTTTCTCACTTCAGAAACGTTCAAAACATTAATGCATTTATCCCACAATGATAATACATTGTACATGTATACATGAATCACAGATGTATTTATACCTGAGTCAGAAGTTTAAACGTTAGTGGAATATCATTAGGAATTGTTTAAAATTGTTCCTATTGACGCGCACGTGGTAATCGTTATTGGTCAAGGCAAATATTTCAAGGCCATATTCGATCGAATGCACTTGCAGGAGAAAAGTTTAACTCCGCCGGCGCCACTTTCAATTAAACACAAGAGAAATCGCACGAGTTCAATATCATTGTCGTTCTCTAGTGAGATAAATTATCAGCTTATCAATGTCCGACGTTTGTATCAATATCCAGAAAAATTATTATATTATAATCGATTAAAGCGTTTATCTCCATTTTCAAAATTGATTTTCAATTATGCTACTATAGATCTTACCGAACATTGAGAATACCAGTATAGATCGGACTGAACAATCGTGAGACATGGTTTGGCAATACTTTCCTCCTCTGCAATAAGCAGCTCCAAGAAATCCTTTGTTCTGCTGTCGTTGCACGACAATCGGTGTACTGTTTCTTCTGTCTCTCATGAGAGTCATGAGATATCACTTTCCGTATCGCTGATTGATATCACTGACCCTGGAATTCAGATAGCGAACTGACTATACCGAAATTGTTCTCTGCCTCCTCGGTATACAATGCGTCAGTTGCTCTTACGAGTATGGCTGACAAGAAAAGTGTAATGTATGTTAAACAGAAATTAAAAAACAGTAATTTATCATACGTGCACACAGGATACTTCAGGTATTCGACGAATAATAATATTGAATATCAGTGTGTAGACGTATATATTGAGTTTATCAGTGAATTACTCTGTATAGTATACAGAAATCAGCAGAAAAGCTTTTTCACATAAAAGCGTCAAGTATTTGTAATAATTTGTCATTTCGTTGACTGAATTTAGTCGTTCTGTTAATAATAAAAATTGTTCCCACTCAAGTAACTTTTCATATTAGAAGATTATAGGAAACAATTAATTGGTAGACAGTGCATCGGTAACCCGTAACACATTATAATTCGTCTTCTATTCCCGCCAAAAGGTGTGGCCATTTTTACTTTTGCCCGCTGGAAATCCCGGAGCGCTGCACTATGGGTAATCGAATGAAAGGTTTGGAATTGAAGCATTTCTTATTTAAGGTTGCGCTTAGATTGCATTGGCTTTTACGTTTTCATTGCTGTATTTGAAATTACAGTTATTTTTCATTGGACACTGTTTACAATAACAGTTATCGCGACATTGTTCACATTTATTAAATAATAATAGTCTCTTATTGTTCCTGTTACACGTGCTCAAAGTTATGCGTAATATTTCAAATGGCGTAGTTTGTCAGATCAGAGTTTCGAAAACCTGATAGAATGCGCGTTTCTCTCGTTAATATAAACACATTTCACATTCAATAGATTTCAGAATAGGACTGCATTAATTTCGCGTGCCATTAATACGGTATGTTTATCGAATTTTACCATATTGTGATTTATGCGTTTCCTACATCTGTCTGTTACATGTTATTCTCCTTAAACACGGCCTTCCTACAATGAACTATGGAATGCTGTGTAATATTTATTATTTTTTCAGCAGTTCCTGATTAAATCGTAACCCAGCTATGTTCACGCTTAGTAAACACTACGACCACATACCTCCTTCACGACGACACTGCGAAGATTCTTTATGCTGTATTAGCAAATTTTCATGTAATCCGAAAGCTTGATATTATGAAAAGAACAAACTCAATTATGTAACGCTTAGAAATAATTTGCAGGAGACACGTATTTATAGGTCACGATGATGATTTCGGAACAAGGATGATGCTTGTGCGCGCTGATATTTAAAAATTTTTGTAATAGTCATTATTGTACTATAACGAATGTCATAAGACTTTATGCTGTAATTGGTATCTTTTGATTGGATGAATTTTAAAAGTTCTTTATTTCCACACTTTTCACAGTTTGCATTGTATGATAACAGATAGCAAGTTTGTGCTAAGAATTACGCTACTACTTCATAATTTATCCTGAGGTAGATACTTATATACCGGTAGCTCGAAACTCACTATTAGACCTCGTGAGTGAATTGCCTGGCAGTTGCTTCGAGACTCTCGCCCCACTGACGATACTCGATTGTGAGTGAACGAGTAGGAGAGTGAGAGAGTGAATTAGTCTTTGGTTAGCTATACGGCTAAACTTGAATCTATTAACACGTTTTTATTCTGCACGTGTTTCTCTTCTCGATGGATAATCAAGTGGGGGTATCGCTCTGTTGGGAGGATGGCATTATCCAGATTTAATCTTGCCAGGATCATGGGGAAAACTGCTGACAAGTTTTATGAGTAAGGTTACTATGTGATTGGTGATTCGCTGGATGGCGCTGTGATGCAATTTCAGTTAGGATCAAGGACCGTGTCTACAGTCTGGACTGTGGATATTTTGAGACTTTTGCAGGTGCTAGGTATAGTACCTGTAGGATCTCTGGTTTTATTGGTTGCATTTTTAAACAAGGTCCCTTTGTTATCTGGATGACTCACTGGTCATTTCTAAAGGGTCCTGCTGAAGGTTGTGCTTCTTTGTTAAAAAAAAGATCAAGGTCACAGCTTCTAACGAATAATTTTCTACACGTGTGGTGGTGAGAAATTAATGAAGTATTACATAATAGTCAAAATGATTATAAATCAAAATTGAAAAAAATTTTGAATGGCATTGTTGAAATTGAAACTAACGTATTTCATTAATTTAATTATCTGTCCGACCGTTTTTATTACATTTATCATGTTCATGAAATATCCAGGACTCTTCGAAGTTCAATAGATTTCTCATAGATGGAGAAGAGAATAGTAATGTCTCGTAGAATACGATTTAAATAGTTGGGCACACTCAGGTAAATTTCTGTATGAGACATGAAGGGTGACATGAAGACATGACATGATAAAAAATGTCTGCATCATTCTTTTTCGATTAGGAAGCGTCATCTTCCACTCTTGGAATTATTACCATAACATAACCTTTTTGTAACGTCATGATATATCGTATGCTTCGAGCAAGGGGGATCATTCATCGATGACCAATACTTGATGATTAGTGCAAGGTAGGAAAAGGTGACGTCATCCTCATAGAAATATCTTCAACGACATTATCTATCTAGTCTTGAATGAGAATGGTATCCGTCAAGGAAACAGGATTTCATTGCTTGAATTGACGCAGGTTCAAATCCTTTATATTCAAGCAACGTTATAATGGACCCCGTGTATGTTTCATGACTGTACAAACAGACCGGTAAAAGGAGAGATGGACTGGCCTGGTTAAAAATAGATTGACCCTGCCACAGATAAAACCCTGCAGAACACGAAACCCTTCAAGCCAGGTAATTCGATATGTATGTAAGGTGAATAGGGGGATGCAGAACACTGCAGTGTTCGATTATTTTTAGAATCATCATCCAAAATAAATGAAGAACCACTTAAATCAAACTACCAAGTTTGATGAACATATTTACGTGGTATAAAGGTGCGGTTACGAACTGGAGAATTTGTCTTAGAATATTTTTGACAACTACTGTACAGTACAAGCAAAAAATGTGCACTTATGACTACTGCAGCAATCTCAATGCAAAATTATACCTCAGAAATACATTCTTTCGATTTTGTACCAGATGCACGGTACAAAAAACTTTATTGCACTCTAGCGCAGAGTTACATTTCTTCACATATATTATATATTGTATAACTCATGATTATAAACAGTTAGTTTAAATACATCGTGATAGTACTATCGTTACTAACGTATCAGTCAATGATATTGTTTCCAAGACTTAGGCTATAGAAAATTCCTATTATTTGCATTAGTATATTGACTGTTTTTAAAACAAAAATTACCACGTTGACTGCCATGAGGGTCACCGGTGGCCGGCGACGCAGCAAATAATAAAAGTACATAATTAAAGTAAATATGGATACTGATACATTTTTCAATAATACCATTATTACTATAATGGTTTGAAGAAATTAAGGCAATATAGAACATACAAAAATAATTTTATAACTCACTTTATTTGCTGCAAATAATATTTCAACATAATATGCATCGCCTAATGAAAAATTCACGTTGGCGCCTTGGGCAAACCATGGAAAATGCGTTTGGCCGTCAACGTGTTAATACGAATCTAGTCATGTTCCCCATATACGAAACTGAATGATAATTTTGAAAAAAATATATATTATATGTATCTACCATGGAAATTTGGAATTTCCCATCTTAGTAGTTTCCATGCTTGTGTGGAAATGTAATTGGAATGTTCATAAATACATGATACGCAGCGCCTGAGTAGAATCATTCATTGAACTAAGAATCACACTTTTTTTATCAAATATAACTGTACTATAGATATTTAACAAAATTTTATATTATTAACTAATGAATGCAATTATTTTATCGAATTTTAAACAGATGTATTATAATTACCTTAAATTTTGTTCAACAAATTTAATAATAATAATAATACAGCAGCATTAGTAATTAAATAATAATAAAGCTATCTTTTACAAATACATGATCTATGGATGCTAAACATTTCATATTTTAATCCGAATGTTTTACCCTCGGATCACGCTGTATATTAGTAGATATAATTTAATACGAAATTCAAAGTGCCACTAGCATTAATTGATGTGAAATATTTAGAGGCAGTATTGACTGTAGGTTATCTAAACTAAAAACCAAAGTATCTTATTAAATAATAGTTAACATTCATCATGATTATCACATACATATTGTTCGCGGCTTGCTAATTGGTACAATGCATATATAGGGTGATTCTTATAAAGTGATCAATTTACGTTATGGAGCACATCAAGATAGCAGTGAGAAATTGGTAACATCCATTGCATTTAACGATACTTGGAGGATGTCATTGAATTTCCAGAATCAGTCAATAATTTTAAGATTTTACAAAATCAGATTGATTGTTTTATAAGAATAATCCTGTATATCGTAATAAGCGTAAAGCCATGAACACAATTATTTACTCCAAGGCACGGTAAATTTATAACTACACTAAAGGTTATCGCTCAGCAATGCTTATAAAAAAATTAGCCTAGGCGATGTAAAAATTTAGGAGAATATTATAATTTTACTATGCCTTTAAGTACATTAGAATTCATACATGAACCTTTTAGACTGCTCACATTGCGGGATATATTAGCTGTACTTTGATTGCAAAACTTCTAAATACTTATAGTACATTAATTTGCCGAAAAAATTGTTCGACGAAGGTACAAAGACATATCTAAATATTTATCTTTCTTGAAAATATATTTAATGTGAGTAAACTTTCAGTGTTCATACCATTGACAATCTAGTCTTACAGAATGAAAAGTTAACTGTTAATGAAGCTATTGTCTTTTCAAATTCTCGTTTTATGTTGCTGATTATAGATTTTCATATACATATACAGGGTGTCCCACGCAACTGGAACAGGCTGTACCTCCTAAACGGTTGGGAATAGAAGATGATGTTATGAGTGAAAGTTAAATGGCATCAGACGGTGCATAATATGCAAATAATTTTATGCACTTTTGTTAATCGGTGCATTAGAAAAATGCAACTGCACTTTTTTTTTTAATGGAAACCTATATTTTTGACTACACCAGTCGATGCAGTTTCTTATGCTCTACATAAAAGTACTAACATACTTGTGCTCTAAACTTATGCGTTAGGGAGTTATCGAAGCTAAAAGTTCTCTGAATTGTTTTCGTCTCTCGGCATGTGTTCCGGAGTACCTACGTTATGTTCCATTACATTCGGCAAGAAATATCCAAAATTACGGAAAACGATATCAGGAATGTGTTGCGCAACGTCAAAAAGCGGATGGAAAAATGCTTAAATTGCAATGGAGAACCGTTCGAACACTTGTTATAACGTAAGCACTTAGGAAGACATGCCGAGAGACCAAAACAATTCAGAGAACTTTTAGCTTCCATAACTTCCTAACGCAAAAGTTTAGAGCATAAGTATGTTAGTACTTTTATATAGAGCATAAGAAACTGCATCGAATAGTGTAGTCAAAAATATAGGTTTCCATTTAAAAAAAAAGGGCAGTTGCATTTTTCTAGTGCACCGATACACAAAAGTGCATAAAATTAGTTGTATATTATGCACCGTCTGATGCCATTTAACTTTCACTCATAACATCATCTTCTATTCCCAACCGTTTAGGAGGTACAGCCTGTTCCAGTTGCGTGGGACACCCTGTATATGTATATGAAAATCTATAATCAGCAACATAAAACGAGAATTTGAAAAGACAATAGCTTCATTAACAGTTAACTTTTCATTCTGTAAGACTAGATTGTCAATGGTATGAACACTGAAAGTTTACTCACATTAAATATATTTTCAAGAAAGATAAATATTTAGATATGTCTTTGTACCTTCGTCGAACAATTTTTTCGGCAAATTAATGTACTATAAGTATTTAGAAGTTTTGCAATCAAAGTACAGCTAATATATCCCGCAATGTGAGCAGTCTAAAAGGTTCATGTATGAATTCTAATGTACTTAAAGGCATAGTAAAATTATAATATTCTCCTAAATTTTTACATCGCCTAGGCTAATTTTTTTATAAGCATTGCTGAGCGATAACCTTTAGTGTAGTTATAAATTTACCGTGCCTTGGAGTAAATAATTGTGTTCATGGCTTTACGCTTATTACGATATACAGGATTATTCTTATAAAACAATCAATCTGCATAACTTCCTAACGCAAAAGTTTAGAGCATAAGTATGTTAGTACTTTTATGTCGACCATAAGAAACTGCATCGACTGGTGTAGTCAAAAATATAGGTTTCCATTAAAAAAAAAAGTGCAGTTGCATTTTTCTAATGCACCGATTAACAAAAGTGCATAAAATTATTTGCATATTATGCACCGTCTGATGCCATTTAACTTTCACTCATAACATCATCTTCTATTCCCAACCGTTTAGGAGGTACAGCCTGTTCCAGTTGCGTGGGACACCCTGTATATGTATATGAAAATCTATAATCAGCAACATAAAACGAGAATTTGAAAAGACAATAGCTTCATTAACAGTTAACTTTTCATTCTGTAAGACTAGATTGTCAATGGTATGAACACTGAAAGTTTACTCACATTAAATATATTTTCAAGAAAGATAAATATTTAGATATGTCTTTGTACCTTCGTCGAACAATTTTTTCGGCAAATTAATGTACTATAAGTATTTAGAAGTTTTGCAAAAAATATCTTTTGAAGCTTCAAAGGTGATATATTTGTTTGTATAATTATTACCTGTTATATACGCAATTGGCTATAATGTTACTTTTTCAATAAATCGTTAACATCAATCGTTAACAAATAACATCAGCGTGAATTAAATAATTATCAGTGAAAGTCGCATTACTTATCAGAATGGATACTGTATATAAAAAAAATCATTATTTTCTTAAGTCAACCACTTCAATCAATGCGGACCCATCCACTTTACAATGTTTGGCATTCTAGAATACGAAATAAATGTGTCTTCGATTAAAAGGATCTCTAGCAGCAACTCTGACTTGTGTTTTAATGTATGTTAATACAATGAAAAAATCCTACCGTATATAAGGCTGGCTCTGTAGGATGCGGATGAAATCCTGTTTCTCTACAGTTAGCAATAAAGTTTAATCCATATTCTGGTGTTAATGTAAAAAAGCCAGTTCTGTAAAAAAAAAGTGTTTATATAAAAACTTGATTCCTATATAAGTTGAGATAAATTGAATAAATTGTCAGGTAGTGTAAAGAAATAGGACATACTCTCTGTATTTAGGAGCACAAACAATTGCTATTGCTTCTGCCATCATAAGCTGATAGGAGCAATGTGTATGAAGATCTACGCTGGATAGAAATGCTGTCTGTGTGGGATGAGTCTAAAAAAAGTACAATTGTTATTTGCTCTAAAATACATATCTTAGATTATAATTTTGTTCATATCAACACACATGCACCCATCCCAATGTTATTAGACTATGTTGATCCTGATAATCAAAAATATCTTCCTCATTGTGTGTAGCACAAGAGTCTGGAGATCCAGTTTGCTGGGGAATGAGCAAATGAGTTACTAACAATTGGTTTCGCTCCAATCTTCCAGCTAATATACCACAAGTCTCCTTATTTTTAATGGTATTACTGAGCGCCAATTTTAAGAATTCCTGCATTAACATGTTTGGTAAAATTACATCACGCAATGCCAGTTTATCACCATGAAACAAGGATGGTTTAGTTGAACGGTCCACAACTGGAGTATCCCTGCAGAAGAAATACGTTTACTTAGAATGAAAAATTCAAAGTTATGCAGTTTGTTCTACAAAAGACCAGATTAATTATTCAAAACTATGCTTACTTGTCCCTGGAAGTTTTAGCTGTATTATCTTTTTGGGAAGGTATTTGTGGCGCGGGTATCGCGATCTGTGGTTTCAATTTGTCATCCGTTGTATTTGGTACTACAGGGATGCTCAGTGTACCCTTTCCATCCTTACCTATTGCCCAAGCTGCAAGTTTATTTTTTCTATTCTCCTCCTCCTTTAACCTTGGAAATATATTTTTATTGCTAATTAAACTCATTGAATAATTCATATAATGGTCCAAAGAAGATATAAAGAAAAACATTTTAAAAATAAAAAAGTAAATCATAACGATCTTACCTGCATTCTTCTTCAAGCTTTTCTCTTTCTTCTGCAAGTTTCTGTTTTGCTTTACAATGCTCTAAGTATATAGTTGCCTCTGCCTTGTATTGTTCCAATAAATGTTTTTTTAAAGATTCTGCCTTTGGCATGACATCTCTTAATGCCTGCTGAATCATAGCTCTGTCTTTTAAGGGTACTGTATTAAAATGTGGATGCGTTCTAATTTTCTCCAAAAATATTCTGTAAAATCATTAGCACACGAAACATAAACACAATACAAAACCTCTTCAAAGTCAAAATATCTTACGTGAGAAATTTCATATATAAGGTAAAAGCATTCTCAAAGCTTCCTTCCTTCATATAAACATTTGCCATTCTCAGCATTTCTACACCAGATCGGTAGTACCTGAAATTATAGGAAATATGTATTAACATCAAATTAAACTTAACGATACCAGTATACAGATTTGAACAGTACCTTCGTGGTGGAATATTAACATCTATATCGATGGCAGTACCATAATCCGAAAGTGCTTTTAGGCGTTGTTCAGGATCAGGAATTCCCATGTTTTTTGAAATTTTTAAAATGTTTGTTTCACTTTCTTTTTCTTGATCCATATTTTCACTCTTCATTACACTCACTAGCTGCTTGTGAATTCCATTATTCTTATGCAATATAACCTACCCAAGTTATATGAACGGACAATCATTTTACAAGGAAATATATCGCACACACATTCTCCTTGGATAAAACTGTATAAACTTCACAGATTAATGTATGTCCGAATGTTAGTCATATCGTTGAGTGTAAGTCGTCATATAACAGCTGTGCGTCCCTTGCAGTGTTACCGCAATACGTCATATGAAATGTTAACAACTTGTGTTTGTCAACTTGACACTAATTATTTAAGTCAAGAGTGTAAAAGCTTGAAAACACTTATAGACATTCGTCATTAAGCAAATCTGTAGAACTAGTATACTGTAAATATCGAACGCACTACCAGAAATGAGTAAGGAGATGCACAACGCTACTGTTTTAGGCAGAGATAAGTAGGGAGGTACACAGCGCTACGGTTTTGGCAACATGGCGCTAAAACGTAGCGGCGAGTCCGGGAGTAGGATTTTGTGATCATTGCTTTCGTCGATAATGCATATCCCGTCGTAGCCGAGCTGAACGTGATCAGGAATGTGTAACCTGGCCGGCAGAGGTTCTCCGTAACTTACTGCTGGTTCCTAGAGCAACCCTTAAAACGATTCCGCTCATCAGATATTGCCAGAATATTTTTTTTTGGAATCTTAAATTCGAGTGTACAGTGTAAGCTCTATAAGATTTACTAAGACAAAAACCAGCACCTCATGCCTGCCCGAGTTAAGGAGTGCAGCGATGCGGTGCTAGCTTCCAGCATTATTTAACAATAGTTCCAAGCGGAACTATGGTCCCGACATTGAGTACTAGAGAGAACTACCCCGGAACTGTTTGAAATACAATCTGAAAACAACATTGAAAGCCAGCTCTTTATGCATACCTGCCCTGAGGCGTATGGTGCGACTAGTATCCTTAATAGGCATTTTAACGATGTTACGTAGCAGAACTATTGTTAAAACCTATCAGGAACTATAGAACTTCTCCAGAACTATTGAAAAAACCTATTGTTGAATCATTTTTAAGAGATTTTAAAAACGTGCGGTTCTGGAGCTGACACCCGTGTAGCACCTCAATTTTTGAACAATATTTCATGAATAAGCTTTTTTAATGGTTCTTGAGGAGTTATATAGTTCCTAATAGGTTTTAACAATAGTTCTGCTACGTAACATCTGTAAAATACCTATTAAAGATACTAGTCGAACCATACGCTTCAGTGCAGGTATGCATAAGGAGCTGGCTTTCAGTGTTCTTTTCAGATTGTGTTTTAAACAGTTCCGGGATGGTTCTCTCTAGTATTCAATGTTCGGACCATAGTTCCGCTTGGAACTATTGTTAAATAATGCTTGAAGCTAGCACCGCATCGCTGCACTCCTTAACGCAGGCAGGTATGAGGTGCTCGCTTTTGTCTTAGTAAATCCTATCGAGCTTACACTGTGCACTCGAATTTAAGATTACAAAAAAAATATTTAGGCAATATCTGATGAGCGGCCTCGTTCTAACGGTTGCTCTAGAAACCAGCGGTAAGTTGCGGAGAACCTCTGCGGGCCAGGCCATCTCTGATATTAGTAGCAGGTTCTGTCAATTTTCCATTTGAGTTCGTGCTTCTTATGTAGTCTCCAGGGCAATTCCTCTAGATGGGGTTGTTTTTTGAGTGCTTGACATCCCCTATTTCCGTGGTTACTAACCTATTTCACTGTTCCGGTTTTGTTCCTGTTATATTAATACACACAAATATTTTGTTCCTGTTATATTAATATACACAATATTCAGTTTATTCTGTTCTCGTACAACTATAATTCTTTATTGATAATCGTATCATAAAGTTGTCTTATACGATTTCGAGAATCTTTACGAAATTATTGATTATTATCAGAACAATGTCGACCGAACATATGAGCGGAAAGGGTTACACCGCCCTGCGACAAAGTGTTAGTAACACTGATACTGAAGATGAAGATGAAGATGACAACGTTGCTAGAACACTGGATAATATTTCTAAAGGGGCGGATAGAAATACGGTAAGTTTTCTATACATTTGTGCACTTCATAATCTCATGGAACTGATTTGAAAATATAAAAGAATTAATGTGATTTAATGTTCGTTGAATGGGTATTTCTTATCCAATGTTTATAAAAATAATTCTAATGATTTTCTCTTGTAATATATATATTATTATTATATATATATATGTATAAAGAATTTATAAAATATTTAGGAAACCAATACAGTATATGATAAGGGCTGTTTTTATCCATTGGATGAGACAAGAAATGTTGCTAATCGTGGGAAAAATTGTCGTAAAATGCTTGGGTATTGCAACAATGATATTCCTATTATGGTAATTGATGGGGATTCTCACTTGGACTTGTGGAAACGTCGTGAAATGTCTTTGCTTCGACGGTTGTGTCTCGCAATTTCTATACTATTATGCGTAGCAACGGTGCTAATATTTCTATATGCTTTACCATGTGACAATGAAGTTACATGTTTAGTGATTTCGGAGCAACAATCACCATTGACATGGGACAAAACATTACAGGGTGTTGGTATGTAATAATGTATACATATGTTTTAATAGCCATATCATTATTCTTAATATTTTGTAAAGTGCTTCTAAATTAATTTTTTTGCTATTACGTTCATTACAAGTATAAGAACTAAAGGATTGTTAAACTATAAAATTTTAAAAAAGATGAAGTATAATTGTATAGATCCATTTCTATAAAAATCAAATAATAATTTTTCTTATTTTTAATTTACGAATACATTTTAAGGAAGTTAGCAATCTAATACAACAATTTTTTATAAGAAATAATGTTGGATAAAGTTGGACTTATATACTTTAAAGTACTTCGTGTTTATAATAATATAATTCCCTGTTTAGAGTTGCATGGGCCAATTTCTGTGATACCTGGTTCACCAGATAGTTTGATATTTCTACTACGTGGACAACACTATGGAGTGAATAGTTCTGGCTCCTTAAAACAGCAGCAGATTCCATCAGAAGGTGGTGGTGTATTATCAGTGCAAGGGGTCAGTGGTACACCATTATGGTGGGTCACATTAAAAAGATTGCCACTTGAAATTGATTGCTTTGCCTTGGATACTGATGGCTCTGGAAAACCAGATTGCATTGTTGCTGGAGAAAAGGGCCTCTTAGTCAGCATAGAACCAACTACTGGAATGATTCATTGGAGTTCGGCGATTCATACATATTCAAAATTACCCGTTCTATTGCCGGATATCGATTCAGACGGAATCGACGATCTGCTAAGTGTTGAGATTATGGCAGAATCAATTTTAGGCTTAGTTCTTCTGTCTGGAAGAAATGGTCAAGTGGTAGGTCGTCCCCTAACCCGGGATTGTTCTTCGATTCAAATTATTAGTTTCAATTCTAATGTCACAGTATCGTATTCGTGTGATGAAACTAATGGGAAACGTAAGTATAGTTTTTATTTAATATTTTATGAAAAAAATAAATCAATTACGTTACTTATAGTGTTTAGTAAGCAGTTATATTTTTATCAGCGTTGATAATGCCTATAAATACTTAGACTTGTTTTTAATTTAACCTTTCCATCAGTAGTGGAATTATTTTCTTACGTTAACACTCAGTTTATATGATTATATATATTTTGTGCTTGCTGAGTAGTTTTTCGTAAATTGTACAAAAATGACTATTGTCCAGATTTTAGATACCGGCAACCAAGATAGATTTGTTCACGATTAAAAAATTGAAATCCTTATTGTAATATTGCTTCAATTATTGGTAGCCGTGGTAAAAACGTTCATGTATACGTGAACATTCAGGACTATTGCTCCACTGAAAAGTGATTCTGCTATAGATATTAAATAGACTGACTAAGGGCAGTTAGTACAACACGCCTGAAAACATTGAATAGCTTTAAAAATGATATACTACACACGTATCCTAAAGCTTGCTTGCCTTGCAACATTTCCTTAATGACACTGGGGACCTTGCATTATTGTGTGAGTGAAATATAAGCAAAAATCGTAAGACAAAGCAAAAATGCGTTTCCAAGAATATAACAATAAATTTGTAATAATCGATTGCTACGGCAAAGCAGTTTTTAGTAATTCTACAATTATATGTCATTATTTAAATTAGTAACTTATAATTAGTTATTCCTACGAAATAACTATAATACGAATAATATCGATCGAATGTTTTCATTTTTTTCAGGATCGACGAAATCCGTTCCTCTGAAAGAATTATTGGATACTGTAAATTCATCACAAGTAGGGAAAAAATTGACTTCGAAATCACAAACATCGTTACGTGGTTTCACCGTTTCAAATCATGACGCCAATATGTATAATTGGGAACTCACGCCGTTTCATCGTTTAAGTATTCAAAATCGTGAAACACATCCAGATGAGTTTTACCAGGCAAATATTAATTTAACACTTCACAAGGTAGCAAACGAATCTCATTTAATTTGGAGTCACGTAAACCCTAACTCGTTCGCTATGGAACCAGCTATACTCACAATGACGGGGTATCCTTACATGACGGGATTTGTAATAAAGTTTTGGCAGTGGCCGCACAACGAGCAACCTGAGCGAATAAATTCGAGTCTTATCAAAAGAAGATTGACAGAAAGAGTACAAATTGTCTTAATGAACTGCACCGAGGTTCACACAATAAACGCTAGCCAAATTGAAATAGTTCAATTATGTCGGGATGGTGACTGTCAACCAAGCTTGCATTTGCAGACACGGTCAGTTGCTATAGTTGATCTAAATAGGGACGGCACTCGAGAGCTGATAAGTTATCGATCATCATATGATTTAGAAAAGTCACAAATCCTAACATCTCAAATACAAATTGTTAAGCTAAATATGGAAGTTTCCAAATTAACGCAGCAGAACGTTGATTAATTATTGACAAATAGAATTTCGAAAGGATTACCTGGTGACGAATAATTACATTCGAAATAGTGGCGTATAGCATATAATTTCTACCAAAGTAAAGTAAATATGATATAATTTTTTTGTTATAATTACTATAAAGATTTTTTATAGGAAAAACAAACCGATTGCAGCGTGGTAGAAAATATATACATTATGTACTTGAAGATCTCATAAAAATCATAAGTTTTTCTCATTTCCTACGTTAAATAATTAAATGGCTGCCATGTAGGAAAAATATTAACATTTAGTTAAATTTTGTAAACAAATGTAAAGATTGAATATGATTATTAAAGCTTGCAAAATTTACTTCGAACTTTCGTAGCAAAAATTATGACTGAATAACTGCTTATGTGAACATAACGTTATCACCCCTCATACTCCATGATAATTTCGTTTGTCAATATTAGAACATGAAGTTCGCCAGTTACTGGCACATGTCCCCTATTATGGATACAGTCATAAAGAAAGGAAGAGAGGAACATGAAATTCAATAAAATTTATGCTGCAAACAAGCACAGTGCTTAATAATTACAATTACATAAATTTATGGAAAGATCTTAACTCGATGTCATTACGTCTGTCAACTAACAGAAGGTAATAACATGAAACCTCTGTTGCCTCACGTGGTAACTCTTAGCCCTAAATCTTCTATACCGGCAACAGACGATGACGATACAGAGAAACGGATGCAGAAATATTTGTTATTAGCATTTTCGCTATTTTCTGAATTTTCTTGCACAGAATAAAAGACGTTTTTAATACGTTATCTATTGGCACATGTTTTTTACAGTTATCGTATGCGATAGGGTGCAGAGTTACACTTGCGTGAGTCTACACTTTGCACCTGATACAAGAAAATCCTACCATTTGAAAATGCTATATGAGAGAAAGGCAAGACCAAGGTTTTTATCAACATGGAACATCACAAATACAATTTCTATGGTCGTCATAATTATCAATAAGTTTATATATTAACAGGAAAGGATACAAATAACATATATTACTATATGTTACTAACAAAGTAATGTTCTACTGACGACAATGGGACGGAATTAGTTATCCGTTAAATGCATCCCCGGTCAATAATCTGTTTTAAAAACAGTAAGTTTTGCGCAAGTAATGTTAACTCTTGTTCAAGTAGCGTTAATGCGTATGAAAAGGCTCGTAGAAGAATTAATCCTCGATTAAATGTAAGTGCGAAAATATACTATCTTAATCCTACGGATACATGTTACTTTGGCTAACCGGCAACGCTCACGCGAGTGTGTTTTTATCTAACGAAAAAGACCATTATAAAACGATGCTTGAAATTTCATATGCTTGCATATTGATGTCAAATGTCATCAAAGAAATGCTCAAAATTTATTTATGGTGTAAATTCAGCATACTATCGGCTTTCCGAAACTTTATCCAAAGCTGCTGTGATAATATAAAAATATCCTTTTTAGCTCTTCTTTCAATCTTGCACACCTTCCAAAAATTGAAGATGCTTAACGTGAGCCAAGCAATCTTAATCCTGATGATAAAAATCAAAATAGTCAAAAATGATTACACAAGCCTCAGTTAAAATTTATAATGTGCCCATCCCGTAATACGTACATTTGTATTAGATTTGTGATAATCGTAAGAATATGAAGGTGCATTGGATGAATTACCGTTATAAGTTGATATATTGACTAAATTACAAAAATTTGTTGTTTCTTATAAACTTCTTACCCTATCTTTTGGATATACTATCAGTCAAATATTGCTTTTCAATGGCTAGTGACAGAATCAATGTTTTGGAAGTATTGGAGTTCGATACATCAAAAGGCACCAATCTAATTTTCTTCCTAATTAAACAACCGGGTAAAAAATATAGTAGTGTCATCGCAAATTTTATGAAACGTATCGCAATTACCTACGATAAACATTCGTATGAACTGATACATAGATTTTCGAGATGAATATCGATCTGGCATTACATTGTGTTGGACTTTGGGGGAGTCGTGTCATTCTTACAAGATTGAACACAGCTGTGTTCGTTATGTCACAATTGTTTTCGAATATATTAACGTTTGTGACGTTTGTAACGTGAATGTTTCGCACGAATATTGGTGTATCTTTTTACGCTTCCTTTCAATCGTCACTACTGTAAGAACGTTACTTATCATGAAACCCCAAGGTAATAGATTAATGAAGGAGTCATTGAGAATTTAGAGTTAAATTATAAATATAATTATGAGCATCGAATGTATTGCAGCTTTCATGAAGGATTGATAGATTTTTTTACAGATTAGTTATCCTGAGTCTTTAATCGCACTTTTTTATAAACACTGATGCATTTCAGTGAAACCCACATGATATCGAACAAGGGATGTCACATGCAGACGCTAGAGATACGAAGATAATGTTTTATGGCTTATAAAGTCCATGACATTAAGTCAATGCATTAACCACTAGACTGTAGCATGCGCAATAGGGCACCAAATACTATATATCCTAGGTCCAAACTGGGGAACATTCCCTATTCTCGGTCAACAGCGAGTCAAGTGGTTAAACGTGCGTGAGAAATAGCCTGAAATTATTAATATTTTTGTATCCACATTCCACGTAATTTGAAATTTTTTTACATGTTCTATTCTATTCGTATAGAAAATAATTTGGTTATTATGATCGTAAACCTATTACTATGTGATCAAGTTGTAGGTATGAGTTATACGTGAGTACAGGCATGTGTCGATTAAATGGACAATCTACATGAAATATATGAAAGGATTCCTTATAAATTAGAGTCACGTCTTCCAAGCAGATTAATAAAAAGAATATTTTTTGACACGACCTTATAGACTATGTGAGACTGTCTTATGCATTCGCCATTAAAGATAATGTCTCATGTTTCTATATGTATAGAGTGTCTATAAATTTTGGCAATAAAATTTCAAACAAACGGTAAGCCGATTCAGCTAAATTTTCATAAGGAATATTAAATTCCAGATATACATAAAACAGCATATTTACAAATTTCCAGTACTTGTGGTTCAAATGCAGTACGTGACTAAAATCCAGAATGTGCTCAACCTTGATACCGTTATGATTTCGGCGCAAAATACAAATAGTCGCTACTGCGCATATCACTAGGGTAACCTAGATGCGAGTGCATGGCTTAAGCGGTCGTGCCTCAAGGCAAACCTGTTTGTCTCGATATTTTTTAGTCATAGGATCTCGAACTTAATACTATTTTTGTTACTGGTCACGAATGAGTGTTCATCGACAATAGTAACTAAGTATGTATAAAATTTACGCGTTTATCAGGAATGAGTTATGTGGGCGAATTGGGTTTTTAATCTTTATAGAAATATATTGGAAATTTAAAAATGTAAGTCCTGACATTTGCTTCCAGAAGGATTGTTGATAGGGCAGAGTGAACGGAAAGGGAGTATTGTGAATAGAAAATCTAACAAAGTAAACAGTCCAATCAATTGGATTTGAGCGAACTATTTAGAGAGAAAGAACGAGAGAATTGGACGTACGCATTGTACTTAGGCTAACGGCCGGAATGCGTTTCTGGTGGCGGACTGTGGTACTTTGCACGGATGTGAAGAAAATTGCTGTGCTTATTAGCGAGAGGGCGTGGTGTGCTTTCGCGATTGAGGATCCTCACCTGACATGGGTCATGCCTTGTCAGAAAGTGTTCCAAGGTGTCCCAACCGCCACCCACTCTTACCATCATGTGTCGTCCCTTGAGAAGCTGCAAAAATGTCATTAGTACTTCTTGATTGAACACAAGTAATAAGAACGTAACATGAAGTAAAACTTAGTTGTTTAGTGTGTTAACAAGTTATGAGATATACATACACGAATGAAAACATTGCGCCCGGCAATATGGTAACGGCCTTCTCCAACCTTGCGCACTATGAATTTTGAACACTTAGCTGAAGGACATCGACAGAGTTTTTGGACAGCTTCGGTCGCTCTTCGCACCTTGTAAACTCCATATGTAAACACCCAGAACAAAAGATTGGGTTATTTTAAAGGGATGTTTGGTGTATACCTTACGATCAAGTTCCGTGACTGGACCAATGTGTTCAGGTGGTACGGCTGGTGATGGCGATGGCGAACTGGACGGCGAAGATACTTCGTCAGGATCATCTGCACTACCCCTCGACCAGTCATCCTCCGTTGTATCACTCGGAACGCCATCACTTCCGGTGGGTCCATTATCACTTGCTGATCTTCGTAGTTCTGAGTCCTGACTTGTACCCGTTGGCGGACTGAGCCATCGGGACGTAGGTGTAGCCACTTCCGAAGTCGAACTGTCAGGAACGTAATAGATAAACGTTTAATTCATATTACTTTTTTTTCAACATTAACTAAAGTGAACTCCTAACGTTATTCAAATTCAAAAAGATACATGGAAAGCACTTGTTGCCTTCAATGAACTGTGATGTTCAATGTGTATGAATTTACCTTTTGGTGTTCGTGTTTGCGACACCTAGTCAATTTATCAGATTGAGATGACTTCGGAATATGAAACAATTTTTTATTGTTTATGAAATCCTGGCTCCGCACGAGCAATAACCCCTTGTTATAATTTCAAGATGAATACATAGTTTACTAAACCCTTTATAAACTTTAGTTTCTGCACTTGATATTCTTTTTAAAAAAGGTTTTTGTCATTGTGAGTCAACTTTACCTGCTATGTTTAATTTTGGCCGCTTGTGGTCTGGATGAAGGAGTTGGGGACGGCGATTCAAACTGCCAAGACACAAGACTGCCGTGTGAGATGCCGCTATCGGATAAACACTGAAGATCCTGCTTCTGTTCTGCAGCAATTTCTTTTTCCAACTTTATAAGTCCAGGAGGTTCCAGAGAATATCTCGCTGCTAGTCTCGCTACCTCCAGCAAGCAGATAATTACATTTCGTGGTTGTCCATGTAAAACTGAAAAAGAAAATTCTCATATACTTACATAAGGGTGAAAGTACGACAAACGTATTCGAGTTTGAAAAGCATTACAAATCAATTAGGATACTGTTCACGCAACGTCCGTGCCACATAGGCCTTGGCTCAACGACCAAGACTCTGTACGCGAAACAAATCTTGTATCTGATGTTTCGAATGAAATATCTCATAAACATATGAGAAAAGAACATTGATATATTTATTGTGAGAATTGGGTATTCTTAATAAAAAATCAGTGAGATTAATTAACAAGATCAAGACGTATGGAGGCGCCGAGGTTGCTATTTTATTATTTCAGTTCCGTCGTCGTCGTCTTCGTCTTTGCACGTCTATTACCTTTTTACGCCACGAGTGGCGTTGCCCATCTTTCTCGAAAGTACTAGAATATACAAAATATAGCATAGGGCTTATCTGCTGACTTTCGAACATTACCTATATCTGTTCGGTAGGGAGGCGAACGTTATAATATACTATATGAATGTATATGTATATACAGAAAATTTGCTATAAGATGATGGGGATTGTTAGGTTGTCGAGGTTATTTTTGGAGTGGGGGGAGGGGGGGGTGGTCTTCATTACATTGAACAAAACCACCTGCAATATCTAAAATGCATATAAAAGAAAGGGTCCGAAAAATTGTCTAATATCCAAAAACATATCAGTATACTTTGTAATGTCGCGTTATAGTCTTGAGGGGGTTATTCCCAACAATAGTGATAACTATTGGGATTACGACTATCAGGCCGGCCAGTGGTTTCCTTGGCGCGGTGGTTAGCGTCCAGGACTGATAGTCTGGAGGACCCGGGTTCGAATCCTGGTCGGAGCCCGTAATTTATAGGGATTGCTGCCTCTCGAGCGCTCCCTGACGTCTAAAATAGGAAATAAATTATAGCGAATGATATCGGGCTAGCTGGTTTAGATTTATACAACACATAAAACAGTATAAAACTTCAAATGACAAATCTAAATCAAGGACTTAAGAAAAAATGCGGATTATAACAAGAAATGTCACTCTTGCTATCTTCTTTACGTCAAGCAATACTTATCCGAGACTGCTGGAGGACTCGGGAAATTATCGCGCGATTTTATTTCTCATTTGAAAAGCATTGACTTAAAGTGTCTCAGACACCCCACGGGCCTACTCCCGGATTGAAGATTACTGATACGAGTTACTATCTAAAATGTTTACCAAGATCATCGCTCTCGAACAGAAGATTTTCATGAACTCCAAGGCGACGGCAAAACTGTATAAAATTCTCCATGTTATCGCGTGAGAAGAAACTACGACGAGCAGCATTTTCCCAACATCGTCCTCTTATCACGGGTACTGGCTAAAAACAAGCAGAAAAAAAGATTGAGAGAATTGAATGTTGATGTTTGAATTTAATAAGACAGGTAGAATTATAATATCAATCTTAGTATTACAATGTATTTCACGTTTATTCGATTAATTAGATTTCAAGGCTACCCAAGGGGACGTGGGAAAATTTAAGTCGATCGAAACGCTAAATGGCGAACCGGCTGAAATCGAAATGACGCCAGCAATTGATTTTTAACCTATTTTGGTACAATACAACGTACCATATCCAACTCGCACGCTTCTCTTGCTCGCCCACAGAAAAATGCTCAATTCATTTATTACTAATCATCGTACCAGTAGAGATTTGATTGAAGTAGATTCAAAGAAACTGTATGTACAGACAAGCAAGCTCTACGGGCATCAACACTATTAAAAAAATGTAAATCAGGATGAAAAATCGGTTCAGCTCACAGATAACGAGCCAGTGATCGCAACCTAAATGTAGATGTAAGAAATTAAATACGCTTAAAGCCATGAAGTTTTATTTTTGACAAAGAATTCATCTTTGGTATCCATATGCATTAGACATTAATATCACGTATATATAGGCCGTATCCCCTTGAACAGTCTTAAATGTTTGAAACTGACAGTTTTCTCAACGTTAACTTACTCCTTTATTTCTTCCAGAATCAATAACCGATCTTGCTTTTTCTTGAATAACCTTCGCCAATCGGCATAATACTACCCCATTATCCAAAGCGTCGAAAAAGTTTTCACTGGTTATGTGATCCACACCTAAAACAGAAATGTTAACTAACTGCACGTTTTGCCATCGAACCAAGTGTCTTTTTACTATATATTACAGTTACAACAAACATAAGGTCAGTTCGAATGTATTCTAACTGTTGTGCCCGGAGGAGGGTTGTCGAATAATACTGATTCTTGAACTTGGTTAAAATGTAAAACTAATGTTTACCGTTCGCTAAATAATCACGTTGCTGATTCGGTGTGTAACGCGTAAATCTGGTACGGATTTATTAGAGTGAAAATATACGTTCTTTCACTAGCTAACTGTCCGCTCTCGAGTTCAAGAAGCTAACCTCTAAGACATATCTGCTAGTAAGCTAGGATTGACTAGGACTGATTCTCGTTAGCACGTAGGAGGTATTCGCAAACAAAATTGCTGAACAAGAATTAATCCAACAGATCACATTTTCGTATATGAACATCTCTACCAGCATGATCTAAAAATGTACATGAAAAAACATTCTGAAATACCAGAAAAAAAAACTATGTTGAGCATCAGGTACGGTTTTCCTCGTACCACCAGAGCCCCTCAGCACGGTTGATTTTCCAAATCTTACGACTGTTCAATCACATCCAACTGATTATGGTGTAGGGGAAACGTGGAGGCAAGGAGACAGAGAGGGAAAGGGCGATGTGGTCTCGCAGAATGAACTCATAAAATAACAACACAGCGCGTGTATGTATGTACCGCCTCGTTTATTACGCCACATTAAACGAAGAATTTTACAATACAAATCCCGTCGCGTACAGTATTGCGACTCGGTCAACCGTCCGCAATCTGCCCCTAATTCCCTCTTTCTAACCCAATTCTCTATAATACTAACTGTCTCGTTGGAGAGACAGACTCCTCTTCCTCTCATGTAGTACGCGCTCTGATATCGATAACCTTCAAAGGCATCCGTGATGTCGCTTTCCTTGTACTCGGTTATCGACGAAGGCAGGATTTTGCCCAAGTAAAACCGTCTATACGGTACTTACCGAAAACGCGGCTATTCCACAATCCAGTTTAAAACAAAAGGGGCTGGCGGCCGTATCTCCCTGAATCCTCCAGCAGTGCTAGAAGTAGTGCTTCCTGGCTCCACGAGGGCATCCACTGCATGACGTAGTGTTTTACACACTTCACTGCACGCTCGCACTGCGCTACTCTATTTTCCACCTTGAAAGCTGCCTTTCTCTACGGGAATAGAGATTTCGGCTCGAAAATCACAATTTTTGAATAGCAATTTTTCCGATAGCCTTGCTAGAACTCGAGACCCGACCGAGAAGTTAACAGTCGGTAAGGGAAGTTTTGCCGCTTTTCGGGTATCGCCCTCTACCGTTGCTCGTGGTAGACCCATATTCAAAATAATTCTCTCTCCGACGCCCTCCTCGCGAGCACGTTAAGGTTAAGGTTCTCTTGGATTATTATGCGAATTTTCTAAACGTGTGTGCACATAGGAACTACGGATAATCAGCTTTAGATTGAAATGATCAATACTTTTAAGAACAGAGGATTACAGTGGTTCTCAAATCTCAATATTTATTAATCGACTAGTCTATAGTTTAACTATTTAACGAATGACTCTACCAAAGGTTAAGTTTAAGGTTTAAGGTTCAAGTTCGTACAGTTTAAGGTTCGTAATGAAAATATGCAAATGGCATATAATTTGTTAACATTTCGTTGAAAATGATTTCATATGTCATTTGTCAATGCATCTTTAAAAATTCTTAGATCTTACTGTTAGTAAATACTTCATTACTTACTTAACGTCTTATTAATCCATTCAGCCAAGTCTTCTTGAAGAGGCATGAGTTGTCGGGCTTGAGCCGAATTGAAACGTTCATGGCAGAACTCGGCGAATTCCTCTTCCTCGGACGTAGGCCTTGGTACGTCGGCACAATTAAAGACAGAAACTGAAGATGGTCCCCAACTGCTACGATAGCGCGTATGTTGACTGGAAGGAAACCGATTTTTTTGGGACATGCTGTTGATGAAAGTGCAAGCACCCCCTATTAGATCTTTCTCCAAATTTTGTTGCTATGAGAAGTCTTAGAGTTCCTAGGTCCCTATAAATACGTCTCCCGGTCTATTATTTGGCTTCCACTCGTCTGCTGTTCAACGCGCTCCTGCGAATTATGAATGCCTGTCAACAAAAAAAAACAGGAGAACCTTAGTTTCAATTTTTTCGCTTATCAAACTTTACGGTGTTATTGTGCCAATTTAGATTGCAGATTCGGTAATGAGAATCCGAACCATAATAAAGATCCAATATACTCGTTAATTAGGTATCGTCATGCGGTTAGGATTTAGTACCCGTAGTTTTCTATCGGAAGTGGAATATGTTTATTCTTAAAATATCTCAAAAGTTTCGCTTTTATTTTTAAAATGTTTACAAGCTTTAGTAAAATTGACAATGCAAAGCTAAAGTCAAACAGATTTTAAAGCAGATCAAACCGGGTGTTAATCTATATGGAAAAGATACAAAACCTTGTGAAACTAGATCACGTAGTGAGAGTTCTTTGAAATAAATCAAGGGATGCCGGCGCTCTGTATTATTTTACTTTTTTAGGTCTACCGATCTTATGGCAGATCTAGGCGATTATATAGGGTGGAGCATCTATAGTGACCAAGTGAATTTTTTTTCGGAAGCGAAGTCGGATAAAAAAAAATGTTTCAGGCAGAAGTTGTACGGTTTCAAGAGTGACGGAAGATTCCGTTATCGAGTTCCTTCCTGACTGCTGGTATCAAGGCAATTCAAAACTCAACTTTTTTTTTCAATGGGATGATGCAATTTTTCTTCCGGAAATCAAAAGAGCATTCAATTTTGACCCTAAAAGTACAAGTACAATAATGACCCAAAATTGACAGGTGATAGAATATTCAAAAAAAAAATCAACCTGTTCATTATAATTACGGCACGCTATATAAACGCTTTCAACACGATTAGGGAGGACAACAAACTTTCCGAGCGATTTTCAATCGAGTAAAAAATTAGGGGAACCTATTCGATTATACGACTAATTATGCTTTAGATCCGGTTTAGTTGCAATAAAATGAACAAACAAAAAACCAATTTACTTGATGTATAATTGTCGTGACCTGCTTTCCAGAGTATTAATATTCATAAAAATGCTCTTTTCGTTGTAATTATGTTGCTAATGTACAGTATCTCAAATTTTAAGTACAATTAACTTTTCGTTACAAGCTTCTGATTAAACTATAGTATCAATTTTCGTTTTTAACATTATCTAATTATGTTTTTTTATGTCATCCTAATATAGATTGCAAGTTCTGTTTTAAATATTTTCTGCTACACAATTTAACTACTTGCAGAATTCATAATGGGCCCATAAGGATACCGCCAATTTTTCGATGCGTGAAAATTAAAAATTGGCAAAAATCAAAGGTATACTGTTTCTAATGGAATTCCAAAGAAAAATCTGAAATAAAAATAAAAGATATCAAACATTTTCAAACGGTTAAAAATTTTCACACTATCTACTAAATATTTTGAAAAAATTTCAAATCAATCAAAATTCTCAAAACCCTAGACAACTCTAGTATTTACCTTTTCTGTTCATAGTCATACTGAATTGTTAATATTGATGATGGGGGAATGTGTAAATATTACTATAAAGCCACGATCAAATTTCGAGATTATCATAGTTTATAACCTGTATAAATGTCAAGAACTGGAAGATGAGAATATATTTGCATAGACAAAAAAGTTAACTTTATATTACTATACAGAAACTTTTCAAATCAACGGTTAACAAACTTTTATCTAGATTTATTATGTAATTGCGATTGATTTAACTAGGTCTGATTACAATCGCCAATTTTTCACTATATTTTCTTTTTCCATGACCTCTTTTACGTGATATACCATTTTATGAGTTTGTGAAATCAATAACAGACTAAATTTATTGCATGGTACGAACGGTTTTTGCCGGTCTACAGTAAAACGCATCTTTCCCCACCCCCTCCCAAATTATAATTGCAATTTTTGTCGCCTCGCTACTTTTAAGCCCATCTTCAAGTTAACTCGTCGAGTCCAACATGTTACTATTTATTCAATGAAAATTGTCTTACTCTAATATAATCTAACTTTTGAAATGACAGTTACATTGGCCGAGATAAGAAATTGAAATTTATGAAAATAGATTACATAATTGCTTTTATATTGTTCTACATTACATTGTTACATAAGAAGGCAACAAACTCTTCGCCATCAAGTAAAGTAAAAAAAAAATCAATGATCGGAAAACAGTCTTCCGGAGTAAATAAAATTTCGTGATAATTTCAAGTGTAGAATATAAATGCATAATTGTTATTAGAGCATTTTGTTACGAAGTTTTAGCTCGAATGATATTATCGTTTTCACACGACAGCAAAACATACGAAGAACAACGTGCAGACTGAAATTGCCGAAACGAGTGTATGAAATGTCTGCCTCGCACTGCTAAAAAGAAATTCTGATGTTACGTACCGATTATTCGAGTGCTGCTGCGGTCTCTCGCTACTGTTCGCGTGTTCACTACCTTTGGCTAAAAGATGTTGCTATTCGTAGTCTGCCGCCTCCTCTCACCAATAGTTTCCAATGGGCGGATGAAGGACGTGTGGACGAGACACAGTCAATTCCGAACACACGATCCTCGTTCGGGTCAATTCGGATTCTCTATGGGAGTACTGCTAAGAGCTCGGCGAAAACGAGTAAGGATTAGCTAAAGAAAAAGCTACTCTTTGAGTAAAGAGGAACCTTCAGTGGAGGGGAGTTGCGTGCTGCCGGGCTTAACGGTAGCAATGGTAGTCGGTCTCTACCAGTCTCCACTCTCGACTCTCCGCTCTCCAGTACCCGGTCTCTACTGGTCTTTGCACGACCAGACACCACGTGTACGTCAGTTGGTTGTGTACCAGCCGTAACATGCCGTGTACACGTATACGCACCATTCGCAACGCAGCGCAATGTGCATTCGATCCCCACCCTAATATTAGTCGTACGCGCCCCACCATTTGACTACGTGCATTCGTAGGGTGACTTCACGTAGCTCCTCTATCCCGGCATCACACAGTCCTTAATCAATACTTGTGCTCCTATTCATATCCCCCATTATCTTTCCTTTCTTGGACCATTTCTCGTTCATCTACCGTGAGACCTTCGAAGAAAGCTCATCCTAGGCCATTTTCAAACAGTGCTTCATTCCTGCACATCGTCGTTGCTTCATTAATATTTCCTTTTTATAACATATTTTTAGCAACTAAATTACAGGGTTAGATTATAAGCATATTCTTTTAAATAAGATGATAACGATTACATGCGCTAGATTAATTGCAATTTAAAAACTTCATCAATTTGCACTTACGAAAATCGGAATAACTCGAATTTAACAGATGCATTTTTCCCTGGTGTAGTAAACAACACGTTTTAGAACATTATTATCTTTATGAAAATTAATTCAAATCTGTTACAAAAACTTGACACGAAAAATTTTATGTTGGGTGGACACGTGAATATTTTCATGATCGATTTTCCTTTTAATGAATTTTCTCTTTGAATTAATCATTATGGAGACTGAAAGGCTATTGCGCGCGCGTCGAATTGATGGTCCATGAACGATTAAAAAATTACTTCCTGTCTTTAAATTTGTAACGTATCTGCAATCTGTCAAATTGACTGCCATGAACGCATTTGTAATGTCAGATCAAAATTCTTTCTCTTCGATCTTCCTATCACTCTCTCATCAGTGGAATTCCATTAGGTGGACTCGTACTAAAACTAAAACAATTTTTCCTTTGTATTATTCTGAACATTTCACTCTGGTATACTCTTCATACCACTTCGTACATCACCATGACACCCTTGGTCTTCTCCCGTCCTACAAAACCTGCTTTACCGTCGCGCCATCTCTCATGTATCCAACTAACCCACTAACATTGCAATAAATGTATGTATATACTAGACATGTCGTGACGTCATATCGATAAGGTAGAAATCAATATTATCGTAAAGGTAGGTAAAAGAGAATGCATCTCTTCTAAAATATAATTGTAAAGTACTGTAATGCTAAATTTCCGCCCCGTCCGGATTCTGCATAAATACGACGTTACAAATTTAGGGTGAAGCTATATAGCTATTTAGAGAGGGTTAACTAATTCATGTGTAAGATTTAAAAAGATTAATACTCATTAAATCATGTACTGAATCGACACAGTTCAACTTAGAGCCTAGCTATTCGTTGACTCCAGCGGAAACTGGTTTAAAAGGCTGCTTTGAATTTGTCGAAACAACTTCGGTAAATGGAAAAGCACTTTATACGGTTTTAATACGTGTCGGTTCGGTCATCTTTGCGGTCATGAAAACCGCCCATCGGACACATGTCTCCCATTGGGTATACAGCCATAAGAAAAGGAAGTAAGGAAAAGCGCCCATCTATCTTCACTAAATATTTAGTTCGTGTCTCAATTTTAATGAACGAGCTAATGGTGGCAATTCTTACACTGTGTCGAGCATTTTTGTATTCGTTTATCAATCGTGAGTAGTAGCGTACCCTAGCCGGCATATTTATTGTTCACAAGCTGATCACAACTCTTCTAGAAGAGTCGGATTGTAAGTGGAACGTTCTTTTGAGCACGGGAGAAGGGTGACGCCCAGAATATCTAGTCTGTGTGCACCATCTCGGGTGACGCCGGCCGTCTTGAGCGTTGGAGCCTTGAGACCTACAGAGGCCCTCAGGCAGACGCACAAGTAAGGTAAGGTTGACATTCCATAAATTCTTCACAGTGATTTTCGTTTAATCATTAATCATTTAGAATTTCGTATAGGTGTAATCACTTAATAACAGTATCGATGGCAGCCATTGACAGAGGTATTACTTATAACCTCGTCGATACATGAAAGAACCATATAAAAAAATATTCTATGCCTTTGTATCTTATTTCATCGATATAGTTAATTTAACAGATTTTTATATAAGTTACTTTCAGGATTTATTAGATTCAACATCGATACCGTATATTTGATTCGTATTGTATCATTTGTCAAAGTACATGATTGTACCTATTTTATATTTTTTTGTACCACTATCTCAACATACTCGTATTATTATTAAGTCGTTGGTATTGCACCAATTTTTGTTTGTTATATAATTGAGTTTAAAAATTTTTGTTTTTTGTTTAAAATAGTTAAATATTGATATTATATTTTCTGTTGCTTTGATGCCAACTTTTTTAAACATTTAATTTTTGTGAATAACTGTCTTTCATTTATACTGGTATGAATATATAATTTTGTGAATTGTCTATTTGTTTTACTAAATTTCTAAAAACATTGCCATTTTTGTTCTATGATCTTATATTAAAACAATTAGACTTACAACATATACTTAGTTACTCAGCCTTAACGCATTACATAATTGCATTTCAATTTAATAACTTGATTTTTTAGTCAATATTTTTTTTTACTTACCTAAATTTACAATTTTTATCTTGATTACTATAATTGAGATACCATAATAATGTTTCCAATAGAGTAGATCATAGTTCAAACTTTTTTATTGCCTTATTTTTTATCTTACCCATGGATAATAAAAACAGAGCTTTCTTTTATCAATTTATTAATTAAAAAATAGCTAAGTTTATAATTTGCAATGAACAATAATGGAATATTTTTTTAATATTTAATTTCATAATTAATATAAATAATTCTAAAAGATCATTGCGAATACAAACATGTACATATTTGAATTCATCAAGATAAGAAGTATTTAAAGCATAGAAAATTTCAATATATCAAGAGGTATTATATTCTTGCAATAATATCAAAATTTAAAGTCACTGTAGTCGATACTGTTGCAGTGGCAACCTTATTCATTAAAACGTTTCTTTCATAACCAGAAACGCAGTATATTTGCTCAAGTGTAATCTTTGTCAATGATAATATTTTTTTACCCTGGTACATTCCTTTCTCTTAAACATCCTAAAGTACATTGATCCAAATTTTTCTTGATATATCACCCGAGTTGTCCAAAAACCCTTCTTTCAGGTTGAAAGTTCAATCGCTCTAGTACCTAGTGCAATACAGACAGTTCACAGTTTAACAGTTTTTCTTAGTTTGTGTTGTGTTCGAGTCAAGAGTTAAATAAGAAACTAAAACCGCTCTGAAACAAGCGAAAACAAAAAAAAGAAAGTTTTCATTGTACCTGTGAAAGTTCAGTTGAGTATAAAGTTCTAAAAGTAAACAAAAGTTTGAAACGTGGTATAAAAATGTTTGACATGGATCCGATCGCGTGCATAACGCCCTCAAGAGCGAATACTGCATGGGCTCTTTTTGATACAGGTAAGCCCTGCGACACTACTGATGTAGCATTCATTGTGCTATGTCTGGTAGGTATGTTTAGATATAAAACACTGGATAAGAAAAATTAACGTTTCAGGAATGGGACAGCCACAGCCCCAATGTTATATGCTTATGACGTAGTTAACGTCAATACTAACGGAATTGCTTGTTCACAGGCTAAGATTCGTGGAACCATGTCTGATTCCGCATCGGAGAGTTCATCATCGGAGGATTATAATGGTCGCCGAAGTCGAATTATCACGCCGGACGGTTCAATTCCGTCCCAATTTTCACGACGCTCGTCTCATTCACGTCCAAAATCTCCAACCAGTTCCGTATCATCCAGAGGAAAGACAGTATCTCCTCAACTGTCGGGACGGGATTCTCCTAGATCGTTGAGAACAGGCATAGCATCACCAAAGTCGTCGAGGTCAGGTCCAATGTCGCCTAAATCTCCAAAATCGCCAAGCGAGCCTGACTCGCCAAGATCAAATCCAAGCTCAATCAAATCGGACCCTACATCTTCAAAGTCTTATCGTTCCCATGGAAACTCATTAGATTCGCCACGTTCTGATCATTCGGGTCCAATGACACCAAAATCATACGTGTCCGGTCCAGCTTCACCAAGATCAAGAGACGTATCACCGAATTCACCATCTTACAGAAACGTAGAATCACGACGGGAACCTTCAAAAAGCCCGCAATCAAATCATAGTTCGCCCAAGCATCCACGATCGGGTTACAATATCGGAAAACCCTTAAGCTCTGAACGAAATTCACCCAACATGTTTAAGTCAGGATCGACATTGTATGAAAATGATAGGAATTTCGACAAGCGCTCTACCTCTCGTTCACCTGTAACTAAGAAAAATGCCTTCAACGAACTAGGAGGAGAACAAATCTCGGATGGGGATATTGAGGACGAACCTGAAGTCTCGTCCAAAGTCAAATCGATGCCTATAACGCATGGTGAAGACTTGTCTGACGTGTCTGATTTAGATAGTATGGACGGCGTTGATGAACCTGATCCGGAACCACAAACTAATTTTGAACCCGGTAGAGACAGAGACCGAGATAGAGAGTCGCAACGTAGCGCAGAAGAAAAAAAAGAAAATGAAGGAAAAAGTGCTCCTGCTAGCTTGGCGGAAGAAAGCGAACAACTGGATTTCGAAGCTGATGGACAGTGGAAGGACGAACGAGAAGATGGTAACTCTATTATTAACATGATTTTTACTGAATTTATAAAATGATATCGAATCTTGTTATAACCACTAATGTCATTGGTAATAACAGAAAATTACAAACTAACCATCAAACCAGTGATGTCAAACTTTATAGATCGTATAAATGTTCGCACTTAGATCAAACGGTCAAATTTACAAATTTATTTGTTATTTCTTCGTCACAGATAGGTTTTGGGAGTCCAATTTTGGTAGATATTTAAATTTGATACGGTAAAAGCCACTGTTTGACAGATATTTAAAGAACTAGGTGTTATTTGCTATGGATCTTATAGCGCTCTCGTACCATACAAAAATTTGTCTTGTAATACGAATACTTTGCAGTATCATATATAATTTATTCAGTCAATTCAAACTGTTTAATTTCCGTAGGTGAAACTGATGTATTAACGGCGAAAGAGTCTAAGGAAACGAAGAAGGATTTCCGGACCGAGGCAGCAGATAAAGATAAGAGTAAATGTAAAGAATTAGGGGAGATGAATGAGAAGGAAGAGGGCGAAGAAGATGGTGAAAAAGTCGAATCTGAATTAGAAGAAGGAGAGCTAAGCGATGGAGAAGATGCTCGACCTGAGGAAACAGAGCCAAGACCAGTGTGTCGTTTCTATAACAGAGGTCAGTGCACGTGGGGCGTCAGCTGTAGATTTTTGCATCCAGGAGTTACTGACAAGGGTAACTATACCATGTTCGACATGGTACGGCCGATGGCCTATCCACCACATGCATCCGGTCCACATGAATTCAGGCCGCACATAGAGAGACCTAGTATAGTTCGACCGTTGCACGTATATGGTGCTCCACCACACACACCTAAAGTCGAGGAAGTGCCAACTGAATCTGCATGGGAACGTGGACTGAGACACGCAAAAGAGGTCAGTTTTTCTGTTTATTGAAGTTGTTAAACTTTCAAAGACCGTCTAGTGTTAATGAGTAATCGTTTGGTCAAAAGTACTGGTCGATATTTCGGGAATTTGTAAAAATTGCAAGAAGCGCAATGAATAAGTAAGATATTGGGGTGAGAAATTATTCGAAAAGAAGTAAAAGAAAAAGGTAGATGTATGTGCATATAATTTAAAAATGGCCTGATTGAACACGTCCCGTTTCGACTCAAGAAAATGAGTATATAATATGAAAGGATCTGACACAGGCGGATACGGAATTAAAATTTGTGACCGATATGGATGCCGCGGTTCATTTACATTGACTGTATAAAAAAATACTATAGATATTATACACTTGCAAAAAGATTTATTACATGTAACTTTGGGTTTTTAGGTTAATAACCATTCATTCATAATTTTGTGACTACTCGTTTGAAATTTATCCGTAGTTTTAGTGAGATTATCGACATCACGGGAGTCTTGGCCGTGAAGGATTATCTGGCTATTAGTAATGTGTCTGGCACTAACCTCTAAGTAATGTACTTTGGATAGAGATTTAGTTTGGCAAACGGATTTAGTCGTCGCAGCAGTGAATATTCTACCTACTATGCAACTTCTGTTGTTGCATGCATTTTGGATAGAAAGGGTCATACGTTTTACAAATGACGATAGGGATCTTCGAAAAAGATACTTGAAGAGCTGTATATTGCGCGTGCGTGCGTGTGTGTGTACATATGAACTGTTAGACGGAACTGCTTTTCAAAATAGTCATAATTTTGCCCGATAGGCGTGACAGTATCCTCACTTTTCAAAGTCCTAATGCATCGATAGTTCCATTAATGAGGTTGCACTGTACATACAGTGGAACCTCAATTTTTCTTTGCTTGCGGGGAGAGGGCAATGCTGACAATGAAGGTTGTACTAGCCTCGTCTAATTCATTGTATGGGAACAATGCCATGAAACCTGACCGAATACTGGCTGTGACAGTTGAAGAATCACAATGCGTTCCGCCCCTAACGCTATTCCTCAAATCTCCAATTATGAAAAATGAACTTATATAACGAAAAGCACATCTTTGTTACTCTACATTATAAGAAAAATGTTATTGACTTTATATTCAATGCAACATAGATGATGCGCAAAGCCAACAAGCGCAAGGAATCTGATATGGACTTCGAAGAAAAGAAAATGAACCTGAGCCTAGGCCAAGACGAATTGGATCGTGAAGCCGGATATTACGTACGTCCTGCAACTCCAGAACCTCCTGTAGAACGATGGCCAGCTCGAGAGGTACCACGTAGGGCACCGCTTCCTAGAGGAGGGACGCCTGAACGCTTCATTGAGGAAACCGAAAGCTATTATCCGCCCTCAACAGCCCCGCCCGAATATTACAGGTAACAACATTTTTATTCAACAATTTATAATTGAAAACTCAATCGCTACTGAGAAGGCTATTTATTACCCTTTTGATGAATCAAAAAAGAAACATTAGATTACGACCCACATTAGACGCAGTCCTAACATCAATGATGACCTAAAAGTCAATAATTATCAAACGATATCATATCAAGAATTCCAGAAATTCGGGTATAATATCGAGAATGTACGAATTTTCTTTTTTTTTGGTCATAAGTGCATAAGGTATAATACCGAGGCATTGCCAGGTTTGTAGAAAAAATATTGCTGCTGTATTTGAAGAAGTTGCTTTATAAATTCAAATGATTAACTACTTCGATGGTCCGTCACCCGTGAATCAGTTTGTATTTTATAATGTCTTACTGATGGATGATAGTAAGGAAAGTACAAGGACAATAATAATTAAGTAATAACAATATATTACAGGCGGGTGCACTACAAAGCAGAAATTCGCCCTGGTGCCGACTACAGAGAACGCCTTGATTATCATCCAGTGCCGAGAGGCGCACCACATTCTGTCTCTCCTCCACCGCATTCTCGTGATCGTGAAAGAGAAAGGGAACGTGAGCGCGACAGAGAACAACGCGAGTACTATGAAAAATACGAGAAGAAACATAAACGACCGTCGAGAGAGGTCATAGTTGAACGCATTCCACCAAATAAGCCCTGGAGGGAAGAGGAACCACCGGTAGCTGAAAGAGGAAGAGGCGACGAATGGGCGGATCCCTGGATGCGTAGAAAGTCTCCTAGTGCAGTACGGCGTAATCCAACATCTTCTAGAAGACCACGAAGACAGTCATATTCATCGGGTTCTTCATATTCATCTACCAGGTAAGAATTTTTATTAACAAGTAAGAGAACTTGAGACTGTTGGGGAACTGTAGTTAAAGCTGCTTATGTTAGCGTTAAATAACCCAATGTCGCTACTTCTCTATACATTAAAATGCTTATATATATACTCTCTTCTAGTTCTAGCCGTAGTTCGAGCCGATCTAGCTACAGCTCTTATGACTCCTTATCCAGGTCCCGTTCTCCGTCCCCTCCTTCAAGATCTCGGATGAGCGCTAAAGGAAAAGCAGCTCCAAACTCGCCGCCAGGTCCAACACCCGCTATAATATCTTCGGGTGTAGCACCTGGGTCGGCGACAGGAGCAGTGACTGTTCCTGCAGCTACTCAACGAGGGGCCATGCTAATGAATCCACCTGCACCTTCTCCTCGTCCACCCAAGGGTTCCATATCCCCAACAACCGCCACTCTTCATCGACGCGCTGGTCTCAATCCTCCAGCACCAAGTCCGCTTTCTTCTCATCACCGACATCATGAGAAAGGCAGAGATAAGACGTCAATTGTAGCAACTGCAGTAACCAAGGGCATCAAAAATCGATCTAGATCAAGGTATTATTATTTTTGTATAGCTTTCACTAATAAAACAGTAATAAGTAAAAAAATAAAATATTTGAAAGAATAAATCTTTTAATAAATGTTTGTGTTAGCTTTTGTATACAGTAAAAAGATAAAGGAATATAAATATCAAAAAAATGTACGTTTATGCATTATAAGGAATATTATTTATTTATTATAGATCATCGCGAAGCAGTTCAGGATCGGATACTAGCGGAAGCAGCAGCGATACGACCGAGTCCAGCTATTCTTCATCATCCACTGAAAGTCGCAGAAAGAAAGGAATGTCACCGTCAGCGATGCGCAAAGAATCTAAGAGTATTGACACTCTTAAATTGAGTGACACGAAGCAACAAATAAAACTTTCATTAAAACCATCAAATAACGTGCCTGCAGTGAAGAAAGTCGACCGTAGTGCTGTGATAGCTGGAAAGAAGAGAGCAGCGATTGATTCGCCACCGCATGGAGCAGAAAGTAAAGCAAGTGTTGCCGCAGCAGCTGCTAAGGCTGCAAAGAAAGCAAGTTCTCGACGTGAAGAATTACTTAAGCAGCTTAAAGCTGTCGAAGATGCTATCGCTCGCAAAAGGTCAAAAGTTTAAACATGTACGAAAGGGCTCTGTAAATGTGGTTTTCATTGGCATGGTGTCATTTATTACTACACCATTAAAATGTAACGCTACTGTGTGAATTGTATGTTGGACATTTGATACGCAACGTTTAACATCATATCGGATTTAATTCGTTACGATATATTCCTTTGATATAAATGACATTCGCTATGTCCTTTTGTTTCTATAACTTCAGAAATATTTCGATGTTACAACACTTGTGTGAAAAGTTAATGCACTTTTGACAAAAATCATATGGTATTTTGTTTCACGTCGAATCATATTAAGGTTAAAAAAACTATGGTGGCTTGGTTTTTCGCCTTTCATTGACAGTGCCAAATAAACTTGTTCAATTGGCTCTACCAATTTGTCATGACTGTCATCGTGATATAAGTTTAGCTATATAAACCTATTCACCGGACATTCAGGATATAATTTTGTAAATGGTTTAAACTTTTGTTATCACATCATTGTTCAGTAATGAAGAACTTTATCACGTGTGAAAAAAATTGAAAAATGGGGAAAACGAGTATATCATACCTTCGTTCAGTTATTGCAAACTAATGTATCATTTGCTATATAAGCTGATTATAAGAAAGTATGTGATCGACAGTTAACTCGTTACGAAATATACACGCATGAATGTTTATGCCCATTTCCGTTGCCTCAGAATAAAAGATAAATCCATTGATAAGTTTCACGAATCTACATTATAGTTTAGTAGATAATTTAAATGTTAACAATTGAACACAATAAAGAAGGCGTATGCAGTAGCAAATATTCATACGTTCAGCGTCAAATTTTCAAGAATATATTTTAAAACATTTATCAATGATCAGTTCTATATCCTTTACAGTTAATTTTCTAAGCCTATCAGGAGTACGATGCTCGGGATGATATTTTCGATATTACGATAAATTTCATCTTAAGATCGTCTTATTTTTTAATAATATCTATATTGTCAATTTAGATTATCTTTAGAGCGGTCTTGCTAAAGGTAGAACGTGACAACAATAGGTCTGTTCTTGTTATCTACACTTTCTGCACTTTTCAAAAAGTGCAGATTCTCTTTGGTTACTTAAAAATATCATCCAATAAGACTGCACTTTTTGAAAAGTGCAGAAAGTGTAGGTAACGAGATAAACCTACTGCAACCGCGGTCGTTATGTGTAACGAGTTGGGTTTAAGTCACACTCGTCAAACACGCGTTTGAACTATAAACATACACTGTGAGACACGTGAATAACCTCACCTTACTTTTTGCAGTTCCTTGTACAGTCAACCGCTTTAATGGTGTCAACGGTAGTCACCGTGCGGTGAGGTAAGAGAGAAGATTGAGCCGTGCCTGCTCGCGTATCTTGGCCTATGCGTGCAACGCAGAAGCACTACGGTGCGAGCGAGACACCAGAGTGTCGCTCGGTGCGTCCTTGTTGCACAGCACGAGTGTAAGCGAGACGCTAACAAGGCCACTCATGCGCAATAGGGAGCTTGGTGGGGGACTGCTCGTGTCCGAGCGCACGCTCTTGCTCTCTCTCTCTCTCTCTCAGCTAACGCTCTATGACGAGGAAAACAGCTACTACCCCGATAAGAAACGAGACGGAGCTATGCGATTCGGTAGTGGGAATGAGATAGACTTTTCAATTATCCATCCTCGTCAAACAGCGTTACTAAGAGACAAAGAGAGATATGTGCGACGTGGTAGCTGAGACATTTGTCCTAGCCAGTTTACGTCATTGTGTTTTTAAACGAGAGTCTGAATTTTAATAATGGCGATTCACCTGCATATCAAAAAAGAAACATTGGAGAGCGAAAAGGAGAGTGTACTACACCTGATGCCTTGTAAAATAGATGGCGACGAGACCGCAAAGGTTTCTAAATATTTTACTCCTTACATTAGTGAGGTTAATGACGATTGTGAGTTATAAACTTGCAAGTAATTTTACATAGTTTCTGTATGATATAAGTAATTTATAAAATTACTCCTAAATGCACGACTATTACAATAATATATAGTTTTCAATTCGAAATCAATTTTCTTTTTTGGTTCTTAGACAAACAAGCAACGTTCCGTGGGTATCCTCTTCAGGGCCGTAAAATAAAGGTACCCAAAGGTTACACGGGTTACACGTTTTACGAATATGAAAAACCAGTGGCTAATAATACCGACAGGAATCTCTATAGTACAGGAAAATTTTCTGAATTTACTTATTGGAATTATGATAAAATTCCATCCAGGAACGATGCCCTTTCTGGTGCTTTGGATTGGATAGATATTGCTGAAGCGGTTAGTAAGAATTTATTAAATTTAAAACGTTCTTTTGTAACGTATTCCAATGAATAAGTAAAAATTTGTTCTTTCTTTTCCTTTTAATAAATGCAGCTGCATTCTACAGATGAACCTACGAAGAGTTAACTAATGTGGTTATTAGAGTACAATATTATTCTCTATGCCAAAAGTGTTCTTGATATTTTAATAAAATGTGGTTTTTAAGTAACTAAAGCATTTGTATTCTTTTTTTAATTTAACACCTTTCAGTATTTGGTAACTCGTTAATGACCCACTTTAGTGAGTGTTTAATCAGTTTATTCTTATTACGACTATGTATAATATCTATTGTTATATTTATCGTCACTACATATATTTTATATGATAAAACTTACTTTTGTATACTGGGCAAGATATCTATTTGTTAATTTAAGCAGAATGTAAAATAACAAAATAAACGAAATCTTGTCTCATATTTACACTAAAAAATGTACAATGTTTATGGGCGTTACGTTTATAAACTAGATATGCATTAATTAATAAGACTAGCACAATTACGATTATAATCTTAAACTTATGGTTCATTTTAATTAATTCTAATTAGATGTGCTTCGCCCATTTTCATTTTACATTATTATCTACTAATATAGATGAACTGAAAAATTTTTAATAGGCGCTGTTTTTTTCATCTTTAAAAAAGATTCATTATTTTCTTAAAATTCGTTCTGTAATTTTCTCCTTTTTTAAATTTCTTGTTCTTTGATACTTTACATTTATGAACATTTTCAAATTCAGGCCATATTCTCCTGAAGAACACTCCTGTTCTTGTCACTTTTTATTTTATCAAACACCAACCCTAAACGAATTTCTAGATGACCTTAGAAAAATGTGTACAAAAGTATTTTTTTTATCAAAAATGGAATAATTATTCTAGTAAATTAATTTTTGGCCACGTTATCGCAATGTTTCGTTTTTTAAATTTTTTGTTTAATATTAGAAATATGAGTATACTATACTTGCACTTTTTTTCCACATAATGTTTTAACCTTTTTATGGATAAAGACGCGACTAAAAGCAAATAGACGTATGTTTGCTGAAAAACCTATGCTTACATACCTTTTGCTTTTAGTGACGTGATAGTTAATATGACTATTAAAGATATAAGTTAAACTAAATTTATAAAGAAGAATGTATTCTTAACAAAAAATAAAATAACATAGCTGTACGTGGAATATAATACTTAAAGCACCTTTGTGACTGAAAGGATTAAACTATTTAAGTACACGTTGTATATAATATCTTATGAACGCGAAGAGATTGAATAAATGGACAGTTATAATCAATAGGCCTGCAATATTGATTTTAAAAAAAGGGGGGACAAGCAGGAACAAATTTTTCACATACTACTACTATACAATAGTTACGATATATGTATGTACAAAATTTGAGATAATTTCGCGCTAGATCTAGTGATATTCTAATCTAAAAATAGGTCCGCAATTTTATCACTTTTGTCCAATTATGTAGAAAGCACCTAAATTATAATTTTTTTTCTCCACGTTTGATCGCTCGTGCCGTAAGATCATAAAACAAATTTGTGCCAGCGAGAACTCGTACTTTTCATCACTTTTTTGTAAATTTTTCAAAACTTGTGCAATGATGAATGCAAAAAAAATGAAAGTGGTAAAAAGTATTGTCATACAAGGCGTGGATTTTTCTCATGGGATGTATAAATAAATAAAATCCTCTTTGAGGTATAACCGATATTTAAATTATTTATCCATGTAAAATTTGAGCAGATGGCTAGTAAGTGTTTTTGTTATTTATGAATATCTCTACTATATGTGTTGTTTTGGTCCTGTCAATTAAATGCTGTGTAATTAATGAAACAATACTGTCAATCACTGTATAGCATACAACAATGATGATAAATTATTATTCAATAACAAAGGATTTACGTAAAAGTTGCTAACTCGTTAGCTTGATCTTGACGATACTTTGCTTGATCCTGTTGCTGTTTAATAAAAGCACTTAGTCTATTCAATAAAAATTGCTTATCATGACCTTCGAGTATCAACTGATTTTTCAGCACAGTTACCATATGTTTATTGGCCACAGTCACGGCATAATAATAGTAAAGTAATAAAGACAAAACAACAAAAGCTGGGATACCAAAACCGGCTGTACCCAAGAAGAAAAGTGTAGACTGTAACCAATTTGGAAATTGCATAAAAGTCTCTATCATCAGCGACCAAACTGTATCATAGCCTCGAAAAGGTCCACAAGACTTGGATGGTTGTAATTCAGCTATTATATAGCTCACTGGAATGATAGCTAGTACGTAGGATAGCAATAGTATGAACATAAACAGTGAATTGGATCTGCTGGCACGATAGACTTGACTAGCTGGTGTGCAGTTTACCAAACAAGCAAACTTTTTTATATAAAACATAAGAAATGTACCTATAATCGCCATTAACGGTAACAATGGTGTAAAAAACAAACCTAACCAACAAATTGTTTGGGAATAGACAACATCAAGTACATGCTTGGGTAGATTGAACTCTTGTTCACCTACAAAGCGCAATATCTTGTGCTCCGTATGATGCGCCAATAATGATCGTGGGAAATTAATGAAGAAGGTTACAAAGAATTGGATGAAAAAGTCTGTTAGGTACAGCTTAAAGAATTGCTGACCTACGAACGTCTCCCAGCACATTGGACGTCTACCTGATGAGCTCGTGCACTCATCTTCCTCTACCTTAACTGTTACTATTGTGTAAAAGCTAGTGAGAAGCACGGCTAGAGACGCCAAACGTAAAAACACTGTTCTGATTAAAGTTACTCTTACAACAAACAGTGGACTGTAATTCTCTAATGCTACCAGGTAGTAAAATATGAAAGGCAGCACCATATTTAAGCCCACGATACAAATATAGGGTAAGAATTCATAAACCATCTGAATGATGTTATTCAAGGATATGTAACTTAGATCTTGCGACCTCGTAATTGTTTGAAGATTCACTTGTCCGAATGAAAATTCAATGACGTAGAACAAAAAGATTCCAGCACAACCCAAAATGGAAATGACTAAAAGATTTATAAAGAGTCTTATCAAGAATAACTTAATTTTTTCCTCACGTGTACGATTCTGGCGTTCCTCCTCCATCTTTTCAGCTTCAAGAAAGGCTTTAATCTCATTATAAAGTGCTTTGTGCTTTATATTAGCGCTTTTTTCATTTTGTATACAATAATCCCAGCCTCCAAAGATAATATTGCAGTACTGATAAAACTGGCCCTCACCTTCCACAACACGTTCCTTGAAACCTTTCGCTGCTGCTCTCACTATAGCTATTAAGCTCATTAAAAATACTGCAGTAACCACACAGATATAAGCCAGAGGAAGGTTATAGTAGACATTTTCTCCAATGAGACCGTAAATCTGAGAGGTATATACTCCATAAAAGAGCAAGGTGTACTCTAAAAGGCCTCCACCTTGCACCAATTCAATGACACTGTTACTCACGTTAGTAGAGTTTAAGTAAGCTTCAGAGCAACAGGCTATACTGTAGTTATCAGAGGTACCGCAGCTCTCACTTTCTGGTGGTTCCAAGACTATCACTGGCAGGACGATGAAGAAGAATATAACGGCGAAAACAGTAATGTTCAAAAACATTAGCCATTTGATGAACAGGAAATACGCGACGATACCGGTACCGAAGTTACCCCCAATCTTTTTCAGACTATGATTCCATAACTCTATCTTCGAGTATGTCTCCTTTATACGACTGCTGAATTCCTGCCAGGCTTTACGACGTTGCCATTTTAGTTGATCAAAGCCTTGAAGACGTAGCTTGGTTGCACTCTGAAATAAAAGCCCAATACTGTTTGCTCATATATTCTTGGTAAAAGTAAATCAAAATTTTGTCCTAGTCTGTACTTGTAATATCTACTTATAAGGTATCTAAAGCAAGTTCCAGGGCATCAATAAAAATGCTAACTATTACTCACTATTTGCGACATACTAAATCAAACTCAATGATACATATTCTTTAATTACTACTATTCATTTTCATTGTACTATACCTGCAACTGATTCTTCAACTGCATCTTTTGTGCCATACACACTGGCATAGCTTTTATCTGCATTATCTCTTCCCATGTTCTTTCTTCATTTGAAAGATTTTCTGATAAATCAGGAAGCATGGAGACTGCTGCATCGTGGACATTCATAGACATTCTTCTGGCTGTACTTGCTCCACGTGAACGTGTACTCGTACGTCTTCTCAAAGTTGTTCTGGGCTCATTGCGGACACGTTTTGTTGTGGCTGAATCACCAACAATAATGAATCAGTTAAGTAGTGATACTTGGCATTACAGGAAATCAGATAATCATAAAGATAAGAGAATGATATCTCTATCTTGAGCCACGATTCTATTGTAACACTGTGAAGATAAGCTTATAAAAGTGATTAGGTAGTTCTTACATCCATTGAAGATTTCAAGAATGGTTTAGACTCACCAACACGAGACTTCTTGCTAGGAAGTAAAGTTGCAATGTGAGCTGGATCCCGTTGCAGAGCCTGTTGAAGATCTGCCTCGATTGCAGCAGGATAACTCTCCTGATAAAATTCTGCACCAGCTTCTTCCCACCCTTGGCCACGACCACCACTACGTTTCTTCTTTTCACCTCCAGACATCTTAATTTTGATCTATTCAAAATCAAGTCTAGACCCGAAGAATAGCTTTGACAATACAGAGTGTACCTTCCACAGAAGTCAAAGAGTATTTTCGATGAAAGAGGCAGGACATCTTATACTACTAGTAATAGGTCCACAATGATTATAACATCCAAAAGTTTCAATCATAAATCGTTCCTCCAGCAGGATGCGGTTACAAGAGGATTCCCAATGCACATAGACTGACTCCACGAAAACCATTTAGTCGTCAGTAATCTTCGTTGTTTCTTATCGCTACAAATATATTTAATCGGTCATTAATTTACATTTTGCTTTTATGCTTTCGTACAAGGGTTCATTGGACATTGTATCTATCTATAGACGTGATATGGAAACTGCAAAAAATAGAGTAATTTCTCATTCTATAAAAAATCAGCGTCATATCCATAACATTATATTTTACCCAGGAAACACGATCCATCTTGATAATAGTCAGACCCTCAAAAGTCTTCTTGATTGCACTACGAATGTATTCTGACGTAGCATTCATCAACTTCAACATTTCTATTGCCCCGCGTAATCTACATAAATATTTGTAGGCACAGATACATGAGACATGGGAGGAATAAGGAAATTCCTTCAAATTACAGATTTTTGAGGCCGAACAGAAAATTCTATGAAAAATGCTACCGTCAACTCTACCAACAAACTTGGTAGTTTCATGAAAATCCCTATTTATGGGGCGCGCATATAATCGTATTCAACATATACACTATATTTTTTTATAAATTTTGAAAAATATTTCTAATACGCTGCAAAACTGAATCTGAAAGTTTCTTAACTCAAGATGTAACATTCCTTACCACTTATAAATTTTCAGATTATCGTCCCTTTCAAAGATATTTTTATCACAAATTTCAACGAAATTCCCTATAAAATTCAAAAAATAAATAAGTAACTGCTACCTGTGTATTTTTAAATTTATTTTTCATTAATGAGTTTGTACATTCTTATCAACAAATAAGTTCATTAGACTTAAATTTTCCTTGTTTCTCATTTAAATATTTCGCTTTTACTCTTTTCTCGTCTTTGTTCTCCGTTCGTCGCTGTACGTAGAAAAAGTGCGAACTAGCTAATTGCAGTACTAATGATACCACAAGACGACTAAGTTTAATTTTATTTTATTTTATTTTTTCCATCATTAGCATCCTTTGTTATTTTTTATTATTATCGTATGACGAATGCGAGAGAATTCTCTGTCATAAAAGAAATATTCGCGGCGGTAGCATCATACATAGCAATTAAGTTTTAACCGTATACGCCTATACAGGTCTATAAAGTAATTTTTTGTTTAAATATATCCTTGGGGGGATCTCTTAAAAAATATGTCACATACTTTTTTTTTGTATTTTACGTTTCATAATTATCGGCATTAAGATCCCCACAATGGGCTTCACATGCCCTTGCCAAACTTACTTCCGGTTCATTTTTAAAGGTTCTAAGGGTTTCTTTTTTTTAATTATTGATACTTATCTTTTGTCTTTATATAATCATTCTTTTCTCGTGAAAAAAATTTCGCGATATATGGCTCCGTCGCCCGATTATCGGGATAACATTGTTGCCTATAATCTGTACAAAGTTTATCATTTGATAATGAATAGAGACACAGAGAGGAGTGACAAAAATACTCTGCGAGAACACGAGATCATAACGAGGAGATCAAGGAGGCGTTATCTACTTTGTATACATGTAGATATAGATATTACAAAAAAAAAATTGAAATTCTGATAGTTGGTAAAGTCATCAAAATTACATCCGCAGATTGAATTCGAAAAGACAATTGGCAATAACGTGCGAAAATTCTCAAGGGCTTCTGTTCAATATGATACACACAGTTCACTTTTCTTTTTCTATGATATATGGTTACATGCATCTCCTTTGTTCTTCCACAATGGATCCCGATGGACAAGTAGAAAATGCACACGTGAAACAGAAAAATATGGTGGATGCAACGATGCCACCGGAAATTCTGTATCAGACAAAAGATCCTCTTCGAAAAACGACTCAGCGATTGCAAGCATTGACGAGGGTCAAATACTCGTCATGCAGAATGTCCTTATATCCCACTTTAGCACAGCGTGAACCTAAGACCTTGATCACTGAGGATAACGAAGTGGGCATGTCACGATCGTTTGCGTGGGCGTCAGCCATGGTTAAAATTGAAAAAAAAGTCACGAGACAAAATCCCACCGTTCTCCTTGTGTCTTTGACTTTGCTCAAGTTCAAAGCTTAACGCTGTCGTACTCGGTAATGGTTCAAGCAACCAACAACAGCTTCTGGAGCTTTTTTATTTCTGTTGCTGTGCTTGTTGCTGAGAATTTGCGCTTGCTGTTTGAGCCGGAAATGTATAAGCTTGAGTGTATCCCTGCCAATTTTGGGGATATCCATAACTGGCTGCAGTGTTGGTGGTAGAAACTGTTGTTGCGGTGCCTCCCGTTGTTGTTGTCTGCAAGCAGGATAGATCGCCAAGATTAGACTTATTGATAGATGTCCGAAGCTGCACAATGAGATTACAAATCCTTCACATGAGCAAGGATCAGAAAGTTAGGTTAGGTTAAGTGAGACTTAAGATTTCAAACACCATTATAGAAAAATATATATTGAGATATTGGACTTGCCGATATCTCTGTAGGTTACGGTAGATCTTTGTTTTCCTTTGAAATATATTATTAAGTATGTAGTGCCAGTTGAATGCCGTAAAATTTGTCAAAAGACTCGGTCAATCTCGCGCTAAGTGTACCTTATTTTCACTGAAGTATCTAGGATATACTAATATTAATTGCTAATAGAATTAAATACGTGTAAAGAAATTTGTAACAGGAGCCATTTGCTTATTTGATTGAAGATACTTAGCTATGCTAAAATCAAGTCTCTAGTACAGTTAAGGTGCATCGAAACCCTTTGTTTTATTCAGATCAACTAATAATTTAAATTCTACTAGTATTATTCAGTGGCGTCTATACCTTACTTTCTGTTCCACTCTAGTAAGATTTACTGTGGTGGATTATTGTTTGCTTACAGCCTGGCCACCAGCTGTGGTTGTCTGTCCACTTTGTTGTTGTTGTTGTTGTTGTTGGCCCCAATACTGATTGTAATACTGTGAGTTCCAGTTATTCCAATTTCCGTTGCCATAGCCTTGCTGACCGTACCCAGACTGATTATAACTTCCTTGACCGTAACCTTTCCAATTTCCCCAAGAAGATTGTTGACCCCAACCGCTCTGTTGGCCGCTCCAGTTATTTTGTTGTTGTGACTGTCCACCACTGCCACTTGACCAGCTACTACCTGGTTGGCTCCAGTGGCCTTGTTGTGGCTGTGAACTTTGGTAGCTCCTGAAAAATAAAAAAAAAGAACAATCGAATATAGAGTATATATTTAAAAAAAACCTTTAGATGAGCAGGAACAAAAACTATGGAACCATATACAACTATATATAACTTTAAATGGTATACCCCATAGGAGCCCAGTTTCCTTGTCGCGAAACTGCTTGTCGATTTCTATCATTTCCTGGTCTTCTGTCACCTCCACTGCCTCTTCTTTCTCCTCCACGATGTGAAGATGATGGCGTGGCACTTGGACCGCCACGACCACCTCCTCGCCAACCGCCACTAGGAGGTCCCCCATAGCCTCCGCCGTGTCTCATATGACCACCACGCTGCTGCCTGTCCCGCCATCCTGAATTGCTTCCACCACGCCAACCTGAATTTCTATTCCTATCAGGATCTATAAACAATCAAGTATGATTAAAATTTGTTCCTGTGAACATTTAACGTAATACTGCCATTTTAGAATGAGTGCTACAGAGACTAAGCTATTTAATGACAGTGCAGAACCATCTATAGTGTTACTACTTCACAAAACCAAGAAAAAAATACTTACATCCTCTACGATCGCGATGATCTCTGCTATCTCTGGAGTCCCTACTATTTCTCGAATCTCGACTATCCCTATGACTGTCGCTCCGTTCGAATCTAGGCTTCTTGTTCACCTGTTGCTGTCCAAACCCAGCATCCCTTCCCTCCTTATTATATTTCTCAATGATCTTCTTGGCTTCGTCTTCTGGCAGGTCAGACCACTCGACAACGTCGAAGGATTCACCAGTAGATGGCGAGCTGAAATTCGCTGGAAGGTCGGAATAAGACATTCAGTAAATCTCAGCGAACAAACAATGAGCACTCCTCTCAGAGAGGACAATTAAAAAAAAAAAGAAAAAAGGAAGGAAGAAGAGTATGCATCAGGTTAGTCAGCTTCCCAGATTATTCGTTACTCATTGTTTGGGTCAAGTGAGATGATATTAGAATGTATCCTGAGCATCAGCAACGGGCGGAACGCATAAGCCCTGGGAAGCTCACCTTGTGGCAACACAATATGACAATTGGTGGCTAGGCTCGTCGAGAGACGCACCCTAGTTATTTTCGTAGAGGGTGCGCATGTGCTCTCGATGAGGGTTTTAGGGACCAACCTTTCATTTCCAGGACCGCGGTATCAGGAACATCCTTGCCTTCGATCGCCTCGCGCTTCGCGGTGCGCAACTTGAACTCTTCATCCGTTGGTACTACAACTACCGCCCTCCGATGGAATCCATAGAAATGCCTCATTTTGCGCCTTTGTGCGGAAGGATATACGTTTGTCTGTATCGGTTCCATAGAAAATACAGATTTCATGAGAATTTGCAATGATGCAATCGGTTTTCTAAGACGTCGCCGCCGCGATGCGCATGCGCGCACGCGGAGAATAACCACTTGGTCATTCGGGCAATTAATCCATTTATTAATTAGATCTATTAAGTCTCGATGGAGGGGGCGCTTAATTAATAATACATCATAATATATATAGGTATATATAGAAAAGTATGTAGATGTTTTCCTTGCCACGAAATTTCTTTTGCTTCCTCGATTAACTCTTTCATTTTTCCTTAAAAGCGACATAAGCGCTCTTATCTTTCGCTTCTCCTTTAATTACTAATGCTAATTTACTTACCAGGAAGTGCCTATCTAATCGTTTTCTCTTGGTACTTGAAGCATCGTAAGGAACTTTTTTTTTTAATGGTTATTAAATATTAAACAATTTTTAAGTGCAATTCAAAGCAGGTATTTTCTTGTTCATGTTTCAAAAGTCGATGGCAGTGCTATAGCTAGTAATTCCGAAGGAAATATCATTTGCATGTTTTTTTTATATTCGTTACTCAATAAACGATTTTCGGAAACTATTCACATTTGATTGATCATTGCTGCACGAGCAAAACTTAAATTCTTATTAGATGTTATCATTGTATGATAATTTCGTCCACATTTCTAATTTTAATGGAATTCTTCATTTTTCCTAACTAAAGGTCCTTAGCCATAATGAAACTTACCTTGAAATTTAGCGTTACTATAACGACGTTCCCAATACGGTAAAATAGCTTAAAAATAATCGTACCTGTTTGTCGTAAAGTATTTCAGATTGTGAATATTCGAATAACCAAATTGTTAAAACAACAACTTTTGTAAATCACAACAAAAGTGGTTAATCAACTACATTTAGCAATTCGAGTACACGACTGGAATTAATGATGATGCTGAAACGTACCCGAATAAAGCAAAAATTTAGCAGAGATTACTTACGAAATTCAGGCTGCTTACACACCAGATCTTCCAATACGATTTTTTACTTTTCTTTTTGTACAAGTCACAGCCAAACTTACCAAAGAGTTCTCTGACATTTTTTCTTAATACTCATACTTTGACATTCAAATTTTCAAAATGGAATTTTCTATGATTATCTTGGAGGCGAATTCCTTATGGCTTCTAACAGTATATCAAGAACGACTTGATAATTCCTTGCTCTTATTTTGAGTAAGGTAGACCAAGATATATCATAATTCAACTTATGCAAATATGCTAGTTATATGCAATTAACAATCCTTGATAGTTTGATTTATGGTTTAAGTTTCAGTCTCACCTGATCCAAGATGTAGTTGCGTCTTCTGATCGATGCGACGTCCAAGAGCTTGTTAAGGGCCCGTGTGCATTTGTCGATTAGTACCTCCCAGCGACCATGATAATTTCTTTTGCGAGGTAGACCCAAAACCTAGAAAAAGAAATCGTGAAAAATTGTTTAGTACGAGAAACATATATGTAAATGCTATTAAAGAACATTAATTTTTTTTTTCAATTTCATTTCGCTTAAAAAATATTTGTTACTAGTGCCATTTATACATGCAGTTTTAGCTAACCTTATTTCACCATTGCATAGTCTTTAGTAGTAAATAGTTTTGATAATTTAATAATTGTATACAAAAACTCACCTTCATTTTGTCGATGAGATTATTGGTACTAAGAATGTTGTACATCTTGTCTGCATGTTCCACAGCATACTTGTTGGCCCAGAAAGTTTTACCTGCTGCAGGTAAACCACACATCATAATCATCTCGCAGTCTTGTTTCTTGCTAGGTCGTCTAGGTCCAGGCGTTCTGTCTTTGAGCTCGACAGTACCGACAGGTACGTATTCTACAGGAATGCCCTTAATCCAACTTTCTTCCTGGCCGAAATTGCACGCGAACGAACAATTCTTTGATAAGACGTGAGGAAACAAAGCCTTTTCACCGAGTTCCGCTTTGGAAATGGTAAAGGCCTCGCCCAAATTCTCTCCATTCAAGGTGTAAGATATGATGACGTTCTCGTCGTTGGACATGTCCAAGAAGCAGCCAACGACATCGTCTTTAGTAAAAGTTCCTCCGTAATCTGTGAACTTGTTGTTGGTGGACTTTTTCCCAGTGCCGCCGTATCCGTAACTCAACTTTTCCTCGCCAAGTTGCATTGACGTTTGCGCTACAGACCAACCAACTCTGAGAACATGTGAGTTCTCCTCATCTTGAAGATTAATTGGACAGTGTTCGATAATCTTAGTTTCATAGTAGACCTTGCCACATGTGAATCCATAGGATGCTCTGGCACCGGCCCAAATGTAACAAAAACCATCACTATGCATTGGAGTTGCTGAACAAAAACTATCCTTATTGATCATCAGATTCAGATCAGAGTCATCTGTAACATTGAAAAGCGATTGAATGTTTTGTGTGTCAATAAGGATTGGGTTGTGAATAATTTTTTGTGTGAACTTACACCACGATAGGAGCACTGCATCTTCGTCGAACTCTGGCTCATCTTCAGCTCGTATTAATGGTGGTGTAATGTGACGTTCTTCGCGAGGACTTGGTGATCTCTTTCGTTTCCGATCTTTACGATCCTTGCGATCCCTATCTTTAACTTCGCTCTCTCGTTCTGTTTGCTCTTTCATCTCTACATCCTTAAGAAAAATCCATGCATGTACAATAACTTTTGGCAAAGATAGTGAAAAACGACTAATTATAGCTATATACAATGACTAACCTCTTCTCGTTTCACAGAACTTTCTCCTTCTATTTTTTTTGGAAGTTCCTCCACTGGTTCTTCAGTTACTTCTTTCTTTATAATGTCATCTGACTCAGCTTTGGTAACTTCCGTCGATGATGGAACATCCTCCTCCATCCTTTCCTCAGCTTTTACCTGTATCGAAGCTTCTTCCATTAAAGACGAGTGCTCTTCCTCTTGGATAGGTTCTGATTTTATATCTTTATCATCTTGTTCACCTTTTACTGAACTTTCTGCTGAAGATTCTGAAGATTCTTGTACTACCTCTTGCAATTCCTCTACCATTTCTGACTTTTGTTCTCCTGTGTCTTCTACTATATCTGGTAGATCGGATATATCTTTAACGTGATCAGTTGACTTTACAGGACTTTCTCTGTCAACATTAGCATCTGATTTTTCTGTACTTTCTTCATTGTGTGAAACATTCTGTGGACTTGCCGGCAGTATATCAGCCTCTACAGATTTTAAAGAACTTTCTGGCTCTTGTTCAGATGTTTCTGCAGGTACTGGAGATAACTGTGGGTCTTCTACTTCTTTTGGCTTCTCAATAACTGACTCAGCACTTGTAGGTTCAATTTCTTGGGGTTTTTCTTGAGTTGGTGTCTTAACAGGAGAAGGCTGTTTTGCAGAAACTGGTGTAGACGGTGTCTTAGCAGCAGCCCTGGAAGGTGTTTTAACTGGTGTAGTAGCAGTAGAACTTCGAGCACCTCTGACTGGAGTCTTTGGCGTCGGGACTGTCTTTGAAGGCTCTGGTGATTTTTCTCTTGTTTCTTTTAAACTATCTCCAGTATCTTCAGTATCCGTTTCAGTGATAGTAGTATCAACTGGGTCTGAAAATAAACAGAATTTTTGTTTAAATTCCAATGAAATAATCAGCTGAACTACAGTCGTTAACGAACGAAGAGGAGTGACCTCCTTTCGCATCATAGGGAATTTCGCGCCATTCACTATGAAACAAGGATACTAAAACAACTAGGCATCGATGATTAATGATTAAATCCATAAATATAAACAAGATAAATCAAGTTTAAAGAGTGCGAGACAATTCTTGAAATAAATATTTGCAAAATATATATGAATACATTTTCTCATGTAAAATTTTACTCACGATTGCCAGTTTCTTCTTCCAACGCCTTACGAAGTCGTTCGACGAGAACCGCCTTGTTTCCTTTCGCATCTAGACCACGCTGCGATAGTTCAGCACGTAATTCAACCACTTTTAACTTCGCGGGATCCATTTTTACACAAAATCGTGCGATATACCCACGTACGCGCACTTTTTACTCAAAGAAAACGCTCCGAGAAGCCCATACACGCGTCAGAGACCCGCGCTACACACACAATATGGCTGAACAGAGTTGCATTAACGAGTCACGTAGTATAAATCACGTGATTGGCAAGGAGAGCGGGATTAGGAAACGACGCCAACTTAATAGCCAATAACAATCTTTGACTTATTTACGTTATTCTGACAAACATTATTTGATTGGTTTATATACGGCGGGTTCTTCGGCAATTGGCTTAAAGCAATGAGCTCGTGTTCGTAGCATTCGAACCTAATATCACGACTGTTTACATTTAGATTAGGTTCTCCAACGCTCAGTGTAAATTAATTTGATTCATTTTTCATATAAACTTGTCTACAAATCTCATTACAAATTTTGATCATCATTATTTGATTGTGATATGATTAGCTGGGGCCAGGCTCCTGACACGCTCGGCACTGTCCGAATAAATATTCTCGTTCTGTCCGCGATTTTAACTCCTCTGTCCTCCTGTACGTGGCGCTATGCGCAGTTTAATTTGAAAAGGACAACATACTACAGAGAGTGAGTGAAATAGTATCACGGTTACAGCAGAGATGAGTAGGGAGATTGCCAATGAGCCTGTTTTTGGTGGTCTCAATTTTTTTCGCTAAAGCGGCGCGCCGAAACCAGAAAAAAATGGAGAACACCAAAAACAGGCTCATTGGCAATCTCCCTACTCATCTCTGCCCGGAGTATGAGAAGAAAGCTACTAGCGCCACGTGTGGCGAAATTTCGTGACGAAGACGACGGACGTTCGGAGAACCGACCTGATCTGATCAGTTTCTGTCAGGGGGGCTAACTGGGGTAAAGAGTATTTACGCTACTCTTAATGCTTCAAAAATTGTCCGATTTTGAACTACGAATTTTCATTAGATTCTTTAACTATTTTATTGAGTATCAATTACTAAAAAAAGCGGCATTATGGACACGGTGATTAAAATAAACAATCAGACTATTGGAAGAGATAAAATAATCAGGTTAGTCGTTCGATCTATATGAGAATAGGACATGTCGAGCGACGCCACATTCCTTATTTTGGAACTAGACTTTGTGACGCGTCATATGAAAAATCCCTAGATTATAAACACGGTCGATCAATTTTTATCAATCAAACGATGACTTTTATAAATATGGCAAAAATACAATTGCACTAATTTTTGTTGACAGATTATTGCAGTATGGGAGCAGAGCTTGTTGGTATTATGCACAAAATGGTCATAGTTCAACACATTCCATTGATGTTCTCAAAAGTTTGGAATATACCTTTAGCTCTTTTAGAAAATGTACACTTTCTTAAAATATTCCACCTTTAAATATTGAAATCTGATATTTACGTTCATTCATATCTTATTGATTCCAGTATTACGCATGGGAACATTCTTGGATTCATTATACTCTGCATTGAAGATTATGAAGTATCCAGACTTAATAGTGAGGGTGACTTTGACAATGTCCAAGATTTCAAATGCTTTGTTCCTTCTGGCTGATCATATTATCTGGATAGGTAGAGCTGGTGTTTTTCAGGTCAATATTGAAAAATGGTCCAATGTAGCAAACAGGTACTGGTTGATGACCATAATCATGAACCTTGTCAGAGATGTCTATGAGATTGTTCAAATTATAGAACGTAAAAGCATGTCTTCACGTAACAGAACAAGTCTGACTTTACAAAATAATATCCTGCAACAGTGTTACTATATTCTCCGGGTCGAAGATCATAAAGATGTTCTAGTAGATTTTGTCAAAAATGGGTGTGACCTTTTTATTCCACTGACAGCTCTAGGATATACCAGACTCAGTCCTGGGGTAATTGGTCTACTTGGTTTCATCTCATCAGCAGTGGGATTATATAGCTTAGTTTATCCCATGACAAAACTAAGTCCATCTTAATTAAGAAAAAAAAAAAAAAAACTAATTCCTAATGTTTAAGCTTATCCTAGTCTCCTTTTAATACTTTAGAAACATGGTTTATTATCGTATATTAGGTACGACGCGACTGGTTTAATTAAATTGTATCATGGTATTTTTCAATATATTCTAACGACGGGAACGGGTTCGAGATAGATTAGTTGTTCTTGGTTTTTTACTCTGATATAAACTTTATAATGAGTAATGCAGGCACTGATGAACAGTCAATGACATCATAATATTGCTATATGAATATTCAGTTACTTGAGTAAGATTCAAAACGTGGCAGTTACTAGACGGTTACAATTGATTGTTATGTAAAATAAATAAATTTAATACATTTATATTTGATTTAATTCTGATCTGAGTTAAAGTTCCAGTCACTTCTTTTTTTTTATCTACTTGACTTATTATTTGTGATGTCATCTTTGGAATATCTGCGATTTGTGATATTTTCTGCAATGTAAGTATATTTCTAAAACAAAATTATTGTTACAAAAATAATACGTTTTAATTAACTTTAGCCTTTCCCTTGTTCTGACGGAAAGTCCATGCAAATTATCCAATTCCAAATTGAGACAATGGACTCAACCAATGTATCAAACTTCGATAAATCGACCATTGTTGCAGGAAACTGGTAATTGATATACATTTTCTGTAGAAAATTGTAGTGTGCAGTTTTTAAAATATGGAATGATTATTTATAGTAACGACAATTGTCAACGTGTCATTGACAATGGAGAAGATGACAATTTTGGATCCGACTACTATGGTATACCAAAAAGTCTATAAATTCAATTGGATTTATGGATAAAGAATTTTGCATTGTTTTTTTAAATGATAGGTAGTTGAATATCAATTGGCAATGACGCAAAAGTGGCAGGATCATCGATTAGCACCGGATGACGAGACCAGAAAATTGGCAGTAATGGGTGCTATTTGGCAACCAAAAATTACGTTTGCTACTACCGATATGACTATTGTCAAAGATTCTACACAATTTTGGCGTGGTACTTCAAATGGGAGTGTCATATATAGCGAAAAATATTCTGTAAAGTCAGATTGTTCGATGGACATGAAAAAATATCCTTTCGACACTCAAAAGTGCATTCTCAAAATTAGCTCCTGTAAGTAAACAATATCAACTAATAAGTAATGTGAAATGTCGGCTGTGTAGATACACATGGAATTGCAGGAGAACATCCTGTCAGAATGTCGACGTTGTAGTTAACTCCATCTCGTTTTCACCTGGCCGCTTGGTCGACATCCTGACAAGATATTCTCCTGCAATTCCGTAAATATCAACTAGTATACATATATTCTAGAATTACAAGATCAGATATCAATAATAATAGATTCACAAGTTATATGCTATTTGGTTGTGAAGTAAAAATTGTCAAAAATATGTAAATTGTCTGTAAATTATATTAACAATACAAATTCATTCTGTGTTCGTGTAACTATTAAAAATTAGTGAAATTATTTGCAGATAGATTTACTTTGGACGAGGTCAATTTAAAATGGGATATGCATGAAGCAGTGATGGTAAAGAATATGAAAAATTCAACATCATTTAAATTATTTAAAATAATAAGTGACGAAAATGTTGATTATCGAGATTCAGGAAACTTCAGTGTCTTAGTAGCGGAATTTTTCATTTCTCGAAACAGCCGTCATGTTATATTAACATCTATGGTACCCAGTATTATATTGGTTATTGTATCATATAGTGTTTTTTGGTTGGAAGGGTCAGGTATGTTGATTAATTAAGTTTTACTATAAATTATTAAACTATTAATTATCATTTCAGCAATAAACTCGCGTGTCACTTTATGTATTTTTGCAATTGCTGGTCTTCTTTATCTCCATGTTTTAACCAGCTGTACTGTAATTTGTATCGATTGCATCAAAGCGCTTGATATCTGGTTTGGAATATGTACAATTTTTACTTTATTACCTTTATTGGAAAGCATCATAGTAAGCACATTACATACATTCCATGTGAACAAAGAGGTGCGTTAATTATACCAATAACAAATGGAATAGAGAAATTAAATTTATCTTTGCTTATTATTTTAGGATATAATGTTGGAATTTGAAATAAATGAAGGTCTCAAGATGTATGCTACCTGGATAGATAAGATTTTACGTTTACTTCATCCAGTTGGATTTCTAAGTTGTGTGTTTCTTTTCCACATAGTGTTCATACAGGACTGAGTTTTGGTATGTTTTAGTATTTTTAAATTAATGTAGATAGTAATTATTATTTTAATGATATATTATGTATTAATACTCACTGTCAAAGATGTAAGGAATGAAATTCTTACTTCAATCCTAATATCTCCAGCATCCATTATCAGAATTCTTAATTTTATTATACTTGTACCACCTGTTTGGATATAAATTCCTGGTCTCTGTCCCACAATGTTTCACATATCCAATTTAATTGATACGAACAATCAAATATTTCTGGTCTGGTGACAGATTTGTGGGTGTCAATTCTGATGATTTTAACTTTCCATTTTTCTTCAAATTCATTAACTTGAGTGTCGGTTACAGCTAGTGATGACCAGGCACGGTATCTAAGACATAGGATAATAAGTTATGTTTGCTTCTGATTTAAATTTGTTACAAATATTTACTTACTTTGTTCCAATTACAATATTGCCAGGTTTTTCTGCAATGGCACTCATAGAATTCATAAGTTGCGGTACATCGTTGAAGCTACTCGCATCATCAAAGGAAAAAACGGTACACACAGCATCCACCTTATCTTTACACGCCTGGTGTAAAATGACACTTATTTACAGAAGTTGTTTTTAAACAAAAAGGAATAAAGATATTTTGCAATGTATCAATTATGCGATCCTAATACATACAAACTTACTGGTAAAATATGATTGTACTTCTTAATGCTGTTTTCAGATGTATCCCAGAAATGTAATTTAAAGAGGACTACTTTGTCCCAAATTTTCACTGGCCAATATATTGTTGTTTTTTTGATACCATTAGTTTCAAAATAGCCACTATATCCAACATTTCCAGCCAAACGAGATACTACTGAAGTTTTACCAACGCCTGATCTACCAATTATAAATATCTTGTATGTAACTTCTTCAATGGAAGATGGTAATGGTGGCCTTTCGAGAATACCTAAAAGTAAAATTATACAATTGATACAATGAAGTAGTATTTGATCTTATTTATTAGAACATGACCATATAATATACCATAAAACCGTCTTTTATTGGTAGATCTGTTATAGAAATGATGCAAAAGAGATTCTCCTTCAGTCGAATTTAACCAGTTCATACTAATGGCATTACTCATGTTGATGCTACAAGTTTATAATACATTTAATTTCATCGATAAAGAAGTTAAACAAGATAATATAAATCAAGTAAAGATATTTATATAATTCAGATAGATTTGGACAGGAAGATTATAGAATCTTGTCCCATATTTGCAATCTAACTACAGTTGGATGCATATGAGAAGCGATAAGATAACATTACTTCGATGTATCAAGTGATACGATAAAGAATTAGTAGTCAATGGTCCTTTGTTTGAAGGGAGGAATATGGCTGTGAAGCTAGATAGCTTATCTGTTAAAATGAAACGTATGTCAGAACTAGTCAAAGTATAATTCATACAAGTCACAGAAGTCACAGCATAAAATCTTTAATTCAAACAAGATTGTGTGCTATGGTGATAGGTTAGGTCCTTCTGCAAAGTGATCAGTCAAAAGGCGAATAAACTGTGTTTGGCAACAATAGTGTCGACTATTACGTTAATAAAATGGAGTTACCAACGAACAACGAACTTTCTGTTGATAACGACATTGCGAAATATGGTTTTAAAGTAAGACTCGACCATGAATTTCCAGAGAAATGGTTACCAATTAAGCGACCGCGTCTACGACAATTGCCGCATCTTTTACCACTGGGTTTAAGGTAAGTCATGTAATAGAAACATTTGAATTACTTTATGTATTTTGTTCCATTTATTTTCTACGCCCTACTGTCAGCTTGTATATGTATTTATTACTTTTGAGATTATATTGGCGTCTGCTACCGTATCGATTCTACTATTTATCAAACGTTGAACATAATAATTAGTTGATACGTTAATAGAATTTTATGCATTAGTGAGCAAATTGCTTGTGGAAAAACATTTTGTCGTTTAATAGTAATTTAGTCTTTTACAAGTGATATTCTCTCTATGGAATATTGTCTATTTGTGTATTATCAAAGATACTGGGAACAAAGGTGGCAAATAATGGATAACTTAGTTGATATCTTATTGTATGTACAATGTACATACACAGCTTAATACAAAACTATTGATAACCATCTATAACGTAAATGATGGAAACATCCATTAAAAAGTATTCGTTAGAAACAAATTATTAGATAAGTAGGTCTAATACTTTTTTATACTATATATCTGTACAAATTCAATTAACATTTTAAATGGTAGTTCATAAATATTGTCAATAAAAAGTTTTTAAAGAAATGGAAACCGTAAACGGTCATCTTGAATTTTCAATCATTAAAATATGAAATATATCATTCATGATAGTATCAAAAGTAAAACGAATTTGACAGATATACATATATATAATTGACTGTTCATTCTATAATGTTTGTGCGACGTCCTCAGTCCCTCCACGACCAGACCGGGAATTATAAAAAATAGCCTATGCGACAAATTGTACCATTTGGAGTGCAGTACTATCTCGCTATAAGCTAACGTTAGGTACAGTAAGGGAATAGGATTCTAAGAAATTCGTTGCTCGAGTGTTCCCCCGCTACTGCGCGGCAAGTTTAGAAATCGCGTGTGCGAGTGGTGTCCGTGAGCATCGCCACTCCATGTTCCAAGCGAATCACAGGGTGCATTCGACTTGGGCGCTTATGGGCTTTTAGCGCTCACGCTTATGAGCAGTTGTATACCCCGTTGAAGTTGGATTGTATGCGCTTTACAAGCTCATGCTATCACCGTTCGACTTGGCGCAACTTGGCGTTGTATGTTAAAAAAGTAATCAATATGAACGAGAAGAGAACATTGTTGGCGAGATGTTTCAGATAATTAATAATGAAACTGATAATGATGACGATTTTGATATAATAAAAAGTAACAATGATGAAGAGATTGAATGGAAGTGTTGTTCCATACTGTTGTAAAGTAGTTTAGAAAAAATGTCCGTGTCCGCGCGCGCGCGCGCGTGTGTGTGTGTGTGTGCAGGGCTTCGAAAATTCAATTGCCTCTTACTCAGTAACCGTTAGAACGTTTGGACTGAAATGTGGCACGCAAGTAAAGTAGATATCCCTTTTTAAATGTTGCGACTTTTAATGAAATATATGCAGCCATTCAGATTTTATGTCATTTAAAATTTTTTGAAAAAAGGGCGTGGTCGCTCTAACTTTCGTAAAGTTTCGACGATCTAGCTAAATAGTTCTTCATAACTGAAGATACGTTCAATGTTGTTTGGCATTGAATTTCGACAAGATCGCTAAAGCGGTTCAGATTTTACGTGGTTTTGAAATTTTCAAAAAATTATCGTTATTGCATCAGCTTCCGCAAAATTTAAGGAAGTGAGCCAAAACTTTGTACATAATGAAAATATGATGCAACCGTGTTTGTTACGGTGTTTCATAGCCGTGTGTAACGTGGCTAGTTTTTTTTAGATTATACATTTTTTATTTTTTATTCCTGTAAGTACCAAAGTTCAACTGTACATAACTCGCGAAAATAAATCAAAAAACTTCCTCATAGTGGAGGCTTTGTCAACGAAGGAAAAGAATCAAGAAGCAAAGTGTAAGATTCTACTTTGCATCATTGTGATAGAAAAAACCAAGTAAAATAATGAGGAAGCAAATTGCAAGGTTCTACTTGGCACCCTTGTTTTTTTAAACACTTTATAACATTTCCTGGTCTACGTCACTTCGATGACCCCAATGCTGTGCTCCGCGGATCCTTTGGGCGCCATTTCTAATCCGCAGCAGGTCAACTTCGCGAGTGCTCTCGACCGGTTCTTCCCGCTAGCTCTTAATCAAACCATAGTAGAGGGGAATCAGTCGACCTTTCCGAAATAAATAATACGGTGGGATTTAACTGTAACAATTGCGATTTATTCTATCTAGGAATACTAGTACAGTTGGGTGGCATGTACAAGCGCGACTCTATACAATTCTAACAATTAACGCGGTCTCGGAGGTCGTTTGTGTTGTTGGTGGGCCGTCCCGCGGACGCCACGTTACAACGTATATCTCAGAAACTTTTAAAGACTTCTTCAATTTTCCTTTTAGTTTGACACAGAATAGTTCAAACTTGTCTTACAAAAAAGAATGCAATATTAATTAGCCGCCGAGACGTTCAAAGTCGAAATGGCTGTGGTCTCCCAGACCAAATCTGTATAACTAACAGGCGGATTTTCATGTCTGTACGCGAAAGATTAGGTTGCGCGCGATTTGAGCGGCACGGTCGCTCTAATGGGTTATAGGGCGATGAACAAATAATTTATTCTATTGGAATGTCGTTACTCTTCTGCTTGCACAGATAATATAGCTGACGATGTCTAGTATTTTGCTAATGGTATAGTACTTGCTGTGCATGAAATCTAAATATACTTCAAATTAAGTACAGGATATTATTGTTTCTTTAACGAAAGCAATTTTGAAATTAAAACTCGCTCTTGGATAAGTAACGAAATCCTGACGTGACTATATCTTCGCGAACAAATGTATACTTCTAAAGTAAAAAATAAAAGTTTGTGTTATTAACGATTTTCATGACTCTAAATTCAAAATAACTGTGGGAGGATTTTAGTTCTCTTAATCTGGAAATGGTCACGCTTTTATTGTACTCCAATTGAAAAGCATTGGGTGAGAGAGCTCAGACACCCGCGCGTCTACTTCCGAGTTGAAGTAAACTAATACGATTATTCGTGAATTTTTTGGCTTTCAGATACTGGTCGTACTATAATAAAATAGTAAAGGATGGTCGTATACCGCTTATGGATTATATGAAAATGCCAATCGGCTTGCAGATGTACGGTGAGTTGTGCTGATAAGAGTGGCCGTCATTTATACGAGATACTGTGTAAAAATGGTAGTATGTCTAAATAAAAGATATCAGAAGGGGTTAGCAAAAAAGAAAAATAATATAAAAAATTGGAAATAAAAAAGTGGAATCACAGTGAAACAAAACCGACAGCCTAGCAGAAGTCGTTAAAGACAACGCGGGCCATAAAACGATATAAATCATTTTTATAGGTGCTCCGATAGGCGGTATCGGTGGCGGGACTATTGGTCGTGGTTTTAGGGGTGAATTTTGCCGTTATGCACTGCGTCCTGGACAGTATCAATACCATACAATAATACCAAACCAGTTCATAGTAACCATTAGAGATGTCGAAGGCAACACGATTTATCATCAAGTACTGTCCACGCACAAGTGAGCGTCTATTTTTAGGTTATAATGGTCCCTTTCAGTTTTATAAAGTTACAAGCGTTATTTGGTACTTGACGTCTGCACGGATACTTATAAAGAATTATTTATGTTGAATCAGGAAACCGAAAATATTAAAGTCGTGGAAATGGCATTTCGATGGCACTAAAGCAAGATATACATCACTTTATCCAAGATCCTGGACTGAGTATGATCTGGATGAAGTTTCCGTGAAATTGATTTGCCGTCAAGTGTCGCCAGTTATTCCTCACAATTATAAGGATAGCTCCTTGCCGTGTGCAGTATTTATCTGGGACGTGATTAATAATTCAGGAAAAGATCTGAATATTGCTATTACTTTTACATTTCAAAGTGGCACTGGTGATAATACTGATAACGAAGGTAGAAAATGGTTTAACTTACGTTTCGTGTTGTTGCGTTTACTGATGAAATAAAATGAATGAATTTTAGTGAACAAATGGACTGAATATTTTGAAACTGATAATGTCTCTGGTGTCATGATACATCAAAAGATTCACGAGATGAATTGTACGTATGCCATAAGTTCACGGGCGAAGAATGGGATTGAAAATTCTCGTGTTCTCAGTTTCGATCCAATGAGTAATGGCGAGAGCTTATGGCGCGAACTTGAGGACAATGGAAAATTCGAAGAGAAAACTTTACGAGCTTCTCCGAAAACCGGTGCGTATTTATTTGTTGTATTCAAAAGTTCCTAGATAAAATTTGTCAATGATTTTTCGTATTATTTTCAGGACATCCAATTGCTGCTGCAGTTAGTGCCCGTACATTGGTCAAAGATGGCAGCACTAGTGTACTCGAATTCTCTTTAGTCTGGGACATGCCAAAGATACATTTTCATTACAAGATGCGCGAATATCTCAAATATTATACGAAATTTTTTTACGAACCTGAAGGATCAGCTGCTCCATTGATTTCTCAGTACGCGCTCAGCAATTATCGACAGTGGGAAAGGGAAATATGCAATTGGCAACGTAACGTCCTCGAGGATCAGCAACTACCTGATTGGTACAAGAGTGCACTTTTTAACGAGCTATATTACGTCGCTGATGGTGGTACAATTTGGTTAAGGAGCGACGAAACTGACAATTTTCCAGCCACGGATCCACGGTACAAAAAATACAGATTTTATTCTGCAATATTTCTTACCGCTGTGTTAATAACGTACACACAAAATTGTTGATACAATCTCAGAGAATCTAATAATTTTCCAGTGCTATGTCCCATGCGGTTTTCGTTATAAGATTTTGTTAAATAACGAATATCAAACTGGCACATTTTCGCGCTCGATTTAACTTTGTCCGTGCTTTAATCTGACTTGGCGAAATCCCGCGAACCGTGTAAATGAAACTTGCTAAATTGTACGAAGTAAAATAGCATCCAGTGGGTGTTTTGCGAGAGAAAAAGTTTCCTTTCAGTGGAATTTGCACATTAGTGACATCTTGCGTACTCATGAGGAACTGCCAGAATGTAAATCCGGCCCAAGATAATTTGTTCAATTTTAACATTGCAGTTATTAGAGACTTGACTCAATTTTGTTACATGTCATATATTTTAAGATTAGTAAAGATAAGAACACCATTTAACAGATGACAACTTAATTCATCCTTCACTCTTGTTTCTCAGCAAGTAAATGTATAAGAATCTAATGAAAAACATTCAATGTAAATCATAGCAATTTTTATTTTAATCTTCCATCCATTGCTTAACTTAGTTTTTTAAAAATAGAATTGAAGAGCCTTAGATAATTTTTATTTATTTCAATCTTTTGAATTTGTGGATCGACTATATCTTATAATTATATATTATAACATATCTGGAAGTACTGAAACGGCACGTTAAATCTTTGAAATTTCTCACTAGATTTAAAAGTATAAAAAGTATATTTGCAACATGCACTACAGTACTCAGAACAGTACACTTCCATATCAGTTTTGAAGTAAGGAAATCCAATTTGTACTCCACTTTTGCATTAGTAAAATTCTTTAACTATATTATAGTTTATATATAATACATTTTTCATTAAAAAAAAAACATTTTGTTTCCATTACTTAATCCAGATCCGAATATGGTCGCTTCGCTTATCTTGAAGGTCAAGAATATAGAATGTACAATACGTATGACGTACATTTTTATGCCGCTTTTGCACTGGTCCAATTATGGCCGCATCTTCAAAACTGTATACAATATGAACTTCGTGACAACGTTCACATGGAAATTGAGACCAGATGGACAACCCTGTATGAGGGTGTAATACAGGCACGTAAATTGAAAGGAACAGTACCTCATGACATGGGTGATCCTGGTAGGTGACTATTAATAAAAATAATATTATACAAATAAAAAATGTGATACTTGACTATGGTTTTGGCATTGTTTTATGGCTTTTTCTAATTGAATGCAGATGAACAAAGGGCAAAATGACACTTGTAGTACTCATAGTGAATTTTTAGCCGTACTGTATGTTATTCGCTGTCAAATTCTTTTAGCGAAAAAATTTGATTTGTATTTTTCACTAGACTATGCGTGTTGTGATACTTTTTATAAGTAGATTTATTTTTAACAGGTGAGGAACCATTCAAACTAATTAACTCATATCCGATTCACGACGTATCCGAGTGGCGGGATCTCAATCCAAAATTTATCTTGAGCTGCTATAGAGATTACGTTATCACAGGGAATTTACAGCTGTTACAGGATTTATGGCCTACTATGATACAGGTTTGTTTAATGTAAAATAGAGAATGTTGAGAAGGATACAAAATTTTGTGTACTTATGCGCAAAATCAAGGTGATTTTTTTCACAATTAAAGTTTAATATTCCTTCTAATTAGATTCTCGAACGATGCCTGACCTGGGATGAAGATGGCGATGGTCTAATTGAAAATGGAGGTTTCCCTGATCAAACTTATGACACTTGGGTCATGAAGGGTCCAAGGTAATGGCCACAAATTATTAGATTGTTAATATGAAGCAATCTAGGGGTCGAAAGCGCTTTTTGAGCTTCCGTCCTTTTAAGTAATCACGTATAAACTGCAGCCCAAAATGCAGAAGTGATGAATTCGCACGGGAAATTTATTAATCTTTTTGTCGAGTAATGTCACATGGTTATATAAGATTTGACACGTCTGTGTCATTGTTGTGACAGTATAAAAAATTCAATCTATTTATTGCTTTTGTTCTTTATATAGTGCCTATTGCGGTGGTTTATTCCTGGCTGCACTTCATTGTTCTATAGAAATGGCCAAACTTCTTGGACATGATGCCGATGCCAAAAAGTATGAAGAAATTTTGAAAAGGGGAAAGGTTGCTTATCAGGAGAAACTTTGGAATGGTAATGTATATAATAATATTACAACAAAAAAAGTTTGACTCGTGTCAAAAAGTAATAAACACATTATTTTATCGAATAGGACAATATTACAATTTTGATAGCAGCGATTCCGGTCACAGCAAATCGATAATGAGCGATCAACTGTGCGGCCATTGGTTTTTGAGGGCATCTGGTTTTAATTACGAAGTAAGAAAAAATTATAATAATTAAATATTTTGATTGTAAAAGTTGCATTGATATATAATTTTTATTCAAAATCTTTTTTCGGCAGATTTTTCCCGAGGACAGAGTTAAATCTGCGCTTAAAGTTATTTTTGAAAATAATGTCAAAAAGTACAAAAATGGTGAGCAAGGTGCTGTCAATGGTTTCTTACCGACTGGATCGATTGACCGGAAGACATTGCAAAGTGAAGAAATGTGGACCGGAATTACATATGGATTGGCGGCTCTCATGATACACGAAGTGAGTTCCGTTTTCAAGCAGTGGAGAAAAAATGTGTTATTTATCTAATATGATTCAATATTCTGTTTTTTTTTTATGTTACAAAAGGGCATGATCGAAGAAGGTTTCAAAACAGCTGAAGGAGTTTATAGAACTGTATATGAAAAAATTGGAATGGGTTTCGAAACGCCGGAAGCACTTTTTGAAAATAAATTTTATCGTGCAATTGGTTACATGAGGCCTTTGTCAATTTGGGCTATGCATCTGGCATGGGAATCGAGAAAATTAAAAACAATGAAATAATCTATTTCACGTGAATACTGTACTTAGTGAATTTTTTTAGCAACGAGATCTGCTGTAACATGTTTATGGCATTTTTAGTTTTAACTGAAAAATGAAAAATCATTCTGGAACTGTTACTGTTTCTTGTTACATTCGACAATTATACCATTTATAGGCTCGATTTCACAAATACGATTTATTGTTTGAACTCCCTTTATCTTTAAAATGCAAATGAATCTTTTCCTTAATAATATTCCTCTGAAATAAAAAAATAATAAACTAAATTTAAATTTTGTATTTAACAACATGATTAGTTCTGCGTGTTTTGCAAATAAGTCAATACAAATAGCTTAAACAGATATACAAATGAAACAAGTGATTATGTTTTGTAATATCGCTTTAATTTTAATTAACAAGTTTCATTTTGAACATTATTTATTTTTTACTAATATCACTTTCTTTTTTTGAGCAATCCAATTTTTTGATACTCGTTATTTACTTAGTTTAAGAATCGTATAGTTGTTGCATTACAGCAAAATATGAGTAGGATCCCCCTAAAAGCTGAAGATTGATAATCATTAAAACAAATGAAAAAGATTCAAAAAGTCATATTTAATTATTCAAAAAACTTTCCGATAAAAATGTCTCAAGAGTGACATAGTAAAATTTTCCTGCAGTCAAATAAATCGGTTTTTGACCACGCATCATTATAAACATTATAGTCTGTTGAGAATTGCGATCGAAACTATACCAATCACAATTGTATGCAGCATCATGAATTTTTAAACTCTACAACATATAATCTTTTTTAAGAAAAATAAAAAAGTTGGTTTAGAATATTAAAAAATTACATATCACTTTTGAATCACCTCCAGTTTCAACTCGTTTCCATGCCAATAATATAGAAATATCTGAGTCATCATTATTGCCAAATATTCCATTAGTTGTAATAACTTTATTGATGGTCCGATCTGTAATACAGAATATTTACAATAATTATCAAAAATAATAAATATGCTAGATAATGATTTCCTGACCATAATTATTCGCATCCCAACAAAGCACAACATGACAGAATATATGAAAAAGCCAATAAACATAATCCAACTGAGCATAGAATCAATCACTTGGCAGAATCTATAAAAGAATCCTTTCAATATAATAGTTAATAGGTGAATAAGAGTATTACTTAAAAAATGTACAAAATAATTTTTTGATGCTCCGCAATGGCCTCAGACAATAATTGGTGAATGCATTTTTGAAGTTCAGCCTGGTATGTCTCATTCTTACTAAATTTCATTTGTAAATCAGATGGTGCTATCTTTTTTATATTGTTTATGCTGTTATGTAGAATTCTTAAGCGTCCTATGGCAAAAAGGATGCAAGATATAAAGAAGGTGTCAAAATTAACTGTGTGTAAAGACATGACAGATGCTGTAACGATCTCAACAACATAAGCAATGGCATAATTATTTGTCGAATTTAATGAAAATGGAAAATATGCAGGAACTCCAAGCATTCTCAGATTGGGGTCCTTTTTAAATATCATAGAAGCTATTGGCCAGGTATGCAAGATAATGACAGTCAGGAGAGCAGACCACCCGAAGACAATTTTTATTCGTCTGGCAATATCTTCACAGGATTGTAGAATCTAGAACAAATTTTACTGTCACTTTTATTATTATTGATTTTCCTTATTAACTTTATCTATCTAGGTGACATGAGTACCAATAGTTTCATGTGATCAAGAAACAATGGCTGGATAACAAAAGTTGCAGCATCAAGGGACAGTTGGATAAAAGAAAAATAAATAACCAAAATAACTAAAAAAATCTCTTTTTCAAACTAAATTCATGCTTCTAAAGAACCAAAGAGAAATCCAAACCAAGATTTGTCTTTCTTCCGATACCTGGACGTTACTTTGATGACCATCTTTGTAAGTTTTTCGCACATAATTATCTATTTCGAGGACCATTTCCATAATTTCTCGACGACGTGAATAAAAAACGTAAATCTAGAATGCAAATAGAACAATGGAAAATAAACAATTATTGTATAAATGCAAATGAGCCCCATGGATTTTAAAATCAATCCTGTGATAGTTTATATGTATATCTGAATTTTGTATTTGAAAATAGAATTTCTTTAGAAAACCAATATTACTTTATATAGTGTTCATCTTCTATAATCCTTAGATATATTATCTCCTATGTCTATTTATTTAATACCTTTGACACGAATATACTGTAGATAAAGGAAACACTGATATTTTCGGATATAAATCCCCAGTCTCCCCACTCAATGAAGAGGTCGATATACTGTAGACCATTGAAAACAGTGATTACAGCGATGAGGGTCAAGCCGAGGATATATCGGGTGTTCTCGAGACGTCTGGCAACGCAGTCGAGTGGCCAGGAACCCAGACACTTGTAAATCATCACGTTGTCCCTTACGAAATTGTTTCTGTTCATATTTCTCAAGTCTACACTGTTCGAATGATAGTTGATACAATACTGTAGGTTTTTTAAAATTGTACTTGCGTAACAGTCAATTTTCCTACGTCGTCAATTACACGTGCAATTACTCCGATACTCTTCAAGTCCCGTAATTCTTTTTACACCCGTAATATTCTTCCCCGTAGTGTTACATCTTCAATTGATTTAAATTGCCGGCAATTTTCAGTTGTACCACCCGCCATTTTGCGGTGGGGTTATCGAGCGATTTCTCTAGACTCTCGTATTTTATTCATGCCCCATTTCAGTCGAGTTTCTCTCTTTTTTTTTATTCTTCTTGCATTTCTCTTCTGTGCATGCTGAGATCTCAAGATTACGTGATCCAATGCTCTGTTATACCTTCTCAAGAACCTAACCGTACTATTCATTTGAGGAATTCTAGTGATAGTTTGCAAATTGTCAAGGAACTCGTAGTGTTCTTAATCAATTAAAAATTTAATCTACTGTTTGACTCTGCCGTTCAATCAAAAGGTACGTTATATAATTTGTAAAATATCTTAGGGTTGGAGATATTATAGTTATATTATAGATATTATAGGAAGTTCTTGGTTTTTTTCCCACTGTTATATCATTGGGTACAGGTAATGGGAAATGATTGCAGAATCAAAGTATACATTTTCTTTTAACAAGAAAATAAAGTTGTAGGTGAAATAATAAGCATTGAAAGTTATAAAGATAATACCCCTCCATGATACATTTTATTTACACATACTTGATCATTTTTTACATTTTGTATCAAGTTTTTTTTTAAACAGCAGTCTCATACAATTTAGGAGATACAAGAACTTTTCTTTATTTTTACAATTATTTTTATTACTACGTATTCTGGCAAATTGATTTTCTTAGGTGGTGAAGGTGTTATTTAACCCGGAAAAGGTCACGCGGCTTTGTTCTTCATAAGAAAAGCATTGAGTTGGGTTGTCTCAGACATCTCACGCGCCTGTTCCCGCGTTAAACTATACATATTTATACAATTCAGTCTTTTCCCATTTCTAGGACGTCCCATTATTTGAACTTTTTTAAGTTGAATCTTCAGTTTCGATTTCCGCATTGCGTTTGTGATTTATGAATCGAGATGCAAACCTTGTAACCCATCTAGAGAGAGGTGTAAAATTCTCCTGTTGATCGGCTGGTCCCATAGATTTGAAAAATCTCCTTAGCCACTGAGTTCGTGCATTGGACACTTGTGAATCTGTTTCTAATAGTTTATGATCATTGGAGACGTTATGGCTTTCAGATTTTGCACCGTGCACATTCGATTCCTGACAATCTTCAGCCATTTGTTCCATAGACTCTTTTCTGGTTTCTTCAAGCCTAACGTAGTTGCTGCTGGTTTGGATGTTTCTGAAGTGTCCTTGAAATTTCTTAGTACTTTCGTATGATTCATCTAAAGACGATGATTGGTCCAAACAGTCAGATTCCTGGGATTTATGGTCAAAGTGAAATATTTTCTTATTCTCAAATTTTTCTAGAATCACATAGATCAGATCTAGGAAGAACTCAAAGCTTTTTACGAGAATCTTTATAGCCTCTTCCTGGACCAGGTTACCGGCCACAATGAGGTCCTTGAGTGGCATCAAGGGTTTCTCTAGGAATTTAACAGAGAAGAGCTTTAATCCCGCCTCCCAGAAATTGGCCAGCTTCGCGTGCTCCCCTAATTCTGTCAGACTCCTGACTCTTGTAACATCCAGTAGAGCCGGCAAAGGATCCAGTGTCCTTAGAGGTAGGATCAGACTCTTCAGAGAGTCCAAGAATAATTCTAGGATAATGGACCAAGCTCTTGTGAAGGACCTAACTAGTCCCTTCAGGTCAAATAATTCAAGGAGACGTTCTTTGACACTAATGATCTTTCTCAGGATGGTTTTGGTTAGTAACTCAATCTTTTCACGAAATAGTTCACTCAGGACTCTGGGCAATGTGGCGACGGCTGACAGAAACATACGGAACCGTCTCTCCTTATATTCGATTGTCTTTGTGGAGAGCTCGAAGAGCTTAATTAGGCAACTTCTGAACCAATGGAAAGTTTCGTGATAGTGTGACACGATAGCGTTGCCAATAGCAACGATGTGAGAAATTTTCCAGTAGCCTGGAATCATCTTCAGGAACCCAGTGAGATTCTCATAACAGGCTACAAGCTTAGAGTGTCCTCTGATCTCGTGCCAATTGGATTCCAAGTGGTTGCTCACCTTGATACAGAGCTGGGACATCGTGGTATCAGGTGGTAGGTCCTTGATCAGGTGGATCATTTTCTGATAGAATAAATTGATCTTGGAATTAGTGTGAACACCCGTAATCAATTTTTCCAAGATGTCGTAGGTTACAAGTAACAAGTTCACAAGTGATTCGAAGATGTTCGATACGATTGGTTTGCACCAGGTGGCTATTCCAGTTTTGGCCAAATTAAACTCGGCTTGACTCAACCCACTGAAGGGCTCTAGAGGATTCAGTATGAACTCCTCAAGGAACTTCCAGGTAAGATCATGAAAATTAGCAATCAGGCGAGTTCTACTCGTAGAAGATGTCCAGTCTGTCACGAACCTTTTAAAGTCTTCGCTTTTATCTTCACAACTAGTTTCGGACTTTTCGATCACTGGGTATACCTCCGGCTCTATAATTCCATCTTGGCGAACCAATGATTCCTTGAAGGACTTACTTTCTTCGTGATAACTCCTCACATTCGTTTCCCAGCTCCGGGAAGCACTCCAGGAATCATGGATTGCTGAACTAGCTGAGGATTTGTTCCCGGCGGAGTACATAAGACTCAAACCAGTTCCAGCAATTTGCAGAAGTCCAAGGAGTTTTTTTATAACCGCCAAACTTGTCTGACAGAAGAAAAATTTTCCTGGCAGCACAGCAATACTTCCATTGGATAATAATGTGGTCAGCGCCATCTCAGCAATTCTACCAAAACAACTCATGATTTTGACAGCCAGCGCAATCACTAACGGTGTTATTATTGGAAATTTTTGTTCCAGATAAACTCGTAAAGGTATAAGGATCATCCTGGCTATCATAACCCAACGATCATGACTGCCATAGTTATTACTAAAAATGTCACTAGATTTTGGATGTCGTACCAATAAATCCTGGAAGTCGTTTCCATCCTCATGAATTTCCTCTAATGGTGGACGCTCCAGTTGTTGGTAACTGTCATCTGGTATTTCTAGTAAAACATCCTTAGATATCTTCTTCTGAGTAATGTTTGTAATTTCCCCAGATATGGGTCCACAATTTTCCAATATAGCCAACTTGAGAAATCCATCCTCTATTGAATCACTTAGCGATTGACTTCTGATTGACTGTAGAGTCTCTTCGTTATCACTGTACGACTCGGATATTTCTGATCGAGCACAACGGGAATTGGAAATGGCAATGGTCAAGAAACACCTGATAATGAAAATAAGTTTCATTTTGTCGAAAAAAAAAAATGTGACAGCAAGTATGAATTACATAACAAGACTAGCAACGATTGACTAGATATTTAGGTATACACATGATCGCGAGCAAGTACAGGCGAACAGGGTAAAATTGTCATTACTTGGCTCGATATATATGTACAAGAGCTAGTTCCTGTTTGCTCAACTTTTTTCTGACTTCCTGTAACAATTTTGTGAATCCGGCCAATAGCGCGATTCGGTGTGAACTTCTGATTTCCGCTTTGAAAAAAGAAACAAGCATTCGATTTTTGCGGTTACGCAAGCAATCTTTATATCCTTTCGTGGGAAAAATGACTTACAAACAAGCTGAAGTAATTATGTCGAGTCAGCTGTGGCAAAAACCAGGTAGCATCGGTGACCGTAAGTAATACGATCCTTCCACCTGGTTTGGTCAAACACAAACGAAAATTTTACACATCTTTGATTAAACGAGCAGATATTCCTTATTAAAGTCTTGTTATCTTAATTGATGTTGATCAAGACCATAATCTTGTAGACCTATGTATGGCAAGTAGAATTTTACTTCCGTTCTTTGATTCTATTTTACGAGGGTATACATTTACATCCTGACATGAGATGGGAGAAAAGAAATGATGTAATTTTTTTTCTTGGCTTCTTGCCTCTTTAAACTGCCGAAACACACTTATTCGTGTTCCATGTGTCTTATCTTGTGTTAGATCGAATGCCCAGCTTACTGTAGTTAGTTGCGATAAGGAGTGTCCTATAACTGGAGGCGTATGCATAATCGAAAAATGGGATTTTAATGTCTGATATGATTGTTTATGTTGTGCTATCGTATTTGTCAAGCAACAGCAACGTGGAAGTCCAGGCTGTTCCACGTGTTCCTTTCCGTAATTTCCTGTTGGACACCTACATACAGGAAACTACCGAGAGAAACACCTGGACATCCTATATTTCTAAAAACTCTCACCTGAAATACGAGGGACTATGTCAAAGCACACACATACGTACATCCATACACGCGCGCTCCACATGAATTTTTGTTATACTTTTCGTGAGTGTTAAAGACTTAATAATTCTATACTATTGTGAAAGCAGCCTTATATTAACGTCGTCGTCGTCGAATTTCATGCCAGGAATTCCAAAGTACTTACTTTGAACGCACTAATAGTATTTTAATACTATAGGATGTTTGTTATTAGGCTTTTATCGTGGGTATAATATGCCTTAAATAGAAAGTTGACGTTTTTTTTGAGCTTGAAGACTGGCATAATGAACGTAAATCTATATCAAGTAATGCACGGACCCGCCAAGTGGTACTTGATAAGGATTCAGTTAAAGTTTATTAATTATTAAATGACCATTAAATCATAAGTAGCGAAGATGTTATAGGAAATTTTGAAAATATTATTAAAATGATGGGCTAGTGCTGCTAATGCTAGATCATATAATAAGCAGATATGTAGTGACTTATGTACTTTGCATTAATAATGTGATTACAATAATTTTTGTTAGAGGAATTCACAGCACTCCTGTACTTGGCATAGTTTTTTACACGTAAATGATTTTTCGAGGGATAACATATACTAAAAATATATTTCTTACTATATTTTACTTATATGAATGAGTGCACTTGAAGTTGTGCACAAAAGGTAAGAACACTTAATAAGCAGATATCACGTACAATCCACAAAAAGATAACTCCATATTTTTATTTATAAATGAGAATTGTCAGCAGACACTGGCAAACGATGGAGAGAGAACACATGCAACCGTATCCATAAAAGTCGTTTAATTAAAAGTCATATTTTAAAACAACCCCAACTTCCAGTCCCGCACCCTCATATCAACTGGATGGTAAAACCGTAAACCGTAGTCACTTTGTTACATTTAATTGGTATGATCCCACGAGTTACCAGGAATGAAAAAAAATAAATAATCGCACAGACAATACCGATAAACTTTCTTTGATCGTTGAAAAAAATATGAAGTATCCAATATAAGAGAGATAGTAGAATTAAAACTATCACAAGTGTTATGAAAAAATTTCCAATATCAGTATCCAAAAACTTGATACATATTTCATTTAATTGTCACAGAACTTGAACGATTTATACGTGACTGATCGAAAATAGTAATTTTGAGATCTCATAAATATAAAAATATATGTATTGATTAAGATCAATATTTTATGTAACTCATGCACGAAAAGCGCTACGTTTTGTGCCTTGAAAGTGTGGCGTAAATGGCACTTTATAACTAAGGATGCAATAAAAATGCTGCGCATGCGCAAATCGGCCCAATTTTACTTTGTTTTCGCGCGCTGTCATACACGTATTCATTTTGGAGGCCTTCCTTGCGTTCCTTATGGCTATCTCCTCCAATGAGGAGATAAAAGTAAACAAAAAGTGGCACTTTTCATGCCTCCAAAGTGACTAGCACATCTCATTGGAGGCGGCAGCCATAAGGAAAGCAAGGAAGGCCTCCAAAATGAAAACGTGTCACGACAGCGCGCAAGAACAAAGTTTACATTATCGCACTAGTGCGATAAAGTGAAATTGGGCTGATTTGCGCATGCGCAGCATTTTTATCGCATCCTTAGTTATAAAGCGCCACTTACGCCACACTTTGAAGGCACGAAAAGTAGCGCTTTTTATGCATGAGTTACATAAAGTACTATTATTTATCATTCGTATTTTCTGTCATCTTGATTATATGTCTTCGACATGTCTTTGTTTTAACTGAGTGTACAGACACAATGGTACAGAGTATATGGCGAATTGGCTACAGCTTATCACTTGACTATTGTAAATCCATTGTTATCACGTACGCTCTGTTCTCCTAGTCTATAATGCGCCTTTGGCCTGCACCAATGGACACTACATCGATTGATATGCGTTTACTCAGTTAGGTATTATGCGACATTACTCGATCCGAACACTAACCTGCCAATTGTCCTGGAGCAATAGTCAGTCGTACAATTTCTCCGCAAATTACACAGAATGATATACCTCACGAGTCTGGATTAAATTAAAACTCGCACTTAAATTAATTTAGGTACTTTTTTAAAATATATATATTTTTTTACTCGCTACTAGAAAATTGGGGCTCAGTATGGTGGTTGTTAACTTGCTTTCTTGTCACGGGTGGCGCGACGAGCGTTAGTTGTAAAATATCGAATGGCGCCCTCTAGTCATAGCGTGTCAAAACAAAGTCATTTCACCGAAGCTCGAGCTGAGAGTGGAAAGCCCTTCACACACAAAGTAACGTTAGCATTACGTTACGTTATTTTGTGTGTGAAGGGCTTAAAAGATGTTAAAATAGAAGAGTATTTATTCGGAACGACGGCTTAAATATTGTTACACAAATGCACACGGAGTGTCACTACAGAAAGTTCGATCAGTTAGGATTTCTCTTGCTATGTACATACATTCAACTATCGGTCTGTATTATTTTAGTCGCTACACGTTCTTGATTTCAGTATCCTTCTGAGTCATTAGTCTTTATTCTGAATAATTATTTCTCGCATCAGTGCAGCGAATGTTTTTCGCACGATAGACCTTTATTACAATTATAATAGCTGTCGTTGATTTTTGTGCTCGTGGTAGTGGCTGGCAATAATGTCACGTTACGCTCTGGCGTCTTACCAAAGGATTCCTATCCTACAATGGCGTCACCACGCGATCCTCAGTATTCTGTGCTCACCTGATTTCACTATTATTACTGTGTATCAGTGTTATCGTCTAGAATCGACTGGAGGGCTTATGTGGTATTAGTCGTAAATGCTTCTACGACATAATCGAGGTAAATTAAATCAAGATATGTAATCTATAATTACACGTATTGATACTGCTAGATCACTTAGATTATGTGAAAATAGACGCAGCGATTCATTACGTAGAGATCAGTTTGTTTTGTCTCTTCTCTCTTTTTTTGATTAAGTTTATCCCGGGACAATCTTCCCTTAGGAAAGTTATCTCCACCTAACTTGTTTTTCTCGTCGTTTCGCGACACCTGACGCGTGGCTACGTGACGTGTTTGCGTTTTACGTACTCTCAATCTAGGAACGACCTCTCGTGTCGTGAATGGAATTCAAATTCATGGCGACATTACGCTTCTATTCCAATTTCCCCTATTACCTATAATCGTATATGTCTTTCTAGAATATATGTATGTATGTTCCCATGTCTCTTTCTTTCTTTATCTGTCCGAAATGCTTTCTGCATTTAGTTCTTCCACGGTTTTCTTCGATAGCGTTTGAACTGCACGAGAAATTCGCAGTCAAGCAACTTGTCGTCGCTAGTTTCATTACATTGAATTTAAACTTCTTTGTTCATTTCAGTGATTCATAACCCTATCCTGCAACGGAGCACGTAAGTCTGGAGTGAATTTGGCGAAGGTGGTGAGTATAACTAAAATGCTTAGACATAGTTGAAATTCATATATCTTTGTGAATATCAATTACTTGCCTGTGTTGATGTAATCAATTTCGTATATAGAGAATATATATGTCGCAGTGTCACCATCAACGGTGACGTCTGACGTGGTCCCGCCCATGAACGACGGGTCATTACTTGATTTTGCTATTTTCATTCCCCCCCTCTTGCTTCTGTTTCTTTAATTCTCTTTGGAAGGGGACCAAACCCAAATAGCAAGCCCGGAGTGGCGGCACGATAGTACGGTGGACAAACTTGTATTGTCGTGGATCCACCGTCACGGCATCTAATTAAACTATATAATAATCAAGGAATGCGTGTTGTGTTGTTCAACCTCGCTTTACCAATTCGTCTATGTTGCCGGAAGTTCCCTTCATATGTAGAGCTAGGAACCGGTAGCGCTGCGCCAGTGGACTCTGCTATATATATATTAAAATTCGAAATTTTGATACTTACTGTTTGTAAAGTTGAGTCGGAAGAGGAACGTGAACCCCGCCAACTGATTTGGATTCAATGATGATGACAACCGATTTGGAATACGAATCTGATTGTGTTAATGTGTATTGTTTTCTATTTATTGTTTGTACAGTGATCTGTTCTTAGTGGAAGCTGGAGTGTAACTAACTCTACACCAAATTTTAAAACAGCCTCGTGGGCGAAATTCTTAGAAACAGGGAGAGGGCAGTCTTCTGCATGCCATGCCTTAGACCCTTTCCTGGAATAAGGACCTGAGTTTGAATTGGCCCTGGACAAAGGCCTTCGGTTTTTCGTTTACGCAATGCACGAGAAAAGGGCGCTGGTCTAGTCAGCGAGGACTTGCAGTCCTTTCAAGTCTCATAGAATGGGTTGACATGTACCAAACAGATCTGTTAAAGCATCTCGCTGCTCCAGACACCTTTACGTATGAAAATCGAAGCCGCCTTCCGTCCAAGGCGCCGTCAGGGTCGAACACTGTTAGTCTCAGTACTACTCCTAGTGAGTACTGGTAGAGTGATCTGAATTGTACAGAGTTCTTACTTTTTGATAAATTATTAATATATTGACCCAAATTATGGTTGTTTGAATGTATTGACATTAACTGGTGTTTTCTTTCAGGAAATCGTGAAAGTTGTGTGCTTCGAACTAGATTCTGTTATTATTACTTTAATACTTGTTCTTTGTGAACTGACATGAGTGAAATTATCCATACACTAAATTTATCCTGCTTCAATCTCCTCAGACGCATTACTTTATGTGTTATGTAATGTTTACAATTTAATTGCGAAAATTATAAAACTAATTACTGTTTCTTGGGAAGACCTCGGTATTACTTGAGCACCTGGAACACCGATGAAATTGTTATCGCCATATATGATGGACCTCCACTATAACGTGCAAGTTTTATTATATTTTTTTATTCAAATATATTTATAATTGTGCAATTACAAACAATTGTTAATGCTACATATTTATATAGTATTACGGTGTACAGACACTTTTGGAGCTTTAATTTTTTTTCCTTCCAGGTATTCCCTTAGGAAAGTTTTCCATTGCCAATAATTTTGTTATCAACGGTAATGTGTGGTAAGTCAATGTAAACCAATGGAAAACCATTGGCAAGAAATTATTGGCAATGGGGAAATTTTTTGTAGCTACCATTCATTTTTTTGAATCTTTCCTTAGACATTCTGCTCGGGTTGATAATAGATCGTCAGTGCTGATTAAGGTTTCAAACTTGTGTCTGTTCTGGGAATAAAATAGATTCGTTTGAAGCATGATTCGAATCTGCGAGAATTCCTTAGTACCTGCGTTGATCTCGAACTTCGTCCGGGGATTACCCTTAGCGAACTTGTCTATTTTTTAATATACTTCAGTCTTGGAGGTGATTAGAGCTTCTTACTTCCTCTATGTCTTCATTATAAGTCTAGTAACTTTATTTGTAGGGGCGAGGCAACAGTTTGAATAAAGCGACTTTTGAATTTCATCGGTTCGTGATGCCATTCCACACGAAAGTTGCGTATAACCTGTTTAAGAAAATATATGTATTTTTAATATAATTTCCTTTAAAATTATACAATTTACAATAGATAACTACGAAAGAAACTAGACATTCAAGTAACTTGAACAAATTTGAATTACTTATTATCACTATGTCACTAGTAAAAATTGACTTTATAGATTTTATTGTAAAGCATTCTGAAAAGTAGATAATTTAGATTGGAATAATTATTGCGTTCCCTTGACGTATGTTTAAGATTAATTTCAGCAACGTCAATTGTCAACGAACCTTTGTCAGAAGAGTCTCCATTTCCAGTTGCGCGAATCGTCTACCAATGCAAGTCCTCGGACCAAAGCCAAAAGGCATATAAGCAAACGGATGAGCAGCTTTAGCAGAAATATTGTCCTCACTTCCCTGCAGCCATCTTTCCGGTATGAATTCCTTTGGCCTGGGAAACTGTTCGGGATCTTGCGACATTATGCCATGACAGGCTATTACGTCAATCTTGAAAGACAATAACGTCAATAATAATAATAACAGTAACTTCCATACCAATAGTACTATCAATGACAGCGAGGATGACTGTCATACGTCAACTAGAACTGCAAACAGATAATAGTCATAACAATAACAGAAAGCATCCGTCGATACATAACCACTAAATGGCACGGACTATCGATTTCAAATTGCCCGCCGTAACTTGTCTGACGCCATATTGCCGATACTCGGATTCTGGTAATGTAACAAAATGGCCTGGAAATCACGGATTTATTTTTTAGCAAGGATTTCCAGTGCGGCTCTGGCTTGACTCTTTCTTATGTTCTACTTTCTGTGAACGGATTTAAAATTCTGAAATGACTAATTAAACATTTATATTTACCGAACACTCAAGATGCTTGATGAAAGGTTTGAGAAATACGAATTATACTTACACCACTAGGAATTTTATAGCCTTCAAGCACAATGTCCTTTTGCATAGTTCTTAAATTACCAATGGCGATGGGTGACATTCTCAGGGCTTCCTTGATGCAGGCTTTCGTATAGGGAATTTTATTAAGCGCCTCGTAAGTTACTGGCGAATCTTTCTCTGGCAACACCTTGGCTGCTTCTTGGTGGAGTTTCTCTTGGGCTTGAGGATTAGTCGCAATATGATAGAGAGCGCTTGCGGCGGCATTGCTGGTCTAGGGAATTAAAAAAGAATTATGAAATTTCACATGGTATAATTCAACGAAGGTGAAACTCATTAAAATTCATTATATTCCCTAGAAAATTGTCGGGCTTGATATATGATAAGACAGGTAGTACAATTGGAATAACTGACTAGAAGTTTGTAAAATAAAAATCATAATTAAAAAAATGTTACAGTATCTATTCCTGCAAGCATCATGTCCATTATCATGACATTTGCTGTCTGCTCGTCGATAGCTACAAGTCGTTGCAGCATACTTAGTTCTTCGTTGCCCATTGATGTTGACTCACGTAGTTTCTCTCTAGCCAGGCTAATGTATCGTTTGCTAATTCTGAAAATACACAACCCTCTAGATGAAAATTTCTCTGTCAGGTATGGTTATGTTTCACTCACAAGTATTTTCCATTGTAGACTATATATTGGAAAAAATTTGTATTTTCAAATAACAAAGCACAAAATTTCACTAGACACATACGTACCCACTCATGATGTCGAAGCAATGAAATAATTTTTTCAAATTTCGTGTCCTATAGACTTTCCACAAGGAGGGAAGAATTTCCAATTTATAGAAGAGATCGAACATGTCGTGAACAGCATTTATCATTATTTGAGGCTCCGAATCTGTCGGCAGGTCAAATTCGAGGCATCCGAGTCTTTGGTCCAGTGCGATTGCGCAAATAGCTGAAATAAATTTTTTTTATTTCTTCATCAATTTCGTAACCACTTTTGACTGCCGAAAGTATATACATATATAGAGGCTGTAGAGTAGCAGCATAATTTTGGACAGTCTCAATCCCCTTATGATATAGTATATAGTACATTGAATATGGGTTCCGGCAACTGAGGATATACCGTTAGCAAAGAAGTGCACCAGTTTAAACGTTAAAAAGCCATAAGGCCTATTTAATATTAAGATGTTTCAGTACCTCCATTATTTTAAGAAATTTATCGGGTAAGGCTATACTATAAGCGTCAAAAAGGTACTTTGAGGAATTATTGCACTCGAGGGCATGCACGGACATGGACATCCGACTGCGCATACTTACATTCAAGCGCCCATTTGTTCATTTCATTGTTAAAGCTTTTCGGAAGTTCCAGAGTTTCCGGATCTCGAAGTTTGCGCATTTTTTCAATAAAGTCCTGAGCCACCTCATTAATTTGTCCCACGTGAGGTTTTATCGTTCGAGGTTGCATCATGTGTTGATTTACTTTGGAACGAAAATTGTGCCAATCCTTGCCTTGGCTGGAGTAGTTGAGAAAACATTTTTTTACAATTACAAAAATTTGACAAAGCAGATGTTAATGCAAGTGCTTTACTTATTTACAAGTAATTATCCTGAATTATTAACAACATACAGAAGGCCCACAGTATACTTCCCAACAGTTGAACAAGAGCAATCGTAGAGATCAACCCGACCCATTCGTCCCTGCTCGTTCAATTTTGCAAATTGCAAATTATTACAAAATGACAAGATGCAGGGTAACGAATAAATAAAGATCCCAATAAATAAAATTTACGAGGTAATCTTATCTTCGTCAAGGACAAAAGGTAATAACGATGCAAAGTCTTTTTTTAAACTTGTGATGTCATAGTACCGTTCACACGACATTGCATTATATCAGTGTTCGATCAGATAAGAAAGTTACATAAGTTTCGTCAATACGACTGTACCGACTGTAGAAAATAATATTTTTCCCAACTATCTCTTACCTCGAAGCTAATCCATAATTTCCTTTATACAATTCGGGCCTCTCCTCGCGATACTGTACCATTGTCTCCATAGCAATTCTGGTCGGCCATCGACCTTCCATTCTGTACATTTTCTCGCTGAGTTCCGGATCGAACAGAAATACGACTGTTCGACGATGCGGTATACCGTCCAGTTTAACAATCGGGCCATACTGCTTTTTCAAATTTCTCATTTGTTCCATGACCGGCTGATTTCCGAATTCACCTTTGGATACAATTCAATGTAACGGCAAGCTGTGTTGACTTAACGTTTCAACGAGCTGCGCGATTGTTGGTATACAGGGTGGACCAATAGTTATCACTAATTTCAACGTATCCGAAACTATTTGAGTTTGAAATAATACATATATGTATACAGTTACCAATAATACAGAGTCACTCAAGGTCATCGTGATCTTATCTTCTGTCTGATATTAGATATCAGCTTTTCATCAGAGCTTTCAGACTACTTCAATTGGGATACTTCACTCTGAGTAATGCAGCAAAAGGCAATATCACATGCAACTCACGCGGTAGCTGGATTGCCTCTAATCTGTATAACGTAGAATGGTTATGCAATAACATTGACGTTACATGACGGAGAGGCAATTTAACGCTAATGCGCAAGTTACGTGCAATATTGTCTTTGCTGGCCATGGTATTCGAATGGTAAAAATTGGGAAGCTTTGAAATGGTACTTATCATCTTTGTCAAATTTGTATCTATTAGTAATAAGTATTTTTGGGCTGTCCGTGGACCTCGTGTGATTGTGTGAATAATGTTGATGTTATAAATAATGTGTATGTTACAGAACTGTGCTTTGTACCTATGTGAGGAAGAAATCTGAACATGTTCCCAATGATCGGCAGTGCCCTTGGTCCTGGTATTTCATCGAATGACTTGGCCTCGTTCCATTCCGTTTCCTCAGGACTCTTTACATCCGCTTGTAACACTGTGCTGGCATAACGTTCAATCAAGCCAATATTAAGCACGTTACCTTTCGCACCAGCGAGCAAAGCACTGCGAACCAACATTGCTCTTTGGTATGACATGGAAAGTTTCTTTGTGTAATTTCAATTGGCAACACTTTGAGAATTCTTTGTGCAATTTCAGATTGCCCTACTGACGTTGATGACTGGATTGTATTACTGGAAGTATTCACTGGAACCACTGCACTATCAACCGCTAACGTCAAGACTTGTAAAGTGAATGACGAGCAAATGAAGCGTGGTGCTGTGTTTAATGATAGGATTACGTCATCAAGTCATTTATCTTACTGATCCGGATATACTTGATCCAGCAGGAGGAATTTCTCGGTCTCATTCTATATATTGACAACGAGGGTCAATAACGTTGGTTCACTATTTACATCCGGTATCGGAAATGCACAAGGTTATGCATCTGGAAAGCTATAATCTGACTCTCCATGGAATTAGGCTTCCATCAAGAGCGTGAATTTTTATATGACTCGCGAGTTGTACTTTTTTTTTTTATAATGTGATCAGTTACTTTTTTGTATAATCGAAGGATCCATTTTTGTACAATGAAGTGTTGCATATATCGTTGTTTTACTGTTAGAGAGGTATGCATACGTGAGTAGAGTAAGTATTTTTGGGAGTCAAATTGTAGATTTTTCTGTAAGGATTTCTTATTCTTTACAACAAAATTAATTTGATGTGCTTTAAGATAACTTGAAGAAGACTTTTTTAAACCGTTAAGACAAAGCCGATAGTGCATAGCTTGTTTCTTGAGGCAGCTTTTGTTCCTTGCTCACAGTGCTTAGTATACTTATTGTAACTTATATGCGAACTCTGCTCGCGCATTCTTCTGTGAAACGCGATTACGTGGATAGCCTCGACAATATAACGCAGTACGTATAAGCGGTGGTATAATACTAAAGAGGCAAGAGCAAAATTACCTACAGCGAAACTATCTGTAATGAAACATGCTATTACCATATAGAGCCGTTACTTGCGTGTCATTCCCGTAAGTCAATGCAGCTGAACTATTGTAACAGGATTGCCTTGACTAATAATCACATCGCGTCACAGACGTTCACGAAGTTAGCAAACTGCCCGGCGTTACTTTTGGCATTGTCATAGTTCATTGTTTTTGTATTCTCTGTCCTTGTTTCTTTTTCGCACCTATGCAGAGTGTCCTTCATTTCTCACTGTGCATTGCACCTATACGATCCCCCATAATGTGTTGTCAATCGCGTCAAACTTACTTTAGGAATTTTTCATTCTTTCCCAATAACCAGTTTTGATCTTTCTGCTTAAACCTTACACGACGTGTTATCATTTTGTCTAGCTTACCCCATTGTTGTCTACTTGTCTACTACCTTTACCAGGGCAGGGTGCTTCTGAAGATAGTAAGGAACTACTAGACGACGGTGAGTGAGGCTCAGAGTGAAATTTGACTATTCTTTCATTCACGAGATCAACCAATCTTGTCTGTTCGACGTATTCTTACGCGTCACCTTACGCTTTCACGGTGGTACGGATCCGAGGATAGCTAATACGCTGAAAAACAGGAGATTGGTCTTTCCCTTCTTCCGTTCATTTCGACTTTTGCGTCAAACCATTCACGCCTCGCAGTATCGGTCTCCCTAGCATATGGGTAACGTGAGTCATTACTGTTTATCGTTTTTTTTTTTCGTGGAATTTTTTTTTAACTTGCGTTCTTCCTGCGAGAACGTCTTTGAGGATATCGTTTGGTGTAATCAAGTTATGTTCCGCATCAGCTCGATAAGTTTTTCATTGCTTTCACTTGTAATTATTATTATTAGGCTTTTTCTAACGTAAATCGAATCCCTATGTAGATTAAACCTCTCAAGTTATCTTAAGAATTTTTCGTTGTTATTTAATTCAGGAACCCATCGAAGAAGAATTCACTTGGGTAATATTCGGAGACAGTATCGCAGTATAGCTTCTCTGTACATGTCCATAAGAAATTTTATATATTGTTTCCTTTTGATTTTTCAGGGTGCCATTTATTTGTAAATCATGGAAACGTTGTTACAATGTACAGGGTTATTTGTGGTAAATGCACCAGCTGAAGTTGGATGTGATTGAACAATTCTGTTAATCGGGGCAGGTAGTGTGGCCTTGTCAAAGAAATGAAAGAATGGGAAATTCATGTTAAAAGCAATGTTACGACGTTAACTTTCGCATGTTTAATGATGCCACCCTGCTCTGATTCACGAAACCACTCATTCGCGACCAATTTCAGGTTAGACTCGGCTATGGTACATGCCATGAGGTTATCCGGTGTGATGGCGATCGGCCTCGGTCGTGCCGAAGGGGGATTCCCTGCGCGGGGACACACACAATATATCGAAACCATCACAAAGAGCCGTAATCCCCGCGAGAAATCCTGAAAATCCAAATCTGGGATATTTTTGATAGTTCCGCTATTACCCAAGCCCGCCAGGAGGCATACTGTCCGGTAAGTCGAATTTCACCGAGACGATCGCCGATTCCCCGGCGGTTGCCTTCTATTATCGTCTGTCGTAGGCCTATTCAGAACAAATCCCCTCTCCGGCGCTTCGCTCCCACAGGGAGGCACACGGGGGCTAGTTAAAGTTTGTGATGTGATTTTGTGACTCACGGTCACAAGGCGACTCCAGCTACCGATTCAGATAACGTTCTAGCTTTCTGGTTCCCTTCGGGTCGCCACCTTGATCAGAAGGTACGTCCTCGGATCGATTCGTATAATTACACCACTGCTCTCGGAAGATTTCGTTATTTTTGAGATGAGGTCGAGGTGCTCGAATCTGCAGGGGGGAGACAGTCTCGACGTACCGAGTTGCTCGGCAGAGAAGAGTACCCGACGGAGATGTCTCTACGGGCCGGCAGAAGCCCGGGTGTGATACCGGCGACCCGCTGGAGATGGGCAAAGGGCTGTAGAGCGGGCGGAAGTTTTGATACGGTTAAGGGCCGGGGAGGGACCCCTGACCCGAGTAAAGGATGTGGTGCCTAGTTGTCGCCTGATGCTCTGAGGAAGCGGCTGTGGTGGATCTCCCAGTGTTACGTACCGATCGCTAAGGAACGCCCTCGATTTTGTTTAAAGAGACGACTCGAGGGAAATGGGAGAATTATTGGCTCTAAGGATCTCGACCAATCAGAATGACTAGGGGACCAATCACGGTTCTCGGATTGGGTGAAAATTACGAATGTGAGCGACTCATCCAATTACGATCAATCTCAGCTCGTGAAAATACGAGACTACTCGCGCGAGGAGACCCGACACGAAATTTCACGTGAAACGGTGAAATCGACGCAGTTTACCTTGAAAATAACGCATACATTGATGGTAGCAGTATTACTTGACCGACGCAGAATTGAACGATTGAAATGGATAATTTGATGGTGATACTATTTATGCCAAGTCGTGAAAATACAATGTTAAGATTACAGGATGCCTCAGATCCATTTATAATACTGGAAATTGAATTATTCTCGCTGCTATGATGTAAGCGGCCTCTTGTAAAATCTCTATGCTCCTTCATGTATTGCAATAAAATACCCATCTGTTTTTCCGTAACGTTCATATTTGTTTTTCCACTGTCAACATTACTTCGAATAATGATGTCAATGACGGTGAGGTCGTGAAAATGTGAGATCACTAGTCGGAAGTACTCTAGGGATCTTCCATTATCACTCGGCAGTTCCGTGATTGGGTGACCGTCCCATGAGATGGGACGTGAAAAGTGAATGAGCTTATCTGAGAACCGTGATAGGCCCCCAGTTCTCGAATTTGGCTATTGTCAAAACAGTCTGTCTCGGGACACAGACCGGGGTGTCACAAGCTGGCTCGCACTCCCGTGCCATCTCTTGATAGTTTTTCTAGCTATGTTTCGATACGGTATAGAAAGTTCTCCTTCGTGTAGTTCTCGCGTTGCTCTCGCGATAACCAGGATATTCTATGGATTTTCTAGTGCAGTGCCCACCCGAGTGTCCTCTGGATACAGTTCTCGGCATTCACGGATTGGTTGCATCAGTTACGGTGAGGACTCCCAGTTTATTAATTGGTGAAGGGATTTCGAGTTGATAGTTCAGATTCGTTCTGTTACATTCTCGATCAGTTGCTCTCTGTATTTCGCACTATTTGCCTGACGCTTACTCCGACCATCTCTACCTCAACCTAGCAGCCTCAGCGGCCGTGCATTTATGTAACCGTACGCTCACGTTCGTGCGTCCAGTTGCGTCAGAGCCATCGTTTTGATGGAGTTGGGCCTGCTCCACCTCGCCCCCCAGGTCATACAGGCTCATCAGTTCCCGGTGAAAAAAGAATTGGCTGGCGTCCGCATGGCTTACGTATGCATGAGCGAAGGGTGGGCGGCCGAAGGTAACGTAGGTTAGTTCGCGGATTTCTCGTTATCAGTATCGAGTTAAGAAAGATACGTCACAACATATAGTACTTACGCCCTCTTATGGCTCTGCAATGTTATTTTCTCTTATTCATAAAAATCACTAATTGCTCTGGGATGGCCTATTTATACTTACGGCTGGAATATTTCAGATTTAATAACGGGATGCTTTAATCGTCTATAAGATATACGATATTCTTTATATTATTGAGGATGTAACTTCGAGAGATGTTTGTCATACATAGCTGAACTTTTTGATATTAGAAGATGGTAAATTAAAGACCAATCTCCTTCCATTATTCGAAATTTTGACACTTACTGTTTGTACAGTTGGATTCAATGATGATGACAACCAATTTGGAATACGAATCTGATTGTGTTAATGTGCATTGTTTTCTATTTACTGTTTGTACAGTGATCTGTTCTTAGTGGAAGCTGGACTGTAACTAACTCTACACCAAATTTTAAAACAGCCTCGTGGGCGAAATTCTTAGAAACAGGGAGAGGGCAGTCTTCTGCATGCCATGCCTTAGACCCTTTCCTGGAATAAGGACCTGAGTTTGAATTGGCCCTGGACAAAGGCCTTCGGTTTTTCGTTTACGCAATGCACGAGAAAAGGGCGCTGGTCTAGTCAGCGAGGACTTGCAGTCCTTTCAAGTCTCATAGAATTGGTTGACATGTACCAAACAGATCTGTTAAAGCATCTCGCTGCTCCAGACACCCTTACGTATGAAAACCGAAGCCGCCTTCCGTCCAAGGCGCCATCAGGGTCGAACACTGTTAGTCTCAGTACTACTCCTAGTGAGTACTGGTAGAGTGATCTGAATTGTACAGAGTTCTTACTTTTTGATAAATTATTAATATATTGACCCAAATTATGGTTGTTTGAATGTATTGACATTAACTGGTCTTTTCTTTCAGGAAATCGTGAAAGTTGTGTGTTTCGAACTAGATTCTGTTATTATTACTTTAATACTTGTTCTTTGTAAACTGATATGAGTGAAATTATCCATACACTAAATTTATCCTGCTTCAATCTTCTCAGATGCATTACTTTATGTGTTATGTAATATGTACAATTTAATTGCAAAAATTATAAAATTAATTAAAATTATTGTTTTTTGGGAAGATCTCGGTATTACTTGAGCACCTGGAACACCGATATAGTACTTTGCGATACAAGTGCGAGAAAGCGAACTTTATAGGCAGGCGGTGAAGTTGGTCGCACGAGCCGCACACGAGTAACACAACGGCACGAGCCGAAGACGAGTGCTGTTTGTTTTACGAGTGCGGCGAGTGTGACAAACTTCACGAACTGCGTATAATGTTCGCTTTATTTGTACCAGTATCGCATAATATTTTCTGTAACGAATGCATGAAAAACGCTACTTTTTGTGCCTCCAAAGTGACTGGAACATCTCTTCGCTAGAGGAGGCAGCCATAAGAAGAGCAAGGAAGGCTTCCAAAGTGAATGCATTTCATGACAGCGCGCGAGAACAAAGTTTACTTTATCGCACTAGCGCGAGAAGAAAGCAGTAGTGCGATAGTGTAAAACTGGACCGATTTGCGCATGCGCAGCATTTTTATCGTATCCATAGATATAAAGCGCCACTTTCGCCACACTTCGGAGGTACGAAAAGTAGTGTTTTTCATGCATGAGTTACATAAAAATCCTTATCGTCATATACGATGGACCTCCAATATAACGTGCGTATTATATCATATTGTTTTTAATTCAGTAATATGTATATACATATATCTGTGGGATCGAATACCGAATATCGGATGTCAAGAAGAAGCGATGATAGGAAAGCACGCTTACCAAGGGCAACAAGAGAAACAAGAAACGTTAGTCAGGACGAAACGTAAAATGAGAATGGATTATGTTTAATCGATTTCATTATACCATGTTGGTATTAAATGACACTCGGGTGTTCATTATAATCCCACATATATTTTTAATTGTGCATTTACAAACAATTGTTAATACTACATATTTATATTATAGTATACAGATACCTTTGGAACATTAATTTTTTTTCCCCCCCAGGTGTTCCCTTAGGAAAATTTTTTGTACCAATAATTTTTTTGCCAACGGTAACGCGTGGTAAGTCAGTGTAAACCAATGGAAAACCATTGGCAAGAAATTATTGGCAATGGGGAAATTTTTTGTAGCTAGTATTCACTTTTTTGAATCATTCCTTAGATATTGTGCTCGGGGTGATAACAGTTCGTTAGTGCTGATTAAGATTTGAGACTTGTGTCTGTTCTGGGAATAAAATAAATCCGTCTGAGGCCTGAGTCGAATTTTGGAGAATTCCTAGGTACCTGCGTTGATCTCGGACTTCGGCATTACCGTTAGCGAACTTGTCTATTTTTTAATATACTTTAGACTTCAAGGTAGTTAGAGCTTTTTGCATCCTATTTGTCTCCACTATAAGTCTAGTAACTTTATTTGTAAGGGCGAGGCAACTGTTTGAATCAAGCGACTTTTGAATTGCAGCGGTTCGTGGTGCCATTCCAAGTGAAAGTTGCGTATAACCTGTTTAAGAAAATATATGTATTTTTAATATAATTTCCATTAAAATTATACAAGTTACAATAGATAACTACGAATGAAACTAGACACTCAAGTAACTTGAACAAATTTGAATTACTTATTGTCACTATGTCACTAGTAAAAGTTGACTTTATAGATTTTATTGTAAAGCATTCTGAAAAGTAGATAATTTAGATTGGAATAATTATTGCGTTCCCTTGACGCATGTTTATGATTAATTGCAGCAACGTCAATTGTCAACGAACCTTTGTCAGAAGAGTCTCCATTTCC